CAAAAAACTGGTCTTTCTGGTGTCAAAATACTTAAACTGCGACGGCGAAACAATATATATTCCACATCTTCTTTTTCTCGTAGAACTGAAATTAAAACACACGAAAAATATAAGTACCTAGAGTATTCCGATGATCCTACTACCTATAATATTTTTTCTCTACAGTTTTCTGTTGATCGTAGGTCTAATACACACTACACATATACACATTCAATTCGACAATCTGTTTTGTCTTACATATATTTATTGTATGATAATGTTATAAATCTGTTACAAGCCATACGCTAAATAAATAAAAATAATACACACTTCCGGGCGTCACTATTCATTAAATGTATGTGCAGCAAGTAGCTCGGCACGGTACCACTGAATACCTATTATACACCTCGTGTAATTCATATGATATTCGCCCAGGTCCTGGTACACGGGATGCTAGTATAGAAAATAAATAGGAACGTAGTTTTGATGTTTAATACACACACATGTCGGAGTCACCTGGACGTCGGGTACGTTTGATTAATGAACGACTACCGGCATCGCCGGCACGAACACATGCGTTAAAGGGGTGATTCTCACGCACAACGGTGCAGAGAAGTTTCTATTGAATTATTTTAGTATAATATATATACTGGATGGAAATCGTCAAAACTCAAAATTCGTGTCCGCCGGCACATTGGAGTCTCTCAATGATTATGTCGGTGCAACGTTGTTTTTTTTTTTTTATATCCGTTACCTAACATGATACTTGTACGGTTAGATCAACCAAAATTGTGGTCAAGTCCGTACCACTTGAAGGGTTTAGGATGATTTTTTGCTTATTAAATAATACACGACGGACTTGGATCGGTATGACTATATCTTGACTACATACTGTATACAAACACAATTCGCGATAACTGTCTGCGGCTCCGAACTGCGATTTTTATAAAAGATTCAGACGATTACGCACAACAAAGGTTGAAGCCGCGGCCCGCGACACGTGTGTAAACCTTTTATATTTGATTTAAGGAATTTGTGCTCTGAACGTCGAGTACAACAATTACTGGATTTGTACTGCGAACCGTCCATAACGTCATCCAAACATAATATTACGTCGAAAAGATAATAACAAAATTGATTTGAAATTGACGTGTTAATCCATTGACCATTACCACAAGTTATAATCTCGATGATAACGAGCAACGGCTCTGAAGGGATAACATTATTTTTTATATCTTTATACGTTATATTATTAAATGAAATTGACCGATCGTTTAAGAATTGTCAACACGTTAGGCTTTAACCGATTTCTCCGCAAGTATTGTAAGGCTCTAAAACATAACTTATAAAATCGTGGAAGGAGATGAATAAAACTATTAAAAGTAGACTTAATGAATATATTATCAAAAGCACGGTTTAAACGGTTGGCAACCACCCAAAAATATGTTTAAATAATTTTTATCTATATTTTACTACCTATTCGCTAAAAAGTACAAGACATTTTTTAGTTATAACTATATTATACTGTGTACGATGTATGAATATTATATTTGGTTCTTACCGCGTTTTGTTTAATAAGTACAAATATTAAAATAAAATAATTATTAAAATAGCAGTTGAGTTAACTTAATAATGAAATATATCTAACCGATAAATAAAAAGTCTTGTTCAAAATATGTTAAAGAATTCGACTTTGGCACTCATTACAAGATGGGGATCAGTCGTGTGCTTATTATATTATTATTAAACTATTTCTATAATGTGACAAAAAAATAATTATTAAATACAAATTTCCATAAACAGTTGAATAATATTATCAGAAGAGCATGTCGAATATAAAAATAAACACAGTGTTCCTTCGTGTGTGTGATGGCTAATTAAAATGGTGAAAATTCAAAACCTAAATTCAGACGGTACAACAGGTACAGGTATACCGGAACGCGGTGCAATTGCCTTTAGGTTTGGAAAATTACCAAAAGGGTTTCGGGGATGGGCCGGCCGAAGTACGCATGAATGAAAATCGTACGGCCCAGTGATGGTGTGTGACGATCACGACCTTGGTGCGAAGTTAAAGGAAGTCGTCGTTAAAAAAAAAAGAAGAATGCGCTAGTGTAGGTACAAATGTCTATAACTTGAATCTTGAGACATAATACATAATATTACACGTTGTGCCTCCAGAGTTTCGTCTTGCTCTCAACGCCGGTAACGAGCAGACGTGTCTCACGAAGCACACCGATCACCTGATGGATTTGCTATTTAGTAGTCGTTTTTTCGAAAATTAATATAATTTTTTACCTAATGGATTCCACGAATTTTACGAACCGATAACGTCACAGTAAATATGATCAACTATAGTAAGTACTTCATATATTATTATGTTTTACATTATCTCTTTGGCGAGGATTTCACTGAGACGAACTGTTCGACGCTGTATTTTACTACTTTGTGCTAATAAGTTTCAACGCATCACATAAAAGTACAATGTCATCTATACATATTTAGTTTAGACATAGTAAGCAATTTTTTTTTTTAGAAATACAATTTTTTTTAATCATTAACTAAAAGTAATTTATACGCATTACAAGTCAAAAGTTTCAAAAAAACTTATTTTAAACATAAATCCGCTCTTTTTAAATTTTTTAAGTTATAAAGTGCGTCTATTTACCCAAAAAACGAAGTCATTAAATATATGTATATAAGAAAAGTATCAAATTTTCAGCTAATTTTTTACATAGTCAAAATTCATCAATCAAAAAAAAGTTGATAACTCATTGCACTAATCTATATAATTTATATAAAAGCGTAACATAAGAATGGTTGTACCTCTAACAATAAATTCGTATACGTTTTAAGATCAAAAGATTCTCGATAAAAAATCGATTTGCCGTTAAAACTAGTAAAGGTTAAAAATTAAAATAATTTAACAATACCAAAACTATGTGCTAGAACTACACTAAGCCAAATTAGTAAAAACCGTCGTACGAGAGATTAAAGAATTTTTATTTTCAGAAAAGTAATCTTAATAATGAACCTTGCATTTTTTTGGCTGCAACTAATTTTATATAAAGCACACAACATTAGTTTTGATTTATTTTAAAAACGTTAGTGTTTTTTTCTTTGGTTTTATGTATAACTGAACCTGAACACAATTATATATCGACTGACATCAGCCGCGAATGTCTAAAAACAAAATTATGAGTTTTCCACTCTCCCAAATTTTTTTCTTTACAATATTGAGTTGTTTTATACGTCATTCCATATTTCTTCAAATCTTTAAATAATTTGCAATATATTATAGCGTTCATTAAAATTTTTCAATTTACATTTTACTCAATTACTAATTTTACAAAGGATGCTGATTATTGCATTTAGCAATAGTAGTATCACTAGAAGATAGCCGTCTCCCAGACCCCAGTTATCACTAAAACATAACGCTATACGCGAGAAGACAAACACGGTAAACAAACTCTAAAAAGAACAATAACAATGATTTATTCATAAGAGTTAAAATGAAATAACATGATAGTTTATTATTTCACTCGTGTTTTTTATTTTTACTTAGTTTTCCACTTGCTAATGGCGATGAGTGTCAATAGTTTTTCCGAAATAAAGGGAAATGAAGGAGCTACCTAGTAGTAGTGTATAACTATGGTATTTACTGATTTACATGATCTGGTGTTTATTATAAACGCATGGTTGGCTTATTACCAAAGTCCAATTCTTAGGACTATATTTGTTAATAATATAATATTCACTTGACGAAATCAAAAAAATGAATGTTGACCGATTATACCACAATAAGTGACTCCCACTGTTCTTGATGAAATAATGTTTTTGAAAGAAGTGTATAAAATTGTATTTTGTTTTGGTTTTTCAATGCAATTTATAAAATATGTCTTATCTTATAGTATTAGATAGCCAAAAGCGGACTGGGCCAGGTGGCAGGTGGTAGATGGCTGGTTGACAAACGTCCATTGCGATTTGAGCCGCTCACGTTTTATGTTGTGTACCGTTTAATAGTATATTTTCATTAATGTCTCCAAATAATATATTTTTTTTTAATTTAGTGGCCACCATTAAATTTTCTCACTGTGCTGAGCCAACTCAGAACTGTTCTCAAGTTAAACGCTTACGAAACTCTAAAAAAATCCAAACTTAACAAACGTTTTTCCGAACGATTACAAAACGATCAGGCAGCACCCTACCCTTTTTGTAATATACCTGCGAACCGCAATAATTGTAATACATATGTATAATGATGTATATAGGTATAGGTATAGGTGATATATAGGTATAATAATATGGAAAACATATGTTCAAGTTTTATTTATAATATGTATGTCTAACCGGTCATTAGCCGTTGTTTATTATACATACATACTTGTAATTTTTTTTTCAACCGCCGTTTATTCGTGAGACCTATATAGGTTTGCGCGCCCATATCAACCGGGTTGTAAATAACCTATTAAATATACAATAATAATAAAAATAATAATATATTATGATTTTCCGTCTGTCTTAATACGGCGTCCGGCCAGTCCCGCGCACGCGAGAGTTAAATGTCTCAAGGTCATCCGTACTATTCGATTACACGTTACACACATAATATAATACTGCTATAGTGCATACATATTTTAGACTTTAACCGCTAACAAAATGTACCTAAAAAATAATAACGTATACTACACGATGACTTCTTATTGTCATGCCGGACGAGACGCAGACGGGTTAGACCGCACCACTCTCTCGTGAATACGAGCCGGTCAGTGCATGATCACACACATTATCATCTTCGTATTATGCTAGTAGTGCATGAATAATTTCTATAATATGCATTATAGTTCACGCCGTGGCTAATTAAATAATCACACTTATTGTAAAACAAATAATAACAGAAAACAACGAAACCGATGATAAAGCGTTGCGGTGTCGTATCCGTTATATTTCGCTTAACTATTGAGACATAGATAAACACCACTTTTGAACATCTATATCGCGTGCGAAGCCGACGTTGTCGTCAATCGGTGTACGTTTTCGATGTAGAATTCACGGCTTACACAGTATAGTAATGTGCGTTTTATGTGTAATAGTGTTTTTTTTTTTCATTTTGCCTCCTCGAAGCGTCCCGCCGCAAGTAGAACATGATTGGCGAGGCGTTAGGTCTCGATCGTAGTTCATTTTTAAATTTAAACGGCTATTTCCGCATCACACTCCGTCTGTCAATAATAGGGTGCACTACGTTTTATATGTGGCTGTAACACGATCAGTTACCTACCTCAACAACAGCTGCAATGCTGACGAAGAAAGTCCAAGTAAGGTTCCCGTGTACTGTGTACGGCCGAATTCGTTTGAAACGATAATAATGCAATTATACATGTTCATTCGGTTCCTTCCAACAAGAAAACTGTCAATCGTTCATTACAAAGTATTAGTGATGGGAATCCGAAAATCCGGATTTATCAAAAAAACGCTTTTTAAGTCATTTGAAAATCATATAATTGTTAAATACTATTACAATATAAAGATGTGTACCTAAGTAAAATTTGTTGATAAAATTTAAAAAAAAAAACTCTTAACTTTGTCTATAAAATGCTTTCGGATTCCGGATTTTCGGATTTCAACAAATCCGAAATTCAAAAGCAGTTTATCTCTTTGGTGTTTTGTTTTATTTTCACATATTTATCAAAAAAATGTTACTTAAATATAGAGCTTTATATTATAAAACTATTTAACACTTATATGATTTTTAAGTAGCTTAAATAGCGTTTTTTTGTGAAAATCCGGATTTTCCGATTCCCATCACTACAATGTATACACATTGTACTATTGAGTTAATCGTTGTCAACTTTGTCCGGTGTTTCTGTTGTTTTATTTCTTATTCATCTTTCTTTATTGCTGTACGACGTTTTGGTGCAAAAACAATGCGCCAAATCTCATTTGAGTATTGTAAAATAAGAAGCAAAATACATCATCAACTGATATCGAAATACAACATGTTAGGGTGGCTCAAACGAGTAGGTGTTTCTACCTAATTTTTTAGTTATCTCAATAATTGGATTTTGGTACTAAATAGGTTCTGTTAGATCTCCTATTTATAAAATAACGAAGGCCAACCGCATGAACCTGTAAATATATTAGGTAATACAAGTACCACTACTGTATATGCTACTTCACTACTTCTATATGCATTTGTATTAATAATTATTAAGCACAGGCTTACAGCAAAGCTCTTAATTTGTATTGCAAGATTGAAAACGCGTAGAAAACTTTTAGTTAAATAATTTGGCGTTTCTAAGTTAAAGGTAAGTCTTACCCCTCGTGCGTTGTTTCTCCGTGAATTTATAAGTAGGTATAACAAGATAAGAAAAAAAGAGAACTTAATATTTAAACTATTTTATCACAATAGTTCAATGAATGTAAAATAATTGTTAACAAGTTAATCCTTGAAACTAAAAAATTAATTTTATGATTGAGTGACTAGTAGTCATCAAAGCCGAGTTAAAAGTCTAAAATAACTTAACTCCAAACCTCACTTTTACGCACCTTCCCCTGAAAAACCGACTGAAAATCCGACACTTGAATAAAAAAAAATCAAAATCCAGTATTCGGGTAAAATAGTAAGCACAAAAAAATCTTACAGTATAATAATACTATATTGCAGTTTCCAATTTAAAATCGACCAAACATTTTGTCATTTAATTTTTAGTTTATTTATAATGACATTTTCGTACTCTGAAAAAAAAATATTCAATCAAAAACGCAAGACCTGAATCCGGCGTGCAATTCGGTTTCTGGTCAGTGACCTGAAACTGAAAACTGTTAAAAATAACTCCAGCACATTAGATTAACATTTAAAGTAACTAACAAATTATAAAATATATGTATGTTTATTCATACATTTCGAATAAAGATAAATTACGCACATGTTTACGCGAATAACATTTACATATTATTATGTACAAGTAAAAATATGAAAACCTATACTTTCACCATAAGTTTGACCTATTCGTTATGCCTATAAATTATAGTATATACCCCGGGTGTCTCACGCTGTTTTAATATATTTACATACCTATGACTCAAATGTAGATTAGTTGGAACACTGTAGTCTATGGGCCTCCTGTATACACATTACGAAAATTGTGCAAATGACATTAACGTTTGGATTTTCAAACAGCAACGTCGCCGAGTTGTAATGAAACTGCGTCTCATCACGCTACATTTTATTATACACAGAAACCCTTGGGTATATGTGAACGAGCAATATGTTTGTATTGTCACGCGATCTGCATAGAACATTGCAAACTTACCGTGGAACACAATAAATAATGGCATATTATTAAGTTAAGTCAATAAAGTAATCGAGTCAAGTGTTCAATTTTAGAGGGTGCTAAGATAATTGAAAACCTTTTTAAAGTGCAATGACGAAGAAGATCTTTCACAAGTAGTAGATGATAAAGTTATAACATAGGATAAACCTTAGAATCACGTTGTTGTTAAACATCTTCAAACACATATTTAGTAGGTAAACAGTTTTTGAATACAACCTATTCAACTTTTAAACAAGTGTAAAAAACACTAAAAATATCTTGAAAAGTCGACTCTGTGACTAGATATAATTTGTGTTTAGTATATCTAATTACACAAGCCACGTTATAATGACTTAGAAAATAAAAACCCATAGCAATATACGTTTTGACCATCAACCAATAGTTGACAACCATTCAACAATATCCTTCCTAAAACTCTAAAAGCTGCCACAGAATTTGAGTGTAAATTAAAATCGTTCCAAGTAACCTTGGAGGCATTGCCTGATTAGTTGATGAAGTTTTTTGAGAGATCGAGGAGGATTTTAGATGAATTTGGACTTCCTTAGCCCCCCTTCTCCCTAGTTGCGCTAATGTTCTTCTACATATTATAGATTTTATTTTAACTTCACTCCAACTGGGTTTGTTGTAAACCCAATTCGTAGCCTCAAACAGCTGTATCTCGGCTGCTAACACTTGATATAGGTGTTTCCCACTGTTCGAAACTTGTGAATAAAAAAATGCTATGTTATCTCTTTACTCATCGTGTAATGTGTGTACCTAGTGCAGATTGTAAATAAAAAATGAAAACGTGGGTTATTTTTATTTTTTATATTTTATAGCTGCGCATTGGTTCTATTACAGTAATTTTACTGTTAGTGCGTACGCGTTTTTAGTGTGATTTTTAAAATTGTCTTAACTTTCAAGTTTCGTAACACATACAACTAACAATAACTAACAAATTAAATTCAAGCACGTGCAGTAAAAACATACTGCGACTGGTCATGCGAAATGATTTGTTATTTTCACGTTTAATCGATCACCCAGTGTAATAATAACAATACGTGTTAGCATGTTGTGTTCGTTTGTTTGTGTGTGATGATGCCGTGTTTAGTAGCAAATCAAGCCTTCCTTATCGTGATTTCGTACTGTCCGTTCCAGCTGTTGTGGCGTCCTAATGTGTGTTAGTTTTCAGCAGTTAACCCAATAGCCCAAAGAGATCATCTCGTGTACAGCGTGTAACGCGCTCGCCATGTTCGCGCGGTTAACGTGCGTTTATTTTTCAGAAATGGGACTTGGGAGAATATATTGGAACAAAATAGAAGCCGCCTACTGTATAGTGTCAACGTGCGTTTATGCACTGGCGAGGCTCGTGTCCAATTACATGCAAATATCGAGAAAGCCGTTCGAAGCCCACACGACGACGACGACGACGACACCCGGTAAGTGGAAAATTCAAAATTCAAAATTTTGTGACGTATGTAATTGTTTTTTTTTTTCAACACGAGTATTTTGATGGTCGCCGCGTCGGGAAATGTGTCTGTGAATTCGCCAGGCGCATGCAACGAATTGCATTTGTTATTATTTATACCACCGCGTTTCCGTATTTATTGTTTGTCTACATATTTTCGATAACTGCTTGACATTGAATGCATTTCTAAATTGTCGCGCGCCGGGTCCAATAACACTGTTTATAAACAATGATGATGTAAGCCGCGCCAGCTTTAAAACTGTTGTCGGCGACATTTTTTCGCCGTAATTGTTGTTTCCCGTGCGAGATCGACTCGGATCACCGGCGTTTAATTTTTAACCGTCAAAAATAGTACGGCCAACAGCAGACGACTCCTCTCGATTTCAATAATAGCTGTTGAACGATAACGATAGATGACCACGACTGTGATTTCCCGGTCGCATTGGAAATAATACCTACACCATTATTGTTTAATATCCGACCACTTGGACGGCCAAGAAAACCAGTATAAATAGTGTCATACTTGATCCACTCGCATTCGCGTTTGATTAAATACATCAATTTCAGTCGTGTACAATTCTACTTGTTTAACCGAACTTATAAGTCAGGCAAATGGAATTCTACGAGTGTCAACACACTATAAATTTAAATAAAAGAACAATCGTGCAACATAGATTCTGTGTATACTGTATATATAATACATTATAAATGCTTACTTTGTATTCGAGATAACGGCTTATTTATTTGCGATCCATTGTTTTGGGTGTATCGGCTGGCAACAGTGTACAATTTACAAAACGTTTTTATTTTTACACTATATACGATGTGCAAACATTATGAATTTTTGTTAACTGTGCATGATCTGAATAAAATAATTAACATGTTGTAAAACATGACACAAGTAAAAGCTTAAAGAAAAACGGTTTTCAAAATACATTAACAATGTGTGTTATCTGAACGGCAGTACTTCGATATTTTGCTATTATAAATCCATTAAAGCCTACTCAATTATTAAAAATATAATATTTGAGTCATAAACCTCTATTACTGTTTACACATTTGATTTATCATCGCTAAAAAAATGATTCATCAATTAATTGTTTTACAATCGGTTATCAGCAAGTTGCAGACGGCGAAGCTTTGTTTATAAAGTGATTCAGCATTTATGGGACAGGTGACAGCGTATCTACATAATATGTAGCTTAAGGTTAAAATTGTAATCCAATTTTAACTCTCAATGTTTCTTGATAGTACTTCGTATTGTTCAAATTGAATACAAATTATAATTTAGGTGAACACTATAATAGTAGTAATTTTGATTGTAATATTTCTATCCTTTTTAAAAGTGGAAAGGTCTAATACGATGAGAGTTTACATAAGAAAATTATAATTAATTGATTCTTTCGAGATGATGGCTAGTTCATAGTAAGTCCTTGATACAAATTCATAAATCTAAATAATGTTCTGCGTGTATTTTATTTTTAACAGAAACGCCCAGTCGCAACACCATTTAAACGAATTTCGCAATAAATCGTCTGATGCCCGAAATTAATTATGTTCAATGCTGCTGTTTGTCCTTAACAGTATTAATTGTTCCATGAATTCGGATACTCTATAGAAATGATAATTAAAAAACTATTTTAAAAATCGCCGGCGAGAGGTTATTTCAGCGATTATAGTAGTTAAAATCACGTCGTTTGTTCTTAACTGTTTAATCAATTCAAATTGAAAAACATAATTGGAGTATGCGTATGTTCACGCGTCCTACAAATTATTTGCAATTAAATGATTGAAATTTCCCGCTAAAACAACTTAAAGTAAATGAAAGATGTCACTTTATAAAAATTAAATTCAATATTAATATCAATTGAGTTATTGGAGACGTTTGATTTGGAAAATATCGTTCTAGACCGTCAAATATTGTTTGTGATCGACCCGTTATCTTTATTTTGATAAGAAACATCAACACTTTTACTCACAATATAACTGTGTAATTTAGTGAATATCATAATATGTTGCCAAATTCTTTTTTTTTTAATAAATATTGACACATTGTTATCTTATTTGTAGACAATAAATACGATTATTGATTATTACCCATTAGTAATCCACCTCTTGATAAAACATGTTTCAGCATTTTGCTCTTTATTATTATTATAGAAGTTTATTACAATCTACAATACTGCCTATTATAGTCAAATTGTAGCAAAAAAAATTTGTATATATTTATATAAATTTCAACCATTTATTTATAATAATATTATTATACCAAATAATTGATGAATTGTTAAGGATAAAGCACACAAAAATATTTTTTTAACAGATGATTCTTGTTCGAATAATTTTAATGATTACATTAAAATATAATACTCATTAGAGTATTATATTTAACTTTTAATTATTACTAGTTCAAATTGTTTGTATATAAATAACATTTATTTTCATTTTAAACGTTGATCAAGTTACCTAAAAGAAGTAATAACTTAAAAATACTTATCCCAAAAAACGTATATACATAATTTGCACCCTTGGTGCATAATTGCCACAACTCAAAAAACATAGTTTTAAGGACATTTTCTTTTTAAGATTGAAATTATGTTATTTAATATCATAGAAAATATCCTTAAAAAATCATTCTGTATAAATTTCATGTGTTTAAGACAATCCCATACTTCGGTTTTTATGAAAGTGAAATAATTTATATATTTTTTTTTCTTTGTTTTTTTTCTTGTCTCACTCCATTGGTATGAACCAATGTTAAGCTGTCTAGACTCCATAAATTTAATGAAAATCAATAGCACGTGTGTCGCAAAAAAAAACAAATAAAAAAATAATTTAATGCCGTTACAACGGTACATTCACCTGGTTCCCAGAAAATTGCAAAACTATAAAACGGTCAATATAGGTAGGCCATGAATATTTTTACATAAATATTATAGCGCTGGCTATAATAATAATAATATTTTCAATTACTCTCTGTCTTCCTGAGCAGCACACGGATATTACATTGTGGTTGTCCTCACCTAAGAATCCAAATTATCTACGAATACAAAGCGGAATTTGTGTGTAGGTACTTTCATCTAACGTTTGATCATAAAAAATTTAATAATGGAAAAAAAATTGAGTTACATTAAAATTACATTAAATTCCCGTATAAAAGTATCGATTTGGTAAGCTAAAAATATAATAAGATAATATTAAATATCGAATTTCATAAATTTTTTTTTATTCTTAACCGATCAATTTGCGACTTAATTGTACGTATTTTCAATTATTATATTTTAGACATCAGTGATGACCATGACCTGCGGCTTATTACATCACTGAAGAAAAGTTATCGATTGAATTTCGTTAACATTTTTGATAATAAGATTGAATTATGCATATTTTCACATTCGTTCCTTCAGTTTTCGTTAAAAATATAAATCCTCGTAAATTTTGATTTAAAAGTGTTACCTAGAACTTTGAAATCGGGATAGTATATTTATATTCAAAGTGATAAATGAATAGTTAATTTTGTTGTCTTTTTTCGAAATAGTTACACGATGCATTACCTGACAGCCACCCGATAGGCATAAATAATCCGGTATCAAATGTCCCCCGTTTAAAAAAAACTATAGTGGGTGTCAAATTTCCCGACGTCAATTGAGCCTACCACACAGTATACAAGCCTTGTATATCGTTGAACTACCGTATAAATATTATTTATTTATAAATAGGCTTTGACATTAAAACCAAACAGATTAAATACATTTTAGATGGCCAACCCTATTAAGCGTTCACAACACTATTTAGCCTGTCAAACATCCGAATTCAAAACTATTTTTAATTGGTTAAACTAAATTAGGAAAATATCTAAAAAAAAAAGATCAATCAATAATTAATATACATCGTTGAAAAGTAATTATTAGTAATCTCTAATAGAAACAGTCTAAAGGGCAGTAGCAAATACATTTCATATTTTATCTGTTAATTATAAACACATAACAACAAACAATAAAAAATTACATTTTAAGTATTCGGTTAAAGGTGTAAATGTATACATATTTTAATGGATTCATCGGATATTATGATATATATTGTTTTGACGCATGCTAATAGTTAGTTTATTTGAACTTTTGAAAATTAATTTTTGTTAAAATGTATCTAATTTGTCGGAGGTAGTTTTTAAAAAGTAAAAAAATGTTATTTCACGTCCTCTGGCCAACAAATGTACGGTTTCTAATATACATATAAAATTATAAGTTGTATTAAGTGTTTTTTTGTCTTAAAATTTTCAATAAAATATTGTCTCTACTCCACTGCGTTATGCGTATATGATTAAAAATCTGACTCGATCTAAAGCAAATAACCGTTTATATTGTTTATAATGTTTATTTAAGTAATGACAATAAATTATTAATTTTTTTTCTTAATATTAGCTTGGATGCGTAGCTGAGAATGTGTTGTATTTACGATGATGTGTTTTTATTTATTTTTTCTGTACCCACAAGATTTTTTAAGCCACTGAACTGATTTCTTCGTGTAGCAGCTCTATAGATCAGAAATCAAATCTGTAACGCACTTCATTGGACCAAAAAATTAAAAAGTTCATTCGTTTATGTTCAACTTAAAATTACGATACTCTTTAACTTTTCTAAAAACAGTAGAATTAGTTCCAAATTTGTATGGAATATTATTTATACACAGTACTACCGATAAACATCGACCACGGACAAACCAAAAATATTTCATAAACCCTTTCCCCTAGAAAGGATAGAAATGTTGTCTTTATTTTATTTTTCAAGCAAAGTTTTAGGGATTTACATCTGAAAATTAGACCGAAGGTAGATCTAGATTGGAAGTATGACATCCCTCACCTCCCTTACTAGTTACTTACTCACTTACATATTATAATACTTTCTTACGGTGCTAGTTTATACTGTGCTTGGTTTGGACTGTACTGATTTGAACCTACTATCCACAGATTCGCATCGAAACGTTTATTTAAAAATGTTTTTATCACTTTCAGTTATAATAATACCTGTAGGCATGTGACCTCCCAGTCGCCACTATGCCCCGACCTCTTAGTACTATGAATTTAATACTTGATTATAATATAACCAACAGCGTTTACCAAAGAATTGTTAAACTTATTATTTTTCCTAGAGGCTTAGCTCTCAAAAATTGAATTGTATTATTGTTATTGTGATAACATTTACATCCGTAATGTAGTTCAATAATTATTTGTTCATTTAACAAAAAGCATACTTTTACTTTTTTCCCTGTATTAATGTGACATTAGGAAATTTGCAACATTTGGAATTGAAGATTAGAAAAATCCAAATTGTATAGTTTTTTAATCATTTAAATCTTGGGAAATTTAAACGAAACCCTCGGACAGATTATTTTAAATGAACATACACTTTTTTTTATTGAATTATTAACTCAAGAATTCATATAAAACACGTTAAAAATACAAATAGTACACAATAAAAAAATATTATTTTCGCCATATTTTACTCGATATCCACGACTATTTACTATAATGTAAAATTCTAAAATAGTTTTTTTCTAAACACTCATAAGCGTAAACTGTCTATGATACATAATCATATATCAAATTCATTGCTTGGAGAAATTACCGTAATAATCTTTTAGTTGAATTTTCAGTCAATGTCCCTATTATGTTTTTTGCATATGGGAACTGTAAAAGTATAATGTTTTATCTCCAGACAGGGGACAATGACGTCAATCGGAGGACAAAACAGTTTAAACGGTTTTTGAACCCGGTGATGTTTTTTTCCCAACACGGTATTCGCAACGAATACGTTAGTTATTATCGTATGCTAAGCAATTAATTCGAATATTAATTATTCCTTTAAATCGATTGCCATTCGAAGTGGCGATATTATAATAATATTAATAATGCAAATCTGTATTCCGCATTGTATGGCAATATAATCAAACTGGTTTCATTATATTTAAGGCATAAGTAGTGAAGCTCGCGGCGGCCGTTTAATAAACCTGCATCAATTCGTTTGCAATTGAGCGGTTTTCTTATCATTCAAGGTCAATGGCTGAAGTCAGTGACTTCAATGACGTATGGTTTTTGTTTTACATTGTGTTTCAGACGGCCAACGAAGCAAAATATACAAAACGGTCGCCGATGTCCCAGGGCCAAGGTCCTTACCTGTGTTCGGTACCAGATGGATCTATTGGAAGTTCGGCTTGTACAAACTGAACGCAGTACATTTGGCTTACAAAGGTATGAGCAAACAACGAGTATTATAATACCTACAGAGTGTGTATTTTGTTATGTTTTTCAACTCGATACAACCCGGATAGTGTACCACATTTTAACCGTTGGCCGCGCATAATATACTACCTAATTATTACCCAATATGATAATATTACGACGATAGTACAGCGTAGAAATTAACATCTAAACGCGTGTCTGATAAACTAATAGTTAAAGTAAATCCTAAGTTATTATCTTTACAAGGTAATATTGTTCGTTTCAGGTGGTACATTATCCGGATTAAAAAACCCATCTGACATCTGACTCCTCTGGGTGGATATAATATTTAACGTACTGGATACTTGTAACAAGTTGTTACTTCCCACAGATATGTTCGCTCGGTATGGCAAAATTATTCGCGAAGAAGCCTTGTGGAACGTACCCGTCATTAGCGTTATGGATCGAGACTTCATTGAACGAGTGCTAAGGCATAGTGGCAAATATCCGATCCGACCTCCGAACGAAGTCACTGCAAACTATAGGAAATCTCGACCGGACCGATACACTAACCTTGGATTGGTCAATGAGTAAGTACCTACACGTCAAAACATGCAAATAAAAAATTATTATAATTTGAATAGATTAGCTAGAAATTGTTTTTAGATAAGTTCCTAGATTAATAAAAAAGAATCTCATAAATAATTAATGTTTAGCATTAATTATTTATGAGAAACTGGAACCGATTATATTCTATTCAAGGAAATAAGAAGCTAAAATTACTCCATAATCCAACAGCTAATTTTTGCTAATTAATGTTTTGTTATCTCAACGACCATTAAAAATTCATAAGATAAAACTAAATCCCCGTTTAACTACTTTACCGAAGTACTCGTTGATTAATTACACTGTACAGCGTGGTTTTTGGCAACAAGAACCTATGTACTATGAGTTTTAAAGATTTGTCTTGTTGAATCCAACTTCCGGGTCCGAGAAATATATTTTGATTTTGTCCATGCAATGTCATTTTAAAAGCTACTTAAAAAATACAAATTACTGAATTTGTTAATGTAAATAAAAACTTTTCGAAAAAACACGACTAAACTAATAAGTTATATTATGAATTTTCAAAAAAGCTTATCAATTTTTGGTAAAACTATTTATCTCTGGGTCACTGTTATAGTCTGAAAAAAAATAATTACTAATCAAGAATTTTCATTAGTATTCCAATATGCACGACAATTTAGCTCAAAATGCATTTTTGGTAAAAAAAGTTGCCTATATAAAACGCCTTAAAATAAGTGTGTGTGTCTGGGCTAGACATTATTCTAGAATGATTTATATCTTTTATTTAATTATATCATTTATTATTCGGTTATTTATGAAAAACGAATAAATAATAAATTTAAATTATTCGTTTTTTTATTTATTATTTTTTATTTGTTTGGAAGATTTGAAATACTTCCAAGTGTTGATAAAAAAATAAATATAAAAATAAATAACATTATAATAGACTTGGAGGTTAATGAAAATGAGTCATAAAATTGTTATTGTGCCAACTATAAACTAATAATACTTAATCTTCTTCGTAGGCAAGGTGAGACTTGGGCGATATTGAGAAATAAATTGACTCCGGAATTAACCAGTCCGAGAACAATACGACGTTTCTTGCCCGAAGTCAATCAACTCGCTGACGATTTCAACACGTTAATTGCCCAAGCCAGAGATGGTGACGGTGTCGTCAAGGGGTTTGAATCTTACTGTAACCGGATGGGTCTAGAGAGTAAGTGATGCAAAAAAATCACATGTACTCAGCCGTGAGATTAGTTTTGCCGAATTCATACAATAAAAGTGCATGCCAAAGCCTCATAAAACGTTATTTGAATGTGTCTCGTATTGAATACATTACAAAGGTACATTACTGAGTTTTTATAACCTTTTTTTTACACAGGCACGTGCACTTTGATCCTAGGCAGAAGATTTGGATTTTTGGATGAAGAGATCAACGAAATGGCTACAAGTCTGGCGGACTCTGTGACTAATCAGTTCCGAGCATCGCAGGAAGCATTCTACGGGCTTCCACTGTGGAAGCTGTTCCCCACAAAGGCTTACAAAGATTTCGTGGTCAGCGAAAACGCCATTTACGAGCAAGTACAACTTCCAAATCTTTGCTTCGCGTTGAAGAAAAAACCATAAAGAATAAATAACGATTTCAAACAAACGGTGCTGAATTGCGATTTTAATTTTATAGTTTTTTTTTTTTTTATTATTATTATTTAGCATCGTTTCGGATATTGTGGATTCGGCGCTCAACGACGAACTCCAGTCCTGTATGGATGTACGTAGTGTGTTCGTATCCATACTACAGGCGTCCGAGTTGGACAACAGAGATAAGAAAGCGGCGATAATCGATTACATCGCTGCCGGAATTAAGACTGTAAGATCGCACACTCGGTATGTGCACGCTTGCGAACAATGTATTGACTTAATTCCCGATTGTTTGCAGTTAGGAAACACCCTAGTGTTTTTGCTCTACTTGGTCGCCAAACATCCTGATGTTCAGGAAAAAATCTACGACGAGGTAACGAAACTAGCGCCCGCGGGTACGCCGATAACCGCTGAACACTTACACAATGCTACGTACTTGCACGCTTGCATTTCAGAGGCCCATAGGTACGGTATAACACAACGAATAATTAATATACTACACCAAATACTTGGTGCGCAAGATCATCAATCTAAATTCTCATCTTTCCACACGCTCAGACCTGATATTGGCGCAACTTAAATATCTTAAATACTACTCAATACTAATTTTATCTTTCCTAATCGCTCCGTACAATTAACCTTTTTTAATTCGATTCACTTGGATGGATCGTTGCTGACTTAATCGCATATTCAGCCCTCGACGTTTGCCAGTGTACAGTTGCCTCGACGATCGATTAAATTTGATTGGTTCTTTATTGGCTCACAATCAAATGACTGGCGATCGATTATTATCCTAGCCATCAGTCGGCCTTGCCATTGATTGACTTGGCGATAAATTCACCGGATACCGATTATGTAATGCATTTGTGTATTGTTTCAGGCTGTTGCCCACAGCGCCTTGTATTGCAAGAGTGTTGGAGACGTCGTTTGAGTACGGCAATTATCGACTACCTACTGGGGTAAACACTATACGAGCCGTTTACCGAAAAAGGTCACTAATTCTAATAATTTTCATTTTCTCTAAAGACGGTCGTTTTGCTTCACACGTGGTTGGCGTGCCTGGACGAAAACAATTTCAACGACGCTTCGTCGTACAAGCCGGAAAGGTGGTTGGACGAGCTAACAAAGAAATCGCCATTCCTGGTGGTACCGTTCGGATGTGGCAAGCGAATGTGTCCGGGAAAACGGTTCGTCGAACTGGAACTACAAGTCGTCTTGGCTAAGGTTTGGCGGTCATTTATAAATGAAAAAAAAAACATAATACCATTGAGCACCTACTACTCAACGATAATAACGTTTAAAAATATACAGATACAAATAAAATAGTTTTTAAAATCAATTTGTTTTGCAGATGGTCAAACAATTTCACATCGACTTTAAGGGACAACTTAACACCGAATTTGAATTTCTATTGACGCCCAGTAATGCAGATTTAATCTTACGAGATAGAGGCTGTTGAAATATGGTTTCAACAATTTATATTATATTGTAGAGTTCTATTTCCACGTCTGATTGTATCGGTAGCAAATAAAAGCTGCTACTTGCAGTGTTGCCGTGTCGTTTCGATGTTTACCTCATAATAATTTATGTAAAACAATAAATAACTACACAGATGTATATAATTATAATTTATTTTTTATACTCTATAATTATATATTCGTGCGTATTTGTTTCGTGTTTTCCATAAACATTTTATGACTTTCATTATTATTGATTTGTTATTTAACTTTGTAAAAAAAATACAAATTATTTATAATAATAATTATTTCTTTTTAGGTAATAATTTATGTTTCATTGTTACCTCTATATTTTTTTTCACTTTTGTCGTAACGATTTCCTTTATTTTTTGTACCAAGTTTATTGTTGTGATAAAAATATGTATAAATCATTTTTTTAACAATTATTATTATTATATTGTGTACTTCGATTGATGTCGATTGTTTGCATAAATCAAACCACCATGAGTGTTATTTGTTTCAAATTATGTTGAATATGTTTAATAAAATTACATCTAGTTATTATTATTATTATTATAAAGTATTACTTTATTGAAAATAAAATTATCTTTAATATTTGTTGTACAACAATATTTTTATTTTTATTTTATTTTTTGGTTGTATTTTGTATACCGTTTATCGTATTAAAGTTTAAACCTTTACGAACGACTATTGAAAATACTAATTCAGAGTTTAACCTTAAATTCTTAAAATGAGATTTGAATTGATTGTATTAAATTGTCGTTTTCAAGTAATTTACATTTATTTAGGTAAAACAAAATGGTTTTCGATGACAAATTAATTATTCTATTTTGAGATGAAAGTTAGTATATTTTATTTTAAAAATTAGTTAAAAACTTATCATTGAACAATAAAAGGTGATTTATAATGCAGAAGTGGAAGTGATCAGTAGGTTCTTTTTTTTTAAATTGACCAAATATGGTTAAATCGATTTACTAATAATATTCCATATTAAATTATAAAAACTATGTGAACCGTAGAATAATTTATTAGAGTCGACAGAAAAATAAAATGTTTTCAAAAGTTGTTTAACATTATAATAAATTTTTGACCAGTAATTCGATGTTTGCAAAAATTATTCACAAAATATTGTTAGATTATCATGGAATATATGGAATAGTCTTATATTTATCAATATTTTAATAACAACAATCGCAAACATTTTGTAAATAATACTTGTAGAACATTAAATTGCTAGCAAAACATGTGTTGTGAAATATTTTTTAAATGTTAAAAAAATCCCTGATAACATTATGAAAACACTGTTGACTAAAATATCGTCGAATTTTAGATTTATGCAGTCGTTTTAAATAATTTGTACTATTCGGTCAGAAATCAGAATTCGGGATTCGTACCCGGTACTATTCGCGTTCGATCGGACTACCCCACGCAAACACACATACTCGTAAATGGCATAAAGCAAACCTCGTCCCCTACCAATTATATTGTTTAAGAAGGAAAAACACATATAGCTGCTGTAAGGGGCGAGTATTGTATGGAATATCAAGCAGGGGAACACACCCCACAACTCTATTGTATGTGGAATATAGGTACACCGTGCATTTTTTTCATGTACATTTCTGCTTTATTTTGCGGGGTTTTTGGAAAAACTATTAAACAATGTTAATGGCTTATAGAAGTGTACGTCTAGACTCCATAATGATTTACGTCGGACGAGTATTCCAATTTACAGCCGATTCGTGCTTTAGCCAGTGTTGTAAGAATATATTGCAAGTCAATTTACATTAACGGGTCATGATAAATAATAATATTATAATAATAAAACCCGATTTCAAAGATAACTCGCTAATATGTCGTGTGGTTTTGAATTAAAAACATTTTCTATGGTTTATCATCATCAGTCGTGTTTATCGTTTGCAAATGCATTAGCGATTTCCCAAAGGTATGATTTTTTGTATAAAATATAAGTTATGTAACCTTAAAAAGCGACATCGTCCCGTTCTAATTTTGAAGAGTAAAATTAAAAACAAACCGATCGTCAATGGCTCTATTTTACTTTATTTGCGTTTCTATTTTACTCGCACGCTTTACATTTGTTGGGTTAGGGCGTTTCCAAGGTTTTTATAAAAAGTTTTGTTTTATGTTTGTTTGCTGAACTGCTATCTATGAATTTTTGAAATTCCTACAAGATTGGGGTGCATAAAAAAAAACCTTTTTATTTTAGTTATTCAAATAAGCAGGCGCAACCATTATTTATTCAAACTTGGTTTTGACGTTTGAACATCAAGTATAATTAATATTTGACGTACGTCTAAATGTTAACGTTTGAGTACACGTTTAATTTTGACCTTATACAGTTATTCAATATGACAATAAAAAAAACAAAAAGTACAATATAGCCGAATGATACCTTCAAACGAGCTGTGTGGCTATGGTATAGCAGTAAAATAGATATTACTGATCATAATTCAAACATGTATATTTTACATATTTTGTACAAAATAAAAAGCCCAAAGTGACCTCCAATATTTAACTGACGATACCCAACCATTATTGTGACACCAAAATAAACGATTTCATTCAAACTGATAATACATAATAAAACGTTTTTTAGCAAAATACATAAATATTCTACAATATAAATAAATGTATAATATACACACAAATGGTAAAATGGTTATGAAGGTACGGGTGAATTCATTTACACAGTTGGTTAATAGTTTTTTTTTTTTGACAAAATAAAATATTAAATAGATTTCCTATTTGTATTTTTGTGTTCCTTTGTGGTTGTTGTGTTAAACGGCTATTTAAGTACATTTACCTGTAGTTTAATCCATAAACGATTAACCCACTTAAGTAAATAATAGGTTACACAGTCTCGAAGCAAAACTTTTAGGTAATTAATTTTAATGTCAATTGCTTCTTGCCGTGTAAGGAACCAATTTTTCATCTCGTGATCACACTTATAGTTGAATTTTAGGGGAACTTAATATTACATTAGTATTTTCAAATTTTTATATTTTCAAATCTTATTTTCAGAAGTGCATCAAATTATCAAGCCGATTAAAAATAAATAATACTGAATATGCTGAAAAGACCACAGTTTTTCGATATAATGAAAATAAAACTATTTATGAATACAAAAAGATTACATTAGTAGTTTCGAGGGTAAGGATTTCAAGTTCCGTGACTAAGTAAATGTCTATCAAAACTGTATCAGGATATCTTATCTTATCTTATCGCATTAGGAATGGGCTAGATGATCTTTAAAACTTTTTAATTCATAAATATTATTTTAAATATTGTTTTCTTGTAAAATACAATAAATTGATGCAAAATATAGCTTGATAATAATCTAAATGTTTGTATACTATTAAAACGATATAGTTGTTTTACAAATCGCAACAAAAATATTTGCACACTTAAATCAATGAGAAGATCAAATATAAAACAGTTAAACCGCGTTTACCCATTTTTCTGGGCAAAATTAACAACATTTCTTTACGATAACACATACTATTTACTTTATTTTATTGATTTGTTTAAGGTTTTTTTTTTAATCGACCATTTAATATGAACAATATCCACTTGTCAATAAGTGCTTTTCTGTATTTTATAACTACTGTTATAATTAGCCGTCCACAATTACTTAACATATAAGGATGTGCGGCAATGAAAACGGGGCAGGGTCACGAGCCGGGCGGAATCGCGAGTTTTGCCGCAAAACACGATGAAAATAATAGTACAATAAAAACGTTGCGCCGGCAATGCGCATGGGCCGCCGCCGCCACTGCCGCCGCTGCGACCGCCGACGCCGCTACCGGCGCTTGCTGGAATGGCACCGGGGTGTGGAGCAGAATGAATGAAGGGACCCCTTATAGATTTTGGCCTGGACGAGTACGTGCGTGTGTTGCCTTCGTCGTCGTCGCCGCCGCCGCCGCCGCCGTCGTCCCTGTGTAAGCGAAAGTTTCTCTCTGTAGTCCAAAGCGCGACAACACAAGGGTCTGGCGGTCGCAGGGACAGTACTCGAACAGCAACAGCAACAACAACAACAACAACAACAACCGTAACCGCAACATGGTCGAAGACCAGGCAAAGCGGCAAAAGAGGAGACCAATAATATGGATTCGTTTTGGGCGGACATGGTTCCGAGGCGAGGGTAAGTCCACCAAAGCAATATTAAAGAAGCATAACATACATCCTAATATCAGATGCAAATGCAACAAGACAGGAATCGCCCAGAGAGTCCTGTGATAATCATTGTTATTAGAATTGTGTTTTATGCTACTGTATAACTCCCTATAATTGATGATAGTCGACTAGTAACACTCGATACTTGTTTTTTATTTATATTAACTGAAACGTAAATGTAAATATTTACCTATTGTCCGGATTAAGAGAAGTAAAATATAAAAAAAAACACTTTACCGTCATATCAATCATTGTGAACATGAACACAACCGTGACATTGTTACTTAACATTAACTGAAATATTAGAATACGTATGATTTGTATAAAAACAGGAGTTAGCAAAATATAACTTTTTTTTTTTTTGCCAAAATTTAAATATATATTATTTTGGTTAATGTATTATACATAACAAGCTTTCATAAAAATATAATAAGTGAAACTTACAAATGACATAATAAATGTATAGTTACAACTTACAAAATATAGTCTTAAGTCTAAAGGATAAATAAAATGCGCATTCAGTATGAAAATAATATTTTGTTTATACGATTTTTTTTTGCAATTTATTCTATTTTTTGTTGGTTGGTTTTGGTAAGTTAGTTTTGTGTATGTATCAAACACGTGATGTGGGGACATGACATTGGCCTACGCTGAAAATCCCAGGCGGTCACCCATCCGTGATCGAGCAGTAATAGACACTACTTAACTTCAGGGTGCCGAGTGACAAGTGGGATAACCACTGCGCCACACCATGCCCCTCATATAATTTTGATTGAACCGTTAAATTAATAAATATTCATTATTACGCCTAGCCTAAAAGGTTCTTATTTAATTTTCTAACTATAGAATTTTTTTTCTGAACGCTGTTTCTTAAACGAGGATTTTAACAAAATAAATTGAAAGTATATTAATATTTTTATCCAACTATATATCTGCTATAAGATGAATGCAATAATGATTTAAAAGGTGGTTAAATAATATAGTATTTAATTTTTATAAATTTGTTATACCCAAATCTAGAAATAGCCCAAACAAAAAACTTGTTGGATCGGTATTGTGTTATTGTGTACCTATGTATTTAAAACGTTTAGACAAATGTTTAAACCCTTTTTGCAAAGGTTTTTTGAGCTAATATTGTGTTTTTAGGACGTTTCATTTATTATTATTTTATTACTGTTTTTCGTTTAATTATATATTACACTCTATTGATGTAACAAACAATAGACACTATTAGTTAAATTTAATTATTATTGGATTAATCGTCTAGAAAAGTTGGAAAAATTATTATCATTATTTTTTATTTTGTTTTGTTATGCATGAGTAAAAAACCAGAATATGTTCTTAACCTTACATATCTATTGAGTGTCTCTATTCTCTATACATGCAAATGGTGTTAAATTTAAGTAATGGTAACATTAAATACAATTAATTTTCTTTTACAATTCAGAGCATTTTTTTTGTTTATATTTGATGCGATAACCTGCAAAGGTTTTAGTTTTTTCAATTCTAATGGTTATTATTGTTTTTTAATTTCGAATTCAATAATCCGCATGATATTTACTAAACTGAAACATGTCAAGATTCGGTACAACTGAAATAACAAATGTGAGCGTAAAATAATACTACCTCATCATTTGTAAACATAATAAAAAACAGTTATGTAGTAATATTACATATCTGTTTTTTTAGTAGTTTACAGTACTCTAATAGTTCATATACTACACTACTTTCATAACGCAATTTGCTTAGGTAGGTACAAAATTGTAATGCGAGTGCGAAACAGTGAAGATAAACGATATCGTGTCAAATAGTACTTATGTATTTCACCGTTATTTGAGTAAATTAAATTACCTGGTCATTTTTTATAAGGTAACTTTTATTATTACAAAGATTACAGTAAAATGCAACCATAGTTAAACGCGTTTCGTTGACTAAGTTCTATTAAACTAAGTAAGTATAACATTTAATAACTAGTAACACATATAATAATAATAATATATGCACATTTAATAATATATGCTAAAAAAAAACACAATCACAAACGTTATTTTATTATTGCTATACAGACCGAGAAATAAAATATGGTAAAAATTATATTTATTATTATAATATGTTGTAGTTATCACCAAATTTTTATTAGATTCAACGATACGACACTATGGTCAATGGTAATAATTATTTGCTTTCCTGCAATTGAATTAAAACTAATAGTGTTTTTTACAAGTATCGGCGAGCATGTAACAATTTCTGTTTTATGCATTCAATGTGTATACAGAAAATCTAAATCTCGCAAATATTGCAGTCAAGCATAGTGTTTCCGAAATACGCTTCAAATTAATTAAAAAATACTAAAATAACGTTAACGTAAAATAATTGAAATTTAACCACTTTAGAAATGTAACACTAATACGTAATAATAGTAATAATAATAATATAAAAGTTTTTGGTTTTGTTTAAAAATTACTATTTACACGAAATAACTGTTTGGCATCTGGCATTGATACTTAACGTTAACGCCGAGTGTAGCAGTTGTAAAAACAATACTCACTTATCCTAAAAAGAATGTGTATTAGTCATAGTAATATACACACTCTTAGTTTATCCTGATTTCTATATCTAAACAAACGCCATAAACTCACTCATCAGCTGCGAAAAGCTGTACGATATGGCCTAAACATTTAACTATTGCACCACAATAACAATGAAAAACGAAACACGAATGTATATTATCTGAACAGGCAAATAATACATATTTTTTTATTGTACACAAAATATGGTCCTATTGACTACAGTTCTTTAGCGTTAATAATTTACAGTAGGTATACAGTTTAGTGTTTACAACAGACTTTAAACTTTTTAGAATGAACCGTGCTCGTGTAAAAATTAAGTTGATTTGTTTATTCTACACTTTTATCTACACTTATTGAGCACCTCTGAAATCATACCGCTAAAATTAACATTTTTGAACTTGTTTAAAATGAAATTTGGATCACATTAGTTATATTTCATAAACGATAATTTCAAAAAAAAAAACAAATAACTGTTAAGTAAAATATTAGTAATGAGAAAGTAATTTCGCACACATTTTTGTCTCCGTTAATAGATACTCGACAGTGTACAACCAAATGTATTCTTCAACAGAGTTTTAGAGTCAAATAGTTATCAGGTATACAATTAATAATATATACGTATTATTGTAGCTACTAGCTTTAATTTATATATTTACAATATATACATAGTTATATATAACACCAAGTACTTTTTCTCAATGTGTACATTTAATCATTTTGTATTTGGTCGTATTTCTTTTTTTTATTCTAATATTAAATTAGTAGTTAACATTTATTTTTTTTTATTTAAAATTGTTTACGCCCACAGGGGCAAGAGTACAGGAATAATAACTAAAAACTAATACAAAAAATAAATAAATAGCACAAATATAACAAAAATAATAATTACAATTAATCACAGCACATATCCGCAACAAATTAATATTATCAGAAAAAAAAATCAAAATTATATAGATCATTGCATATGCTATAAAAATATTATATATTTTTTAATTTCAGATAAAAATTATAAATTATTTAATTATATATTTATGGTCTTAATATGAAATAATTATGACATAAAATCCTTTTCCTTAGAGTTGCACTCAGCTTTTATTGGAAGTAAGGAAAATGACAGTTATTAAGGCAGAATGTAATGCTAATGGTTTAAATTTTCTGTTTTTAATTTCTATACGGTTTATATTTGGATCTACAATTTTATAAATAAAAATCGTAATTCTATATAAAACTAAAATTAATTTTACGCATATATTTTTTTAACAACTTCTACGCGGCTGCTGTTTTATTCAGCCTTTACACGAGTTTCGATTTAGCTGGCAACCTGCCGTCATTTTAAATTAACAATGACATAATTTATATTTTTCTACTTCGATGCTTCCATAAACCGTATGCTCATCCGCTTTATATTTTAGGAGTTCTATACTCCCCAAGGTTTTATATTTCTGATTAAATAAGTATTTATATATATATATATATATATATATATATATAAATAAATATACAAATACATTTTAGAATGTTAAGTATAATGTTATGATTCTCGAATGAAAAGTAAAAAATAAATGAACAACAGTTATGTTCAATCTTCGCTAATAATGTTGTAGTTATTTGCTAGTTTCTTGTCATTCGAAAAGTTTGCCATTAACTCATGTTGTTTTTATGAAAGAATATTTTAAAAATACTTAAAAAAATAAATAAAAACACGTACAGATAAATATGTATATTTGTTTATTGTTTAGCTTTTTTGTTATAAGTTTTCAAATTTATTTTTAAAAAAAGGGACTTTTTTAACTACGTCGGAGCTAGCTCGATTTGACATGATAAATTACAATATACTCAATACACCTCTGTACTGTATACTACACTTGTAGTACTTACTTACTACTCGCTGTACGTACTTAAGAAAACTAAAACCCATTTTCATTATTTATGAACATTTGGAAACGTTTACAATTGTATTAATATAACTAAGTAATAAACAAAATTATATTAAAATACCTGTATTGTCAAAAGACAAATACAGGCCACACGAGTTTGAGGTGAATGTTTCAAAAATCCGTTAATTTGGTCGATTATTTTCACAATTTTGTGATTAGCTATTATTATAATGTTTTATTATTAATATTTGTTTATTCAAAAAGATAATGCTCATTGCCTCTGAACTTGTCGGTGTGGCATTGGTGGAGGTCAGGGGGTTTGGGATTCTAAAAACCTAAAAAAAAACTTTATAACTCAAAATGATTGGTACATTTATTTTTAATTCAACAAATTTCTTACTAAAAAATAAATGTAGGTATTTTAAAAATCACTAATTATAGCTTGAAGGTTTTTAGTATCCCAAGCCCCCCCCCTGATCTCTGTCAATGTGGTGTAGCCTGTGGGGGGTCGTAATAGAGGTAAAAATGACAATTAATGGATTAAACACATATTTACAAATCACAATATTATAATACAAATAAGGTTCAAATTTGTATAGAATTTTCTGTAGGTAAAGTACTGTCGATAAACGTTGACAAACCAAAAATTACAATTAACCCCTTCCTTAAAAACTTTTTCCTGGAAGTAATCGAAACTTTTTATGTACTCTTTAATAAGTATTACTGATTTTCTATTTATTAAATTGCTAATATACCCAACCTAACTTTATGACGTCACATAGCTGTTAAAATTGTACTCAACCCGTGTTTTAACTATTGGAAAATGCAATTGAATAAGATTGGATAAAAGTGATCATTTCATATGAGTGACAACATTAAGCAGAGCGGATATTGTTAACTGCTGGTAAGGGTCTAGGGGACGTTAACCCATTGAGAACTAAGTGAAAGCGCGTTAATATCAATAGATGCATCAATTATATTATGTGTTAAATGTGCTATTTAGACAGTTGTCTGATAATCATTGGAGTAAAGTTAAGATATACGCTGCTCTTTATAAAATTATAAAATATATATTATTCATACTAAATAATTAATTCATAATACTGAATTCGTAATTAATTAATACGTCTAGAAAAAACTTAAGCAACACTTATGGTTATAAGTTATAATATTAACTACTTCATCATATGTATGCATTATAAATGACTAACTAAAAATCAATTAAATCAAATTAATAAAAGAAAATCGTTATAAGAAATTATCCTCTATGTATATCCTCCGCTTAAGAAATCGTTATTTTTATTTATAAACACCTTAAAATGCAATATGTTTAACAATGGAACGGTAACAGATTTATTTACGTACATATAGTTAATTAATATGGTCTAAAACAAAGATCACACACACAAACTAATAAATTTACTGTACATTATACAATAGTCTCAGACTCTCCAATATACATTTTAGAGATTTTTGATGCAATGTAACTCCGACAATCAATACAATAAGTATTGAGTAATTAGTAGTAAGTTACCTATTTGAATACAAATACGTTTCAATATTATGCACAAATTGTCTTCTATTATAAACAGTCCGTGTGTGAAAATCTTATTACCAATCCCATTTCATCTTGTAATAGTACGTGTGTATAATGTTTAAAATTTGGTTAACAAAACTGTACATAAGAGCAGGGAATAGCGCGGTGGCTTAAATATTTCTTTAATCGTATACTAGTCACCACGGACTTAGTTATAATAGAAAATATGTTTTTGTTTATTTTTCATTTGTTGTCACGTTTGAAAGTTGGTAGTAAAATGTACTCTTTCTTTAGCCACAATTGTTAGTATTTTACTTTAAAATTATAGGCAAGCGTTTATTTTAACTTCGTTAAGGAGCTGAGAGGTATTGTTTTTTACAATGAATTGTTTATTCTTACCCTTGGATATCAACTTCTGATGGATATCAATTTTGGATACCACTAAACCGATTTCTTCATGTAACAGGTCTATTAATCCGAAATCATACCTAAAAGGTACTTTAAAGGACCAAAAATTAAAAAAGTTCACCCCTTCCCCTTCAAAATCTAAAAAAAAAACACCCAACACATTAACATCATTTTTAACATAATATTACGACAAAAAAAAAGGAAAATTACATTTTGACTAACTCTAATCGTATCCACTCTAATACTAAAATTGCATGCAATGCTTTTATCGACAATTGTATTTCTACCATCTAATTGAATCAAATTGTTTATTTAAAAGTAATCTTATTAAAACATTTCACACCTACCTTTTAAATCGAGAAAAACTAAAAATATTCAAATGTTTCATCTTAAAATTACGGTGCGCTATAACTGTTCTAAAAAATTGTTTAATTACATCCAAACTTGAGTGAACATACAGTGAAAACCCAAGAAAATTTTATTAACACTCTCTAGAAGAGGTAGGAACTTTTTATTTCGCTAATTTAGGTTTAGTTTTATGACTCGGGGGGGGGGGAAGTAATGCCCCACCAGGCTAGTTCCCACCCGAGGCTCTATGGATACACGTAAAAAAAATGTGGTTAGTTATATGACTTAAGATCTGAAAATTAAATTGAAGGTAATTCTATAGTGAGGCTAAACACATAAAACTTTCAAAAAAATATGAATTAATTTTTTTTTTTTATAAGAAAAAATCCAAAAAAAAAACACCGTATTAAATTTTTAGGATGCTACGTGTGAGTAAATCAACACGTATTTGATGATATGTTTTTCATTATTGATTATGGTGATATATGTATATGGATAACAATAGCAACAAAGTTGTATAAAAAAAATACATCGCCGTAGTTCTATAAAAGAGTGTTATTTTGTAACATAGGAAGAAAAAGTAAACAATGTTTGGATAAATAAGTTTATAAAAAATGTACTTCGGCAAAAATCAAACTTATCGTGAAAATAAGAAGAAAATAATTAAAATAGCGCGACAAAAAAAGTGCTTAAATCAAACAAAACTGATGATAGACAAAGTTGTAAATTTAAAATGTACGAAAAAAACTCTGTGGTCAAGGAAGACAATAAAAAACCGTGCGCTAAGGTATGACAAGAAGTTTACAAGATAAAAAATCTCATTTATTTATATTTTAAATTTATACAGTTTCGCATCAACGTGTTTATTTGTAACTAGATAAATTAATTTGTTATGTTAGTAAACGGTAAGCTAATCACTTACAGTTATAATTATTATTGAAGACCTGTTCAACCTGTTCCCCAATATGCACGTTCCCAAAGTGCTAGCTTTTTTAATGGAAGTGATTCTATCGGATACTTATATCAGTATGCAAACTTTTAGCATAATTCTGGCAACTACCATGTAATTTTTATAGTCACAAATCATGACAATTAAAATGTCCGTTTTGACTTAAATTTTTAGTAAGAACGATGATAAGTTTAAATGATTAGCTCGAGTAAAGACAAATTTAGAATAACAAAATCGTTGTTCGTCACGTATACATAAGCGTGTGAATTGTATTGTTATTATTATTATTATTATTATTATTATTCCAAACACTCGACGAAAGCTGATCTGGCATGGCGCCATAATATATTTCAAACAAATCAACAATAAGTCTAGTGCGGACCGTTGTTCAAATGCATAAAGCGAGCGCCGCTTTAGCTATGAATGTTATTATTAAAAAAAAATTAACTATTTAAAAAAATACACTAATAAAAGCACAATTTTGTTATATTTTCATTATTTACATAATCATAATATATATTAAATATAGTTTATTATACAAAATTACTATTACATGATATGATACGATTAGTAGTGCTTCAAATGGTTATTTATTTACCTATGTCAAATCAATCGTGAAAGCGTTAAGTGGAGCAGACGGAACACTTGTTGGGGATTTAAGGAGGCCCTAAAATCGACTAGGTCACTACATCGTTTGTCGCCGTTATGTAAAAAATTGAATATAAATCGTCATAAGTAATTAAAACTACTGGTATTTTTAACACGTTTTGTCAATGTCACCGATGTAAATCTCGTCGAATCGGTTTTACGTTCTCGAAAACGCCAAAAGTCTCGGGAGAAGCGCCTGTTGGAATTACAATTATGTAACGAATGTGCGATGCTAATGCATTCCAATGGTTTTGTGAAACTGAATCATTCTAAAAATAAATCCAAACTTCGAGTTTTGTATTCTGAGCCTGCCTCTTAATGTTTGGTGTAAACATAGAAACGCTACAACGGCCGCGGCGCGATGGACGCGTATCATTCATCCGTTGAAGTTTTTGTGCGTGTATAGATTGATGTCTTCGAAATGATAAGCCAACATTTTACCGTGTTTCAGGAAATTGATGCTGAGTCCAACGGCGGCAGTGGGGACTTGGTAAGAGATCAATTATGACCGGCCGCCAGTTCCGTCGGGTACTGTACGGGTTGCTGTGCGTGGCGTTATTCGCAATCGTGCTCCACAGCGGTCGCACGGCTTACTTGCTGGCCACGGACGGGCACTACGGCTCCAGAGTTAGCCTAAGACAATGGAAAGCTGGACTCCAAGTCGACTACAGCGACCCGGTAATGTGTTTAAACAATTAAAAAAACTATAGTAACCACCAGTAACGTGAGTCTCGTAAACGGAAAGATTTCTAAAACAAAATCGTACTCAAAATGTGTACATGATTATTTGTTATTTAAACAAAGTAATATTGAATACATTTCGTCTTCTTGTCTCCTACGAAGCTTCGGCACTGGAGCTTCGAAGGCATATGAAGCTTCGATACTTACCTTTAATGTTAGCTCTGTAAAAGAAGAACAGTTGATTATGGACGCGATCGTTTTGTAAAAAACCTCCTGTATGGTTTATAAGCCACTAGTATTTCGCACATAGTGAACTCAGTGGTGTGTGCAGGATTTTGTAAGCTAAACGGTTACTAAATAATTGTTAGCTTCGATGCAAAGTGGAGGAGGAATTGCGATTTTATAGACGCCCGTTACCAAAAGTAATTAGTTTCATTTGTATAGTACGTTGGCCTAAGTCACGTCGAAAACTGGCGTGTTTCGCATACCGCCACAAAAAGTAGTATAATATCTGCGTTTATCACGTAGAAAACTAGCGTGTTTTGCTTACCACCACGTAATCTAATACCATTAAGTATAAATTGTAAAATCTATACTGAATGCTAATAAGTTTCAGAATTTCGCTTCGATAAGTGTTTCGCTTATCAAAACTCCTATTAAACCGATCATACTACTTTTCTTCAGGAAGAATGTAACGTATGAGATACTTTATCTAGGACAGATATAAATATACTAGTTTATTATACATAGTTTTTATTTACACAAGTTTTCGAGTGGGATAAAACGTGGGATAATACACCTTTTTTTTTCGTTTGTCACAATATGAAACATTTTAGTACACTTTTTCGTAACGGGCGTCATTATAATGATATGTTTATTTTTTTATGGTTTTCAATAATTATAACTATAGATTAAATACATGTATTTAATCTATATTAAACATGTTTATGTTATAACATAACAGAAGCCAGTATGGCCGTTGAAGTAACCATAACAGTTATGGACTATGGTCATTCGTTACTACTTAAATTATAGTTATGCGTATTAAAAAATAGTTATTTTGGCATTTACTTGAATTCTGTTGTCTTGCAAAAATACAGATCGTTAACTATAATTTTGATAATGATTCATAGAAATATTTTGTAAAATTATCAAAACGATATGGGACACAAAACTCATGTGAAAAAATTAATTCGCTGTAAGCAATGAAAGCATTTAATAAAAAATAAAAATAACACGTAGGCAAGTATTTTCATATAGTCGAAACAGTGCTCAGTCCGATTACAATCATGATTATTTTTTAAATATTTCCATATCAATTTCATTATAAATAGTGCTATAAAAATATAGACAATTTTCCCACGAAAAGAAAGACGACAGTGGTTTTTATTTTGGAAAAATAAAATAAATTATAATATTTTATTTTATAATTGTATCTAAAGAGTTGTATTAGGTAAAATACAAATTGATAAACAAAGTTATAACATTATGATAAGACGTATGTATGGTCTAAAATAAATAAATAAAATACAATTCATATTTTAGCTTCGATGGATAGCTGAGGGTTTTTTACAATGATGCGTTTTTTTTTGTGTGTGCCATCTGGACCCATAACATTTTTTAAACTACTGAACCGATTTCCCCTTCAAAATCAAAAAAACACCCAAACAATTTACATATTTTTCAACTAAAACTTACGCCACCCTATAACTTTTTCAAAGTTAGTCCAATTAGTTCCAAATTTATATGGAATATTTTTGTCATGTTTTAATTGATATTTGTAAGTCTACCATTACAGATTCGCATCGAAGTGTTTATTTTAAAGTGATTTTTATCACTTTCAGTTGTAATAATTCATAAAGACCTGTGACCTCCCCACCCCAATATTCTCTGCTCCCACAATGTCCCGACCCCACTGTATTGGGTTTTTGTCATTTAATATATATTTCTTTTATGAAATTGTTTTACGGTGTCTCATGAATTCTATTAACTATTTGTACTTAGGTTTTTTTTTTAAATTTGTTTTTATAAAATATACTTGTTTATAACTTACATTGAGATTAAATACTTTTTTAACATGAAATTAATATTTTTAATTCAACTTAAGTTAATATCTGGTTTATTATTTATATTACAGCAATATTTAGATTCATCACACATAGACCCTATAGCTTCGATGGAACTGAACGAGGACATTAAAAAAGAATTACCATGGTATTTTAAAGGTACGTAAAACTTAATTCTCATCTTTGTTTACAGCAATCTTTCGTATTTATCTTCTTTACCCAAAACTCATTTTTATCGGCATAACAGTATTTTTAAACTTTTCACCACGTCACCTGTCCACAATTAGGCTACCATTCTCCTCCATGACACGGCAAAACACTTAATGATGCCCCCTCCAAAAAAAAGAAAACTGCCAAATCTGCGAAAGCCACAAGAGAAAAAACACGTCACTCCTAACTTTCTTTCAGTTTACCCTTTGAGTTATATTCTTAGTAGTTTCACAGTCATTACGATAGCCTCATTTACAGCAAAGCACTGATTATTTGTTTTAATGTAATGTGTATTTTTACATTTTAGATGGTTCCTTAAAACCCCAAAGATCTCGGATAAGTCCCAGAACTGGCCACAGGACTTCTCACATATGGCCCAAAGAACAGAAAAACGGCGATCGCGTGGAAGAGCAGCTTATGTTTGTCCCTCCGTATTACCAGTACGACGACGAGCCGATGAAAAAAATCTTACTGTTTAACGGTCTCAGCAACTGGATGGTAAATGAGGGCCAAGGTGTATTTCTAGCAAAAAACTGTCCCGTCAATAGATGTGTAATCACAACCAAGAAGTCCGAAGCGCCCTACGCGGATGCTATTTTGTTCAGAGACCATTTTTCACATCCTGGCCACAGGAAATCCGGTAATCAAGTAAGCGCGTACCATGCTATAACACCGTACCGTTGAATATTATTTCCTCCGTGCCTTTGTGCACGAACGATCCAAATTGTATTCGTTATAGACGTTAACAGTATCAAATTAGTGGCCAAATAAACTTTGATTAACTGTTTTTTTCCAGGTGTGGATCTTGTACTTGCTCGAGTCGCCATATCATACGGAGCTCATAACGTACAACGATGTGTTCAATTGGACAGCCACCTACCGACACGAAAGCGATATTGTAACGCCATACGAAAGATGGGCTTATTACGATCCATCGGTAACCCAGGTAGATCAGATGGACCGAAACTACGCGTTCAATAAGACCAAGCACGTGGCGTGGTTCGTGTCCAACTGTGGTGCCAAAAACGGTAGACTGCAATACGCCAGAGAATTGGCAAAATACATACCGGTAGACGTGTACGGCGTATGCGGAAAATTCAAGTGTCCCCGATCGGACAAATGCTTCAAGTTACTAGACGATCACTACAAGTTCTATTTGGCGTTTGAGAACTCCAATTGTGCCGATTACGTTACCGAAAAGTTTTTCGTCAATGGACTACAGTAAGTACGACAGCTACTAAATTGGTGATAGGTACAGCCAAGGGTGCCCGCAGGTGAAAATTCCTAGGCGGCAGGGACCGCCTATGATTTAGTGATAGATTAAACAAACTTGGGATTTTTAATATAAATTGTTTCGACTCGCAGAGAAGCTAGGGAGGAGTTACCCCCTCCTGCCCCTCGCAGTGGGGCCAACTTGTTTGGTAGCGTTAGGTCGCCAGCCAGCTATAAGCCCAAAAATGACAAATATAAACCGTCTAAGCCCTGATTGGTAAGAATAACGGACGTCAAAACGTATGAGATAGTGAATTTCCTAATGTAACAACGTACATCCCTATAGAATTAAAATGAAAGAAAAATAAATGTTATGATTGGATTAGAATTCAACTAAGAATGAGTTAAGACTATAGTAGGTATAACCTATAATTTATTTTAACAATAGGTTTAAATGTTTTTATATTTTAAGAAATTTGATAGCTTTACAATTAGGAACAACATCGAGCTGGTTAACAAATTAATTAATTACATAAACTGAATTCTGAATGACAGGCTGATTCCTTAAGCCTGGTAGCTTTCCAAGTATTTCCATAGATATAATAATAGGTTTCATAATTGGCGAAATAATTAAAATTAAAAAAAGATAAAATTAATGAATTAGAAAATTTAACAATATATTTTAGTAAAGTCAAAATATTTTTCAGTTTCAGAATAGGGATTTTGTACTAACTAAAGGCAAGCAATGATTAATTCTTTATCACCCTACTTGGCGGAAGTTTTGATGAGGAGATTTAAAATTATACTAAAATTGTAACAATAATTTTCTAAAAATTTGGTTTAGGTATAAATACTTGATGAATAAAGACTTGATTTTGATGTTTTCTTCAAGATATAAGTTATCATTACCCTTCTATGTATGTCCATTACGAAATTTTTTTTACCAAAATTTCTAAATTTGGAATGACGACGAGTCATTATTTCCGGTAGATAAGTGCTGCTATATATGTAGATATAGTGGACGAGATTGTTAGTCCATAATCGGTCACAGCCCAAGTGTATAATTTTTTATTGTTATGAAGGGTATTTTTGATTATTTTATTACTTAACTGAACATAACCATAATAATTAGTGGTAGGTCAGGGTTTTTTCTAGGACGTGTTGTAATCATTATTTTTAATTATTGTACCGGAATTTTCAGACATAACGTGTTGCCCATCGTGATGGGCGCTAAGCGTGAGGACTACGATCGGATAGCACCTAAGCACTCTTACATCCACGTCGACGATTACGAGTCACCCAAAGCTTTGGCGGAATACTTGCATCAGCTCGATGGCGACGACCAACTTTACAACGAGTACTTCCGTTGGAAGGGCACCGGCGAATTCATCGACACCAAGTTCTTTTGTCGGCTCTGTGCTGTACTGCACGACAACTACCCGTCCAAACACTACCGGAACATCAATGAGTGGTGGCGAGGGCATGGTGTGTGCAATAATGCCATGCCGTGGCGTCGTTTTCTGGAGACGTTTGAGTTATTGGATTAGCATCCGGCTGGCGGCGGTGACCAAGGCGGCGCCCATCCTATAGCGTCGGGCCATTCCGACCGCCGCCGACCCGGCATGCAGCTACAAAAGGCTACCGTCGCCAAAATGAAACGACGTCGTCAAAACTGGTACGATGATTATTCCATCAACATGAGTAACAACAAGGGCGGCAGGGTAAGAAGAAAAAGAAGACGGGGTCCCGGTAATCATTAGACGGTTCCATTATCTACAAAACCGATATGTACGTTCATCGGCACAAGCCATTAGCATTTTGCTGATGGGATAAAATCCTAGTAATCTTATAGACACTTATTGTATAATATGTAAATTAATTTGTGGTTAAAGATTCTTCTTTTTCTTAGCTTTATTAAGTCTAAAAATGTACAGAAGTCGGTACCGTTGTTTATAGATAACAATATCTATTACATTTATTATAAAATATGTATATAAATCGTCAGTCTAGTTAGCAAAGGGCGTAACTCCAAAAAAACTCATTTTTTTAGTATATTATTACACTTTTTAAAAGAAAAAACAAATAGTGCGACGGCTAATCATAATATTTCAGTGTTTTGTTCCATGAAACGCGTGATAAACAGTTAGCAATTGTTCATTGAAATAAATTTAATATATTACAAGTTTTTTCCTTCTAGTGTAAAATTTGATATTTTGGAGTTACGTCCTTTAATAACTAAGCTGACGATAAGTTATATATACGGTGTACACAAAGTCTTATACGTTAGTTTTAGTTATTTCTACCTAAAGTGTACCTATACGTAATAATATAACACATTAGCTTATTATAGTCAAATTTAACTAATGTAGATGTAGTCTTGAAAGTGTTATGGGTCCAAATCCTTGTTTTTAGTTATATTAGATGCAATAATGATAAATATTATTATTAACTTTTTTCAATGCTAAAATTGGTTTTATAGAATTATTGGCGATATTTTAGATAACATAGTTGTGATGGCTCGAAAAAATCTAGTATGAATCTAGTAGAACCCAATTCTAAAAATAAACAATTGGCGTAATGATTATAAATTACCTAAAAACAGCTCTTTATAGTACGTATGTACAGTTAAAAATTGTTATTTAATTTGAAACAAACTGATCTTAATATCTAATACATGTTTAGAGCAAAAACGTTTTTTTCTGAATACAAATTACAATTTGTAACAACCGACTGATATTTTTAACTTTATCCGCTCTAATTCAACAGCATATAAATTATCATAATAGATCGGTGTCAATTTTTATGTGTTACATTATCCTATACCGCCATTACGGTATTGATAGCTTCATAAATAATATGTGTAATAAAAAGCATATAGTATAGTAATATAGTCACGAAGTAATATATTATATACATAAAACTAATAATTATTGTACTGACTTATAACATGGGGTCACTAAAAGAATGAAAGACTCTGGTTTAAAGCTAATTACAAGAAAATGCATGTTATAAGTATTATTTTATTTAAATTGTTTTTCCAACGAATTGTTTTTATTTTTTAATGTCATGATAATTTGTATTATTTGTGTTGCATTTATAAAAAATAGAAATTAATTTACAATGACCAAAACTGCCATTTGAAAAATTTAGTATATTTGAAAATAGTTACAATTAAAAAATAATTTAAAACTTTAATTCTATAATAAAATGGTGTCATATTTTTTAATAATAAAAAAATTCATATGAGGAAAATTCAACAAAATTCCCTGTTTTTTTGTCTTCCATTAATATTTTGTTTTACTATATTAATTTAATTTTCGATTAGTATAACTGAAAAATATTGTTAATCCGTAAAGATTATTTACAATTTATGACTGAAGGTAATATTAAACTAAAAAATAAAATTAAGTAGTAACAATATCTAGCGATACTATTAAAAAATGTTCCCATCATTCACTGATAAATGATTATTGTTTAGATTTATTTTGTTTTGTTTCTTTAGAATATTTAAATTTTATAATTAATTATAATTTGTGTTATTTTTTAATGTGCTTTTGAAAATTAATATTGTAATATTCGATTAAGTTAATATTTTATGCACAATTTATTGTTTAATACCTCCTGTGATAACAAAGTGATATTGTTTTTATTCGCGATCTTAGGTGCAAATATAAAATGTAATTTTATAATAAATAATCGTATTAAATGTAACTACATAATTAATAATCGTATAAAAAATTGGTCAATATTTAAAAACAAATGTTTACAAACGATAAGTTCAACCATATTTTTGTTTGACAATTATTCTTTTTCTTCAAAACTCATTTGCGCCTTTGTTGCTTTTTCTGTACGTTGGTTTATAACAGTTAATAATATATAAAAGACGAAAACATTGGCTGAGTTCAATCAACAACTGTTGACCATAATATATTATATATTTAGACTTATAGTATATTATGTTACGCAATACGCATACATTTTGTTGTACTATATTGCATACACTAATAATATATCTTACAATATGTATGTATACCTTTTTTATTTATTATTTTATAATGTATAATATTATTAACCTAAATAAGAGTATTGTTTATTAGTTCAATATAAATCTTTATAGAAAACACAAAACTACTTACAGTTATTATTTGCAACTTTTGATTTTTCTATCAATACTTACTATATAAAACCAAAAACAAATATTGGTAGATTTCAAACAAATTAATTACCAACGCTAAAAATTACATTTGGTAATAATTAATTATTAGCATAAAAAAAGGAGGAAGTACTCAAGTACCTAATGTGAAAGCGACATGTCCCCTCATCTATGTCAGTAGGAAAAAAGAGAATAAAAAAATATAAACCGTAATTTTTTGTGGAAAAATATTAAAAGTTTATTTTTTGTATAAAGTATAGTAGATCTGAATTATTGCGAATACTTTTACAAAATATTCTTTTGGCAAAACGTCATTATAACTTTTGGCATTACCCCCATTAATTTTTCTCTTAACGCTTAATTATATTCTTTTTTAAATATATGAAAACACTGCTAAAAATATAGTGTTTACTGTTTTACAAAAAAAAAAGTACTTTAGTAACAATGTAATTTACCATACCGGTAATTACAATAATAATAATTATGAAGATACGAGTAATTTGTGTTACTTGCAATTTGTAAGCGTACAAAGAAAATGTTCAACAGAAATATGAATCGTTTACGTTTAGCTAATATTGTTTTAATGGTGACCGCGTGACCGTAAATCAAGGAAAATAAATTTATTTAGAACAAAGTACAAACGACAAATTAACTGACAGCAAAATTTAACTTCAAAAATAAAACTCCCAATATTATAGAATTGAGAAATTTTAACTTTTCAATTAGCTATACATAATATATATTATAATAGGTAGATTAGTCGTTTATAAAGATTTAAAACAATATTGGACACATGTTTGATACCAAAATACAATGAATTCAATGATTATTGCAAAATTTAGGTTCAACGCAGAACTGATAAATCGTACACCGAAAATACTTTATAAAACTAAAAGTTCATCCCTTAGCTTTTGTCGTGTATGGTATTGTCGAACACAGACACAACTTTAAGTGTGTTTTAACAAGTACAATCTGAGTATAACTATAATTACGATTCGTCGTATAAAGGGCCAGCTACACCTAAACTTGTAGGGAAATTTCGTGCAGCCAGCAATTTTTGCGGCTGTAAATAATAGAAATAATTATAATTTTCAATATATTAACAATTTTATCGCTTGCCATTTTGCCTAAATTTATTGCTTAGTTTCATAACTGTATGATTTCTCGCTTCTTCTAGACTTTCAAAATCGATAACAAAATATAAGAACATTCACATATTCAGTTTTAATAAATAAATAAAAATATATATATATATATTTTATACAAATAATATATTTTATTTTAGTCTTTTAAACATAATAATTCATACAAATGTTTGAAGTGTCTATTAAGCTATTATTTTTTTTTTCGTAGCTACATCATGGCAGATATAGTATTAAATTGTTTTAATGGTAATGTCTACCAACAATTTGATAACAATGTTATGTCACTGATTTCCATAATTAAACTTCTTTAAATCTTTTCTTCAGTCAAATTAAGAATAAAAACTTTATTGGGGTGATAACTTTAAAAACATAAGCAAATTTTACAGGCGTTTTGTATATGTAAAATTATAGCATTACAGCTGTATATTGGGACATTGGGCCATTTAACAGTGAAACATCAGCAGCTATTGCAATGATCAGTGTTGCCAGTATAAAAAATAATTACACTTATCACAAATCCATTGATAACGTCATTTTATGATAAGTTTAGAGTAGTTATTACTCTATGATACTAAGATAACATTCACGGCGCTTTGATTTGAATTACTTTTTTATTAACTTTGACATTTGTAATGTTTTTAAATAACTAAATTTATAATCTAACTTATTAATATTTGACTAATTATTTGTTTTTACTTTTGCAAATCGTACCGACTTACATAATAGTTTTTCAGTATCTTTTTAAGCACTATTCAACATATTCAATTTAAAACTTTTACTATATAATTTACACTTAGTGTTAGCTAAATAAAAATTAAATGTAAAGTTTATTAACAACCGTAATAATTTTTAAAAAATGCTAGGTATACTATTAATTATAACTGTTTTATTTTAGAATAGTATGATGATGGAATCTAGGTTTTCAACTTCTGAAACTATTAGTGCAAAGGTCTGTCCAATTTACTTAAAATTGAAATTTCAACAAGCGAAACGGAGACAAGAAACATTAGTTATTCAGAGACAGTAAGTTATTTTGTATATTTTTATAGAATCTAATTAGATTTACATAGTGGTTATTTTTATTGGATGTTCATTTTTTGAATTAGTATTCAATATGAGTCCATGAAATTATATTATGAGTTAAAAAGTAAAATTATGCTAAGTAAAAATTGATTATTTAAAACAAGGTACCTTTGTCTCATTTAAATGCTTATCAAATTAAAAAATTAAAAGAAATATTGACAACAAATATCTGTGTTCCATAATATAAAGAGGTTTATATTTCTGAATTTGTTTTTATTTGATACATGGAAAACCTAATTTTATAATGTATTAATACATTAATTGTACAAATCTAGAAATTTAATTTTTCAAAACAAACTTAAAGATTTTAAGGTACATTTTTATGTTTACAAAATACTTTTATTCAATTATGTTAGTTCTCATTTCTCCAATTACAAAATGTACATTAATAGTTAGTAACTTGTTTTTTTTAACTAGATATTACTTTATTAAATTTGATTAAGGTGTAAAGTTGTATTTTACTTCAAATTTTATTCTGTCTAAATGTTTTGGTGTTATTGATGTCTTGACTATTGTAGAATTATTTTTAAAGGGTTGTATGTTATATTTAGTGTTAGTGCTTGGGATTCCCAGCATAAAAATTATAAGATAATAACACTACATAGTACACAATAACAATTTCTTGATGTACATTATCTCAATGCTAAATTGTAATCTTTTACGATTATTTAATCCTTGTTATCCAGTGTTATTGTTGCAAGTTTTTTTTTTTGTTTAAAGAGTTTTGTTTAAGTTTAAAAAAGTTGTTTAACTATAATATATTATAAGTTTACCAATAACTTATAAAATGGGTTCTTCAGTACTAAAATCTGTTATGGAGATTATTGACAATCTCAACTCTGTGGTTTTCATGTAAGTGTAATTTTACAATACTGCATAAAAATTGTTCAATTAGTTTAATCGACTAGTATAAATAATCCTTTCGAAATTTGTAATAAATGCTTAAAACTTTTATTATAAAATGGACAAGCGACGATAATAAACTATAATATTATTTGTTCAATGTATAAAAATAAAAAATGAAATGTTAATATAAGTTAAATTTGTTTTTACGGTAAAATAATGTGTTATTACACATTGTATTACAATGTGTTATTACTTTTTATATTTTGTTTTTGAAGAACACGTATTGTATGTTCTTCAAGATAAAATTGAATTAAAATAATTTGGGATTATTAATGTCACTTTTGTATTATATTATTTTGATACACTATATTTTGATCATTTTTTTTTTTAGAAAACGCGATGAAGAAATTACAAAAAGAAGGAACATTGATAATAATGAAAGTACTGTGGATATGGTATGTTGTAAAAATGGGGGCTAAACGTATTGAACCACTTAAACTTAGAAGTTAGAACTGTATAAAAGATTATATTTTTAGATTTAGTTTTTTTTATAAGGGATTAATGAGTTATGATTAACTGAATATTACTGATTTTAACTTGCAGAGTTTTGAGTATGTCTACATCCGCCTAAAATTGTACCAATGGTTGTAATTGTAAAATAACAGCTGTTTTTTCGAATTCTAATTAGTTTTGTTTTGTGAAAAAAACAGTATATTTATAAATTTTAGAACAAAAAAATTGTTATTTTATAGGAAGTCGAAAGCAAAAAAAGTTGGCCATATACTCCAAATAGCGAAGCATATGAACTCGCAACTTCTATGATGTATTCTGAATGGTTGTTAGAAGTTCCTGAAAATATTGATGACTGGATAGCAGTTTTGTGTCCTGAAGGAAAGCGTTGTTGCGTTATTGCCCAAGACGTAATAAAAAAACCTAAATAGTTAATTGGTTCTTAATTATAATACATTTTAATTTCTTATTTATAAAATATTGATATATTTTATTTTTTTTAGAATAAAACAAAAGCAGTTAACAAAAAAGGTACTTCGATCAATTTTTTTCCTTCATTGTTTCCGTATGGTTGTCATAAACCAAGTAACAGTCCATCACATCGCAAGCGCACAGTTCTAGATTGTATTTATAATTTTAAATTGAAAAAGTACTTTGTATTAGATGTCATTGAGTGGATGGGTGTACCGTATACTAATTTTGATGTATGCTAATAACAAATTATTTTTAAAAAAAAAATGTTTTTCTTTAAATTGTTAAATTTTTTTTTAGGCTGAATTCAGGTTTTATTTTATTCAAAGTAAATTAGCTGAATTACCAGGCATTGATCAAAAATCAGTGAAGAATAATTACCCATTTGAGGTAATGATAATTTTTTTTTTACTATCTAAAATCCTTTGTTAAACAAGAAAAATTCTTCTGTAGAAACTTATTTGTGATTTGTTTTAAATGTACATTTGTTTTATTTTTAGCTTGCTCCACGGATGTTAGCAAAAGACTGCTATCCATTACTTCTAGAAAAAAGTGAATTTTTTACTGACGGTATTCAGTTAGATGGTATTAATTTTTACTATCCAGAAAGTTTGTACACTCCTGGAGATACTCCGTTGGTTCTTTGGCTTAAGCCATTTATGATTCCTGAAATTTTACAAAAACCAGTCAATGATCAACTCTTACAACTACCTTATAATTATGTTAATATATTTGAATATATTCAGAGTCCTGAAAAAAAAATAAAAAAATTCAGAAAAAAGCGAACTTCTTGTAATAGTGATAAAATGGATGTTGACAATTTGGTTGAGGTAATACAATATTTTTTTTTAAATTCTTAATCATATTTATATCAACACATTTTATACTTAAGTATTATTTTTCATTTGCCCTACAAGAAAAAGTATTGCTATAGGAACAGTTTGGCTTACTACCAATAAAATGAATACATTTAAGTTAAGCTCAATAAGTTGTACCTATTAAAGTCTATATTGAACATATTAGTTTTTGTAACAAACATAAACTATATTTTTTAAGAGAAACTATGGTTCCTTAGTTTTTTTTTTCGAAATGGGAGTTAGACTGTATCATGTATCTTATTGAAAATTAAACAGTATGTGTTAGTCTGTGAAATTTTTAGTAAATTCAAATTTTACCAGTATGTTTGTTCAGTTGTCTTAACTACCTGATTAAATGTTGGTAGCGATTGGGTGATGATTTAAAATTTTGATGGGAATTATTGCCAAGTTACTTTGGGATTCATCAAAATAGTTAAATAGAATTAATTCAGTTGGAGGAAGATAAAAGGCAGTGGATTTTTAATTTTTATTGTTTATTATAAAACTATGACATACAAATTACTAATATTTAAATACGTTTACAGGTGGAAGTACAAAAAGAACTTACATCTGAACAAGGAATGTCTGTGGAAAATTAAATTGCATGCCAAATTCTTTAGTAAGTATTGGTAATATGAGGGGGGGGGATAACCTGATTTCCCAATATTAAAAAATGATAAAAACTGTTGGATGTATGGAATATGAATAATATTGACTTACCAGATTTTATCAGAATATAATAAAAATAAAAATATTACTTTTATATTTACTAAATAAATATTGAAACAAATTACAATTATTTAATGATTTAATTTAAATAATTTTAAAATCTGGATGATATTTAAATGTTATTACTATCCAAAATGATGCAAAATGTTTGGTTTTTATATGTTTTCATTACGTTATTATTATATATTGGATGTCTGCAGAATCCTATTATTTGGTTTCTCTTCTTCATTTTCGCCTTACACTACCAACTTGCCAACTACATGGGATCGGCCACCTTAGTCCTACATCTCCATAGAGCTCAATCTTCTATATCTCGTTCAATCACCCCAGCTATATTATATATATACTAGTAGTTTTTTAAAAATAAAGATAATAAAATAATTCTTTTCTATAGTCTTTATGAAACTAGTGGTCTTTATGATATATGTATTCAAATGAAATTGAAATTCTAAACATTATTACTTAAAATAATTTATATAGGTTTAATGTATATTGTTTATAATATTATTGAAGTCTATATTAGTGGTAAATCTTTAAATGGAAGAACGCGAGCCAAACAAATTTTTGTATGCGTCCAATTTAGTCAAAAGATTAGTCATTTTAACTATGTCTATACTTCCCAACCAAAAATTGTCTTGTTGGCTGAGCAACCTTTAGTGTTAAAACGCTTTTTTTATTGAACACTTTGGTTATCCGTGCTACTAATAAATACAGATACTTGTATTGTTACCCGTTACTGAAATATTTGTTTTAAATATCTCTATTGTGGTGCTCTGTAAGTACAATCACCTGTATAGTAGCTAACAAAATATAATATTTACATATTATAGGTATTATTCATATTGGAGAGAGAGAGAGAGGTATTATTATACATATACTACAAGATTAATCATTTTAGGTACGATTTTATTTTGTCATTATTATTACTAATAATATACATTATTAATAGCAATTTTAAAATATTTATAAGTATTAAGTACCTATTATTTATTATAGCAACACACTACTAAACTTATTTAGCAACTATATTTATAATAAACCGGTTCAATTATTTTTCGCTTTTGAAATTATATTGGTCTAGCAAAGGTCATAATAATATAGTGGAATTAAATAAAAAACGGCTTTTAAAATATTTACACTACGGTTTTATACGGTTTACACTACTAGTTATGTTTTTTTTTTTTAAATAAAACTAAAGATCGACTAGGAGAATGTTCTCTTAATTTCGTTGCTTCGCTGTTTTACGACTAACGTGTATGCTATATCTATAGCTACCTATTATTTGATTGTATTTCATAAAACGCCATTCTGTTTCGGCATCTTAGATCATTTAATTACGTTGATCTAAGGGTGACAACTGACAAGATATTCTCATTGTATTAGTATAGGATATTGACGTTATTCTTCTATGTTAGCATACAAATCTTACTATCACCATAGATAACAAAACCATTATAGCCAATTATTTTTCATAACAATTACGTCCTAACCAGCTCTAGAAATCTAACAACTGATAGGTAACTGTAAATCACTATTAAAATATCCCTCTGGAGTTTGGACACTCGGAACTTGAATTGCGACTACATACACTGAAACATCAAACATGTGTTCTTTTCATGTCGGTTAAATAAAAAAAAACTATTTTAATTACACTACTAAAACTAACCTAATCTGGCATCTATATTTAATGCAAAAACTATAAACTAAAGTATTTTACTTTACTATTAAACTCGAATGACTTTTTACTTTTTAGTCAGTCATCACTTCTGTTCAGTACTATTCAGTTTTCTAGCGAAATAACATTACTACTTGGAACGCGTTTTACTCGCACCGTGACGAGATTAGAGCATAAATACCAGGATGACTGTTCGGCGAGTGTTATTTTCGTTTCTAAAAATATTTCTTAGAAAATAAGTATTGTAAAATTACTACTAGAAGTCACTTTTTTTAAAAATAATTTACAATGTTATAATAAATGATTCGTTTTCAAACGTATACATATAATAATTAATATTTACGGTTCAAGAATAAATTATAACATTGATATACATAGTTGTGTAAAGATCAAAAATCAACGTAGGCTGCTTGTTCTACTTTTGAGTTTTGTTTATTATATACCTAACTAGCTTTTTATTAAAATGTATTGAATCAAACGGGTTTATAATATTATTCGAATAAATAAATTGAGAATTTTCAATTTTAATTATAATATGTTTATGTACTTAATGATGAGTTTCTCATTAAACACAATAGCGGCAATTTTTTAGGGGTGTCGAATTACCTGTTACCAATATCTATAACTTACCTTTTACGACAATTACGTTTGTAACTTTTTTTTGTAATCGCACGAAAAACAAGATATTATTATTTATTAATATTATACAAAAATAGAAAATAGTTTTATTATGAATAAAGCGTTTTTAGGAAAAACCATAATAATAATAATACGGGTGTTATCATCATATTTTATCGCCGGCTGCTCACAGTAATATAACTGATTACAAAAAACCTAAAAATTTGCGGTTGAATATTGCGGTAAACAATGTACGGTTTAATCGATACGACCAAAATAGTTGGACGAGAAGAAGTAATTGTCATTTAGTAAATTTAAAAACGCAAATAGATACATAAAATTAATAAATTAAAAACAATAATGAACTTCTACAATTTATTTCCTATAGGTCCATAAGCAGGCTAAACAAATTTCGGGGGAGGGGGGCTGCAGCCTCCTCCCATAAATACGACCCTGCAACACAAAATTTATATAGGTTTGCGTCTATAGAATTAGGTTACCAAAAAAGTATATGGCGACTTGCGTGGTCTGTCTATGTATGTTAAAGCTGCAGTACGTATTTTTTAAATCAGTTAAAAAAATTGTTCGAGCTTTTATGTTTTTAACATAGTATAAAACAATTTTTGGCAATGTTTGCTTATAGCCAGTGGCGTATTTATAATTTTATTTTAGGGGATGATATAAAAAAAAATGTTGCCCTCTAAGCCCCCGTGTATAAGTTGCTCTTATGACCGGTCCCAAAAAGGTGTAACTACCATGCTTTATAACTGTATGCTTAATTATATAGTTAATTGTTTTCAATGAGACAAAATGCATCTTAAATCAATTTTTAAAAATGCTTCTTATCAACTAACGTATTTGTTAGTTAAAAAAAAAAAAAATTGAAATATTAATTGCCTTACATTTATTTATTAAATATATTAAATGTGTAAAATGTTAATTTTTTTGTGACATTTTGTTTTTTATTATTCGACATTTACATTAATTTTTAATAGGTACTTTTGTATACAAATAAACCTTTGGGAGATCGTATATCACCCTGATCGATCCTTGTAAATGCATTACTGCTTATAATATGCTGTATGCATGTTATGTTGATGTATTACTTTTAACATTCGCTTTGTAACTGGAAACTTACTTCGTAAGTCGTATGTCAACAAGCCAACAACCTGCAACCATATATTATGTGCAAATAGCTTGAGGTATTTGGAGGCACCCGATAAGGTTACCATAAAATTAAAAAAGTTATGCTAAAGGAGAAGTGGTATTTAATAGAACAACTAAACTAAACATAAGGCTTTTAGAAAAGGCTATAAAGACTATGTCCCTTGAATTCAACTATTCACGAATTACGCTACCATCAACACAGACCAAAGTTAGTCCCTCGTGTTCAGTGTTGTTAAGTTTAATTTAGACTTGACAACACTATAATGAAACGGGTCAATAATTATGATGCCATTTCCAGGTTTCCTCTTTTCGAAGGGAGGGTTTCGTGTTGGTAGCCCCTTACATTATAACGGAGTGAAAATTATTGATTTTTTATTTTTTTATTTCTATTTTGTTTTAGCCTAAAGTCATCATCGTGTCGTCGAAGACCACTTCCGCCGTTCGTCGTCATAATGTAAAAACCTCTTCAAACTCAATCGTTACTAAACATTATTAATGTTAATGTTATGTTATATATTATGCGAAATAAATACGTTGAAAACTAGGTCAATATAGTTCTTTGGTATTCCTTATCAGTTATCACATCATCCTGTCCCTGATGTAAAGTATCCGGTGGTCAACCGCTGAACAGTGCGTTCGCCGTTCGCTACATTATTATTATGACGTGCCGTTCATTGTTAGAGGCTGCACCCTAGTATTTTTTTTCTATCCCCCGACCACGGGTTCTACTTATTTCCTCCTCCGTATCATCCCCCATAATTCATCCCATTTCCCCTTACCCCCGCCGACGACGGCGCATCCCGTTTTTGTTTACACACTGGACTGAACGACGACACCGTTCGGCCCGTGGCAACGTCGCCTGGCCTACGTTGCCGGTTCGTTACGAGAACAAAACATTTTTATCATCAATTTCTCGGCGGCCTGCGCGTGTGTGCGTTTATTTTTAATGAGTGTGTGTATGTGTGCGTGAGTCTCGTGTTTTGGTTTTTGAGGATCAAAATAATATAAATAAATAAATAACGACATAATCGCGATAATAATTTCTTAAAGTTTTCTAATTCGACGTCGTCCGCGGACCGCAGCGTGTTCTATTGTACGCATTACGCAGTGATATTCTCTGTGTGTTTTTATTATCATTTTTTCCCTTCTTTTTTTTATATACATACATATATATTATTTACATTAATTGTTTTTGTGTGTATACACACGTTCGGTCGTCACAATGGTACTCGGTTACAATAATCCACTGTGCCGCAGTGGAGGCGGACACCTCCCGGACCGTCTGCGGTGCACATCGTAAAAATTGTAGCAAAATACACCAAGTACGCATAACAATAATAATAAAAATGATTCCTCGAGATTACGTGTTGTCCGACACCCTGTAGCCATTGCCCATTATCAGTCTGTTAATGCACGCGGTTGACTGTGGGCTTGGGTGCTAAATGGTTAACAATGAAATGAACTACAATAGTACAATAATATTTCGAATCCACATCGCGCCAGAAGATAGAAATTCTAAGAATTTAATAAAACAATTATTTATTTTTAAGTCGTCATAAAATATGATTATTTTTCGTACGCGTTTCCTGAGTGTTTTTCGGATTTCCGTAAAGTAGTTTTAGTGAATTTAAAACGGGTAGGTAAACCCATCAATAATTGTTTCCTTATTATTATTTTGACCGCTGATGTATATAGGAAAGTAAACAACACATACTCATCATTATATACTTCCATTTGTATCTAGTGTTTTGTAAATTATAATTTTCTCACATACATATTATTTTCAGCATAATATTTCACACAAATATGTGTAAGTGCATCAAATATTTCTCACTATTATAATATGCACCAAGAAAATATAGGTACCTGAAAAAAAAATATATGACTTACATACTTCTATTTTGTATCAACTAAATAGTTTTAAAAAAAAGTTTTTATTATACCTAATGCACTTTAAACATGTGACCAGTTAGTGTTGTCCAGCTTATTTAGTCTCATCTCTAATTCTTAATTTCTAATTGTTTCATAGTTTCAAAACACTTCATTATGAATGAGATCAGAAGTTTTCTTGTCAGGGTATAACTTCAGATCTTTAAAGTAATAATGTAGATAAAAAATGTATTAAAATATACAATTTTGATTTTCTTAAAAATATATTTTTTGTACAAGCTTATTTTCTGACTACAGTCACAATTTTGTAATGACTGAACATTTTCTACTGTAGTAGAAACTAAAGATACCCTTATTATGCTGTATTTTTCTTTCTTTATTTTTATGTATATATAAAAGACTTAAAAAAGAGTTAGGGCTAAAGGAGAAGAGTACATTTTGTAAAAATGTTAAATGTGTAAAAAGGCAAAATACTTCTTACCAACACTTTTTTATTGGTCAGTTAAGCAATATCGATGGGTTTCTCAAAAAAACTAAATAACTATTATTATTAATCCTAGAATGATAGTGTTAAAATTTGTTTAAAAAGATTTACTCTGTTGATGGGTTATGTTTATTTGTTTTGGTTAGCCATCCAATGCATCACCAACAATAGGTATTGCATGAAGACTGCGACACCTGCAGAAGCAGTATCATGTCAGCGTTAAATGAGACTGACACCAAGAAACGTAAACAACTAAACAATGAAGAGCCGATCTTGGAATCAAGTACAAAAAAGTAATATCAATTATTTTAAGAGTAATAATAATTTTTTTTTCATTTTACTGTAGTTTTGAGATTTAATTAATGTAAAAATATATGATTTTCTATTGATAAAATTATATATATTTGTTTTTTTTTTATTGTTTGTCATTGCGCAATCAGCATAGGAGACAGTTAGACAATGTCTACCCACTTTTATTTAATTTAAATAACAATTACTAAGTATGATTAATCAATCATCCCCCTAAATTTTAAGACTCGCAGCATAATTGTTGTAAAGTATCAAACATTAAGGTAACATTTTCTTTACTCATACATCACAGAGGAATAATTATATTTATTTCCAAATTTGAAAGTACAGTTGTTTGATTTCTGGAGTTGATTGCCAAGAAAACCACTAAATAGTGATACGAGGTTATATAAGTTTTAATTTTTATGGAATCCAAATGTTTAATGTTGGTTGTTGAACTACTGCATTTAACCACTGCACAGGTTATATATATTATTATTTTTTTATAATTTTCTTATTTTCATCTTATCTCTCACTGTTATTTTCAGTTTCAATTTATATTCTAAATACATATTTCATAATATTTTAAATTATAACAATTTATCTAATAAAGTTAATTATTAATTAAGGCAGTAGGAAAAATGTGAAAATTGGTACTAGATGTATTGGTTTATTATTTAAAAATATTGTTTTATAATCAATACATTGTGTTTTCAACTAATATTGTTGTTTAATCTTTTAGAATCAAAGTTCAAGCACAACGTAAGTTTGCCCAAAATGCTGTAACACAATTTAACACACAACAGAAACCAGTTCAGTCGTCTTTAGTTTCTAATAATGTGATAAAACCTCCTATCAAAAGACCAAATACAGAAGATTTCCTTACCTTTCTCTGTTTTAGAGGTATGTTAAAAACACTAATAAGAACATGATATAATATTAAAAAATCTTACAATGATCTTAGGAACAAGTTTATTACCTCCGCGATTAGACTTTTTCAATAAGCCTCAGCGTTCTCTTTCAGCACAAGAAATTATTGCTGGAAAGGTAGTACAATCTATTTAATTTTTTTATTCATATATTAAAATATTTTCTAATAATTAAACATTTTAGAAGAGAAAAAAGAGTTCTACAACACTTCCGACAAAAAATGTAGTAAACAATGTTGTTAAAAATGGACCAGGTGAAAAGAAAAATGTGAAACAACAAGTATCGCAAACTAAGTATGCTTCCTTGACCAAGCTCGGGCAAAAAGGTACAGAATTACCTTATATAAATAAACAAATTAATATAATATGTATTTATTTATTTTTTATATGTTTTGTGTAATTTATAGTTATTGGTCGTAATTTAGTTAGATCAAGTTCGAGGTACGCAATAAGACAAGAAGCTCTCACCTTACGGCAATTAGCCCTCCGCCACGGGCCAAAAATTAAAAAAGTCAATCCTAAAACTCAAAAGTAAGCCAACTTAGTTTTCCACAAACTTTAAACAAGTTTTACTCCTAACCATGAAATTGTCCTAATGGCATTCATGTTTTTTCTTAAGCTGTGTAATTCATATAAATTTGGGACTAATAAGCCGCGCGAATGAATGTACATATTAAAATCTACGCTATTAACCTACGCGTAGATGGTAAATGCTATTCTTGAATAATTTTTTTTTTAAATACAAACATTTTATATATGCAGTTGTGTAAAAGACCTAAGACAATGGTTCTTTTTTCAATTTCAGGCCTCAAGTTCCACAAAAAGTTCAGAAAGCCATTAAAAAAAGTGGAAAGCAAATTCCTCTTGATGGCAAACAAGTTAGTAGGTTAAAAGGCCGAATAACACGATCAAATTCTTTGCCAAATGTATTTGGTCCGGGCGTAAATCAACTTCGAGGTAACAAAAGATAATAATATTATTTTTATACCATTTTGATATTTTTTAAACATTTTCAGATGATAAAGGTAAATGGGTTAAAGGTAAACCTTCTTCAACCACATCTAAAGACTCTAATAGTGCTGAAGAAAGATCATCGAGAAAAAAGACTGTTTCTAAGAATATTGATCACCAAAGTGACCTTGGAAATGTTAAAGATAGATCAAATGATTTAAGTTCCAAAGTTATCAATAAAAATGAGCGAAATACTAGAAGTTTAGTAACCAAACATGAGAATAGCTGCAACCAAGATATAATTACTGCTTCTATTAAAAAATGTGACACAAATACTGCATCGTCCAAAAATAAAGCTAAAAGTTTAGTTGAAACTAAAGTGGCTTCAGTTAACAAAAAAAGAACATGTTCAGTAGATAACATAAGAAACAATCGTGAAAGTAAAGATTCAAATGGGTACGTAAATATTTGTTATATAAACACTGTGCAATTTTTTTTTTTTGTTAATTATAATTTCTTGATTTAGAATAATCCGTTCAAGGCCTCCTAGAAAAACAAAAGAAGCAGCAACTATATATATGGAAATGTTAAAAAAAGATATGCGGTTTTCTGATGAAAACGATGATGATGATGATTCATCTTCCATTGAAAGTTTTCCTGAACTTCCAAATTTACGATTAAGTGGTAAATAAATTAGTTACTGTTTCATTAAAATTACACCTTATTCATTTAATATCAAATATTTCAGAAGCACGAGAACGGAAATTAAATTCAGTTGTCAAAGTGAAACGGCCTCCGCAGAATTTGTGTAAAAGGAACTTAAGACCTCGTCGTTCTTCTACTATGCTTGAAGATTACATTATGACTGATTCCGAAGAAGACGAAAAGAATAATGATCATAAAACCAAAACTAGTTGTCAAACCTCAAAATCAACATCTAATAAAACAGATGAACCTGGTGTACAATGTAAAAGTATTGATGAAGAATCCATTAAAAAAAATCCGAAAACAAATAAGACTGACTTTAAACTGAAAAAAGATTTGAACAAACATGATTCTGATACCAAAAAGAGTCATAATCATCTAACATCAAATAAAAATATTTTAAAATGTGACAAAGAATTAGAAATTAAGAAAAAAAATAATGTTGAAAATAAAAAGGAAAAATCACTTAACAATAAGACTGATACAATTTCTAATGTAATAAGTAATGACGATAATTCAACAAATAATGTAAAAAAAGTAACAACTAAGGATCCAGTTAAAAAAGACGAAAAAAAAAGTAAAAAGCCAAATTTGGACTTGTACAACAATAATAAAAAAATGTTATCATCTCCATTGGCGACACAAATACCTTCTATGTTTAATAGTAATGCTAGTGATACAAAAGAAGAGCTTCTTGATCGTATGGCTGTAAACTTTGTTAATAAATCGGTAAAAAATGATAAAAAATCAGAAAATAAAGAAATCCTAACAAAAATTAACGCTAACAGTGGAAAAGTGAAAGCACATACTGAAACTAAAAAAATAACAAAAACTGAAAAAAAGTTTGATGTTCCAATTATAAAAGAAGAAAATGAAATTAAGCTCGATAGTCAATCTATAAAAACAGACAATGTTTGTAAGTTTGAGAAAAAGGAATCGTTAAATATAAAAAATGAAGGAAAAACTGAGAAAGTTGGAAATAAGTTATTTTCAACCGTAACTAAGGAATTATGTTTAGAAAAAAAAGATATCAAAATCAATGTGCCAGGATACTTTTCTGATAAAAGTTTTCAACTTCCCAAGTTCAAACAGGATGATGGTTTATCAGTTCTATCAGAAATTTGTAGTGCCCTTCCTAGATTTAATGAACCATTTGTTCCAAACAGGCAATTGTTAACTAAATTGCCCACTTCAACTGAAAGTAGTTTTGTAAAATATGTCGATGATAAAAAAGAAGAAAAAACTTTTGAGAGTCGTACTATGAAAATGGTTAATTTAGCCAGAAATAGCAAAGATAAGAAAGATTTGGCAACTTCTTGGAAACAAGCTTTTAAAAATGTCAAAGTACCCAAAAATGGGTTAAGCACTAATGGTAACACTTGGGTGAATGGAAAACAGAATGAAAATCAAACACAAAAGTTAATAAACAACACTACACCCGAAAATACTAACAAGAAATTAACAAATGATCTAATCAAAAACACACTTCAATCAACTTTAAGTACTAGTGAAAAAAAAATAGAATCACAGCTTTGTCCAATAAGCACTAGTGAATCAAAATCTGAATTGGAAAAGAAAGGAAACTCCACTTATTTGGCAAAAACAACGATTTTGGCCAGTACAAAGTATGATCTGAAATTTGAAAAACGTCTGTCTAGTCAAGAAAAACGTAAAGAAATCACTGATAACGTTTGTGATGAGCAAACTCCGGAAAAAAAGATTTTCCAGCAAAGAAGATTGTCAACGGCTCAGTCTTGCAGTGGAAATAGCTCAGATGCTTTTTCACCTGAAAACGAAACCAGTGTTTATGCTTTTCAACCAGATTTACCAATAGCTAGTACGCCTTTCCGTAGAAGTAAACCTCAATCTCCTGTCAAGTCCAGAACAGTTTCACCTAATACTTCTATTGCTGTACGTACATTTAAAATAAAAAAATAAAATTAATTCAAATTAATTTTAATTCAATTGTAGGTGAGTTTTGAAAGCGATTCAATGGAAGGAAAATCTCAATCCACAATATCAAACGATGCTGATAGCGAGGAAGGACGTTTGTTTTATATTCCTTTGCCGGCTGGTGTCCAGGCTCAACCATTAATTCAAGGTGTCACTGTCAAACTTGGTACTGAAGGTCCTCAGAACAAGTTAGTTATGAGTGCCAAATTAGTGACCAAACCCCCAGCAGCTTCAACTATACCTGTCAGGTACACATACATTTTTTTTTTTATACTTATATATATTTACCTTTTATATTTATGTGTCTCTTTCGTTTATTTGAAGTTCTATATCACCAAAACCAGAAAGGAAAATTAAACCGTTATGTACATCCAAAACTTCAAACAAAACGACACCCGTTGGTACAGTTCAACCGACAACTCGAGCTATTCAGCCTCCTAAATGTATACCTTCCACCTCGAAGGAAATGTTACCATTAACAGTTTCGGAGTCAAAAGTTGAAGAGAAGAAGCACTTAATGCCAAATACAGAATCAAAAAAATTAACAACAATCTCGGATAAAAAAAATATAAAGAAGTAATTTTCATATAAATATTACAATGTACTTTAATTAAAAAATATATATCATATTTTACTGTTTGTATTCATTAGGACTGAAAAACAAGTTATAAAAAGAAAGACTTCTGAAAAAGTTGCTATAAAAAAAAAAATTGTCAAAAAATATGCAGATATGGTCGATGCTCCGACATTCTACCCGACTGAAGAAGAATTTAAAGATCCGTTAGAATATTTTGAAACTGTTAAACATGTTGCTCAAAAATTTGGTGTATGTCGTATTGTTCCACCAGCTAATTTTAAGGTTTGTCTATAATATTATACTAAGTATATCTATTGTAATATTCCTAAATTGGTTTTGATTATGTTTGTTTAGCCCGAATGTAAAGTTAGTGATGACATGCGGTTTACGGCATATAATCAGTATGTTCACAAAATGATGGATCGCTGGGGCCCAAATGTTCATGAAATGATTGTCATAAAAAAATACTTAGAAACTCAGTCTATTGTTTTATCTAATCCTCCACTTATCGGTGGAATGGAACTCGATCTACCACGATTGTATCATACAGTTCAAGAGCTGGGCGGTCTAAAAGAAGTAATTGAATTGGATAAATGGTCTCGTGTAGCTGACTTGATGAAAATACCTAAAAGTGCTCAAGACCGTGTAACAAAACTTGATGATATATACTGCAAGTATTTACTACCTTACGATACTCTTTCTCATGGTAAGTTCCATCAATCAATTTTTAACATTTTTTGTAAATGTGTTTATAAACTTGTTCTATTTTTGTGAACATTCCAAACACTGATTATTAGTGTGTTGTTGTTGCTATTAATTTTAATAATTGTTGTAATATTATCATTGAAGATGAACGCCAAAAATTAATGAATGAAGTGGACAAAGAATGGAAGCAAGTATGCCGCAAAGGTGATACGGAAAATGAATTATTTGGAGATGTAAATGATTGTATAACAAAGGTATTTTTAATAATTAACCTTAATTAAAAAAACTGAATAGTACTTTAATTTTAGCATATTGTTATATAGGGTCGTAGTATTGCATTGAGTGCATATTACAGAGTAGCACGTAACACCAGCGCTATGTGGTTTAAAGAAACCCAAACAAACTCGAAACTTCCTGGTAATAGTATTAAAGCGGAAGAAGTAGAATCAATGTACTGGAAACAAGTGGAAGACAAGAAAAACCATATATGTGTATTATCGGGTTCAATTGATTCGGGAGCCGAAGGTTATGGTTTCCCGACTACCAAGACCGCGACGTTTACCAAACATCCATGGAACTTGAAAGTGCTGACCAACAATCCAGTGTCCGTATTAAAATCGTTGGGTCCTATTATGGGTATGACGGTACCTACCATACATATGGGAATGATTTTTTCTGCATGTTGCTGGTACAAAGATCCTCATGGACTTCCGTGGATAGAGTACTTGCACACTGGAGCAGACAAGATATGGTATAGCGTTCCGAGTGACCAAAGTGCCAAATTTCGACAAGCCATGAAAACATTATTACCCAGAGCTGTTGCCGAAGGGAAAAATAACCATACGTGGTTAGCTGCCGACAGTGGAATGGTTCCTCCTTCTAAATTATTAGAACACGGTGTTACATTAACCAGGACTGTACAAAATCCTGGACAATTTTTAATTGTTATGCCCAATGCTTACACATGTAACATTTCCACTGGCTATGTCATTTCAGAGAGTGTATACTTTACACAAAATGGATGGTTAAATAATGCAGAAAAAATATTCCAGGTAATACTACGCTGTGACCTTAGGAAACATTATTTTTCTATTTGAATTTTTTTTATTCATTTAGGATTTACAAAGAAACTGTGAACCAGCAGCCTTTTCATTTGAGAAACTTTTGATAAATATGTCGACTGATTCTAGAACGCCAAATAACGTTTTAAAGCAGGTAATAGATATATATAATTATTAATATACGCAAAGTAATCTACTACAACAGTCTTTTCTAATATCTATTCTTAACAATTTTAAATGGGAAGAAAACATAAAGCCAACTGCAACTTTGATCCTAAAATTAGCACCATTAGTTTATCATGATGAGTATATTTTTTAAATAATTTCTTGTCCCAATTAGCCAATTTTTTAACATGGTTGGTTGGTATCTCTTAGTATGGAATTTCACTAATTACAAAATGCCAATGTTATAAGAATACTTCAGCTGTTTTTCCTTGGTGTTAAAATTCTAATTTGTACTTCCATAATACTTAGAATAATAGAAATTCATATTAAAGTTGTAATTATTTTTCAACAGCTTCTGGACAATTTGAGTAATATGAGAGATTGTGAAGTGGCACTGAGAAGTCAATTGGAAGATTTGGGTCTTAAAGCATCTGAGCGTTTACAACCTGTAAACACATCCAAGTCGACTGAACAAGATAATGATTTTGAGTGTGATGTATGCAATTCCATTCTGTATATATCAATGGTGAGTTGAAGTTGTTTTTACTAAAAAAATACTCAATATCGTCATAAAAATTGTAATTATTTGTTTAGGTTCACAATTCATACGAAGACTGTGACTATTGTTTAAGGCATGCAATAGAGATTTTATCAAAAAAACACAACCAACTCAAGCATTGTAAATTCATGTACACACTAAATGAGGTATTTTTGTAGTGATCATTACTAAAAACAAATTACACCAAAATAAAAATTTAAACGTGTTAACAAAAATTATTTTATAGAATGAATTGGATTCAATTATAGTCAAGTTGCAAGAAAAAATTGAATCAAAAAAGAAAAAGCTTGCAAAAGTTAATGCAAATGAAATACATTGAAGCTAATAATAAGCCTAAAAAAATAAGTATAAAATGTAAAGTGTCCACTACATTGTTCTTTATAGGGAGTAAATTGAAGACTTAATTTTTTTTCTCGGAAGTTCCAACATTTTGTGATTTTTTTTAATTTAATGTAATTTTTTAATTTTTTATTTTTTACAATTGTACAAAAATTGTGTTCATGTGGTCTCAGAAATTTGTTAAGTATTCTTATAGCAAATTTTTGTACTTAATAGATAATAAGTTTTGTCAAATTTTATGTGTTGAGTGCTACAATAGTGAATTCAAAACTTGTTTATGTCATAAGTTGTATAGAAACTTTAAGCAATTATGTCCAAAAGACTAGTAAAATAAATGCGAGTAGCTTTATTAAAAATATATTTATTTTTAAATCCAAATAAGCTATTAAAAATCAAATTCTCCCAATACATTTAAAAGTTTTTTATAAATATTTAACTGTAATGGGAAGTTATGATTGATTATTAGCTGAAATTGCTGTTCAGCGCTGGTCGCTAGCTTCCAAATGGGTGAAAACTCCAGTCATTTGCCACAAACCCATGCTCCTAACCATACCATAATCATTTGTAAAGACAGTTTTCGAAATGGTTGATAAATAATAAATTTACTAGTGCAAAATTATAAAAATAATGGAATGTATTTCAATTTTATTGTATCACAAGATGCAAAATGGTTCAAGTTGGTATATTTATATTCAATTGATTTTTTAAATATATATAAACATATACAGGTATTAGGTAATAGTTTTGCCAAAGCAATTGTTTGACAGGTTCTCTTATTAATCAAACAGTCGCTGTTCTATTTGGTTTACATTTATTTTCCATTTATAAATCTGAAAAATTGAACATTAAATAATTACTTTTTTTTGTTAAATTTTCAAAAAAAAACAATGCATACTTGTGATAAGAGAAATTTGCTTTTGAATGAATGTTTCGTACGTGTTTGGTCAAGTTACTTTGACTGTTTGACGAATGATTACAGAAAGGGCAAGAATAGGGTTTAAAACGAGAATGAATCATTGTGTGACGTTTCAGCAGCGACATTGATTGAAAAGATTTTTCACAAATGCAACAAGTGTGAAGTCGCTCGTTGTGTACAGTGTTTTGATGAGTTTTCAATCTACTTTTAATAGCAAACATAGAACCACACTCTTCACACCTATAAAATAATTAGCAACAATAGAATGTATTTATTTTATGAAAATATTTTAGTATTTGCAAATTTAACTATTTCTAATCTTTCATCTAAAAATAATAAGGTCGACCAATAAAAAGAGAAAATTAGATTATTCAAAATATACATACATATAAGGTTTAGTTTGGTTATGAACGTATGAATGAATTGTCATGTCTTGTTTAGTTGCGCTCACATGAAAGCATATGGGACATATAAATTGTTGTTCAGTATCTTCAATATGCTTAATTTTTGTATGGCGTTTTAACGAATCGTACAAATATGTTTTATATGTACACTGAAAAAAGTATTTAATTTATGACTAATTAAAAAATCATTATTTATTGTAAAAAATAGAAAACAACACGATTTATCATGTTTTAAAAACTGTTGAATTTACCATTGTACAAGAATATTGTTGTTGTTTAGTGTGATTGGCATTTACATGTCTTTCCAAGTTGTATTTGTCAAAAAATGTTCTGGCACAATAGTTACAGCAGTAATCGCAAACTCCCATATGGCGTTTCAAATGTTTTTTCAGATCCGCTTTTCTAGGCGTTTGATAATTACAAGCTGCACACTTGTAGCTATCCCACTTTTGTAGAGCTAACATAAAACAGAATGGAAAGTAAAACATTTAGTTAAAAAAAAAAAAAACACCGAAACAATAAATGAATACCTCAATTACCTACCAGGTGAGTTCTTTTCGTTACATAAAGCTTTGAAATAGTCAAATGCCTTATTCGAAGTTCCCGCTGATCTTTGGCAAGATTCAATTTTTTTGCAAATACTAAAAAAATATAGACAATAGTTTATTAATAAAACAAAATTTCAAGCATTATTAAAAATGAAATGTTAAAACTTATTTTTACCAAGGCCAATAAAACTTTACAAAAACTCTAAACTGTACATGTTAACTGCCATCTTGGTATTAAAAAGAAAGATTTTTATTTTCAAAAATGTAGCAATTTTAATTTATTTTCCTTTCAGATAAGCAAACTAGTAAATGAATGACATAAAAACCCTAAACAATGTCTAATTTGTTCTGTAATATAAAAAAAAAAATTAGATTATTCATACTCTCTCGATATATTGTTCTCACAGTTAACTATTTCCTTTGATGACTCATTTTTATCTATTTCTTTAACTCTGTGTATGTATTCTTGAAGCATTATGAGTATTTTGTCTAGTATTGATTTCTTGAGGACAGTCGTTGTTGAAGCGCTTAGAATATTTTCAAATGTTTGTTTGCACTACAGAAAAAAAACATATAATATATTATATTATGACAATCATAATGGTGGTCACTTTAAAATTTTGAATTTTAATGTTAAAAGGTATTACAATAACAAAACATACCATACTCTATTAAATAATTTCTCAAGAGAAGAGTTTAGTGAACGTTTAAAATGTTTAATACTTACTTGAAAAATCGCATCATCTAATTGTAAATTGAAATTCGTAAACGTAGCCATTGGTTTACATGTAATTATTATTATATTAATATTGTTCAGTGTACAAAACAATACTTGTACGCGTTTCAAGAACTAATAATTATTGGTAACTACATTATTCATTGACTAACGATAATAATAATATCACAGACTAAATTTTGATAATATTCTAAATACACAGTATCAATGATTGTATGATAATTATTGTTTTGTTAGTAGATAACAATAGGTATGATAGTAGTATGATAAAAGTAGTAATAACTAAGAATATTTGAATGAAATTAATACCGGAAAATAGTATTTAAGATCTTCTTGAATCTATAAAGAAAAATAAATGTTTATTTAAATATATACACAACAATTATTGTATACTTAATATATTGTTATTTACGTTTAAAGACCATAGAATATGTTTAATTCTGGGCCCGGCTATATTTAAAGGTCGGGATAAAGTTTCGTACATAAGTCACATTTTACTCGATAACTAAAATATAAAAATGTAGTTACGTAAAAAGTGATGACACCTCGTAATTATGAAATTTTGATAATTTTTGTTTGAAAGAAGTATACTTTTTAACAGTTTGCATAGGGCTGTTTTCAAAATTTTAACTATATACGTTATTATAAATAAGTTTTTATACCTACGGCTTTTTTTAGACAGATTTTTGTTTATTTTTATAATAAAATAAAAAAATCTAACTCGTGTATGGCCCGTAAAATGCCTTCCTAAAAAAGTATATTATTTACAATATACATTACTTGTATATGAAAATCCGATTATTCTATGAGGCGTCATCTAGTGTCATTTGTCACCACAAAAGTTGCTATTGAGTATTGTGATAAATTAAGTATTTTAAAAATAATATTTTAGAGGTAATACAAATAAAGCTAAAAGTGTATGGTTTGTGAATTCTATATTTAGTATTCAAACTCTCAAGTGTTTTACTTTTAATTAGAACATTTTAAATTTGTTTTTTTTTATTGATTTTAAATAAACTTTGACATTTAAGGCCACTAGTCACAATTATCTTATTGAAATGCTAATGAGTAATAGATTATAGAATTTAAATTTAGTATTATTAAAACGACTAATTTGATACTTCTATTTATTATAACTTATAACTTAGATAATTGTGTATAGATCAGATTTCTTTAGGAACTAGATCATTCTGACTGAATTCACTGGGTCAGGTTCGAGAGATTCGATGAGGTGGTCTGAAATTTTGAGATTTTTCTGTTTATATTGTATTTGCGGCATTCCTTAACTGTGGTCTGTGACTTCTTTCCCATAGGTCTCGCATATTGGGGTCTTTCTCTTCCCATTAGATGTCCATGAGTCAGTTTAGTGTGACCTAAATTTATTTATATTTATAAAATATGCTGTTATTTTTTATTTTTGTAATTAAAAATGAAATATCCCCATAAAGTATAATACCTACGCTGTTTGAATGGAGACAGTATTTTCTCTCATGCGATATAAAATTGTATTAGAAAATGTATTAAAGTCAATAATAATAATTTACTCAAACATAGTAGATTATAATAAAATAATAAAACAGCGTAAATAAGAAGTATAGAAAAACTATGTAATAGAAAATGTGAGATTCAATTTAAAATTAAATAGGAAAATGCATAATATGAAATTTATATTTTTTATCGATACAGTATTAAGAGGGCGTCGCACCGCCCATTTTTAAGGAGTAAAGTATAGGCAATTTTTTACAAAATCTTAATTTAATGGTTAAACTGTGATGTGTTATTATTAGTTCAATAACTAGGACTCTATTTTGGTAGTTAATTTAATTTTTGAACTATCTCAGCATCCTTGAAAGCGATTTAAAAATGTTTTTTCATCTCTACATGTTTAAGCAGACTGAAAGTAACTCGTTTAATTAAGGTTTTAGAAAAAAAAGCACCCATTATAAAATTAAAAGAGAACAATATTCCGGAGGGCAAGACGGTGCGTTTTTTTCATTATTTCAAGTATATCGCTCAATACATAGTTTAGAACTAACGACTATTTTAACATTTTTAAATGACTGTAACTTTTCAAAATATGAATTTTTAAAAAAAAATGCACCGTCTTGCCCTCCGGAATATTGTTTTCTTTTAATTTTATAATGGGTACTTTAACTCTAAAACCAACTTAAGCGAGTTATTTTCAGTTGGCGCAAACATGTTTTTACCACTGAAAATCACCGGCGCGAGGCCCTCTCAAGTAAGAATAAATTTTGCAAAAACAACCACGTGACAAAATAATAATTTTTGGTCGAAGTTTAAATTTTAAATTTTTTGCTCGTTTAAAATATTTGCTAAAATGGGGCAATAAATCTAACATAACTAGCATTTTCGATAGACCCTCAGCCAAAATCATAAATAAATTATTGTTGTAGGTAATTTAGTATTGAAAGGTGATGGAATGCAAGCCCTCCCCTAATGGGTGCGATAATTTTTCAACAATGTCAACCTAATGAAATATTGTTCATTACAATCACGATGCACTGAATAATGTTTTATACAGGTATTCGTCTTAAACTTTAGGCTGAGTCTAGACAGTCGGTGTAACCTATACCGATTTGATTATAATTAATGTTAATATTTATGTTATTTTCATTGTAACTGCATTCTGCCGACAGGTAGCAGCATAGAATGCATAACTTTACGTTTTCATAACAGGTATATTATCATTACAGTAGGTACTATAATACTCAAATTTCAACGATAGCAGTCGCCAGTCGCCACTCATACGCGTTGTTTACTTGCAGGCTGCACCTATAAAGGTTGAAGGTTATTTTACTTGGCGTTTACTCGTTTAAAGAGGATCACCATTTTTGTGTTTTGAGAATGGAAATTCATTTAGGAAAAGGTAATAATAAAATATATAAGAACGAAAAGTTATTGTTATTGTACAGGTTATTTGGTCGCGAGTCTATATTCATATTGGGTATTAACTGTGTGAGTACATAATTCCAATTAAATTTTTCAGATTCCATAGAACCAGATTTAGTGCCAGGAAAACTGCGGTTTTATAATTATCGGTATTGTCCTTATGCGCATAGAACACAATTAGTGCTAAATTACAAAAAAATACCGTACGTATAATCTTTAAATAGATTCACATTTATTAGTTAGAATAATATGATTGTTTTTTAATGAAAATAATATGCACTTGTGATTTCAGACATGATACGGTTTTTATAAACTTATCAGAAAAGCCAGATTGGTATTTGAATATTTTTCCTGCTGGTAAAGTTCCAGCTTTACGTTTTAATGGAAAAATACTATATGAAAGTTTATTACTATCAGATTTCCTTGATGAATTATACCCTCAGCCTGCATTGTGGACAGATGGACCTCTACAAAAAATATTGGATAAGTTGTTTGTAGAAGAAATTTTTGGAAAGGTAATGTTACCCATGAATACATTTTTATTTAAAAAGTATTATTTTTGAATGTTAATTGTATACATTTGTTTAACATTTATTTATTATAGGTAAAGTAAAATAATAATAAAAAAATACTAAAAGAAAAATAGTTAAAATCTTAACTTTTAGGTAACATCTACATTTTATAAGTTTGTCATGACCACAACTGAAATGGAACAAAGTAATTTCAATGAATTAGTTGATAGTTTAAAACTAATAGATGATGAATTAGCACGGAGGGGTTCAACATACTTCGGAGGTAATTTTTATATAATTATTAATAGATCAATAAATGTAACACAATAAAAAATAATTTTTTCTCAAATATAATTGAATATAGCTATGAATTTATGTAAACACTGTAAAAATTATAATTATACTTATTTAATATAATTATTAACTATTAAGTATTTCAGTTATAAGAATTATATTATAATGTACTTATTTTGTAAGTTAACTAAATGTTTTGTATGCCTAGGTGAATCACCAAAAATGGTTGATTACATGATATGGCCTTGGTTTGAACGTTTTGATGCTATCAAATTTATAACTAATGGTTCATACTCAGTTAATTTTGATCAGTTTACTAAATTGGTAAGGGTGTTGTTTTTTTTTTTTTATTAAAAAATTTTCTTCATTTACAATCTATACAACATTTTTTATCTATAGCATATTATATTATATTTTTAATAATTTATTTTAAGGATGAATGGAAAATCGCAATGACTTCTGATGAAGCTGTAGCTCCATATTATGCACCACCAGAAAAGCATGCAGAGGTATTCCTCAAAATGAAAGAAAAATATGCATCTGCAATAAAAACAAATACAAAATAAATTTTGTACTAATTTTCGTTTGTATTTTATTATCATTTTGTGTTAGCATTAGTTGTTTATTGTTTATGTACAATATTTATTTATTTTTATATTTATTTACAATGTGTATATTGATCAAATCATTCAATAAAGGTATATTAAAATAGTAGGATTATTTCTTTTATTTAATAAAAAAAACACGAACCTTTTTACATTATAATTTAAAGAAAAATAACCCATATAATTCCAATTTTTATTTTTAAATGCATTACAATATACTTCCCTTCTAAATGATCCCTGTCTTCTGATTTCTAAATTAGATTATTCAACTGTTTATTTTATTTTAAATGTTATTCGTATTTGGTCATTTATTTGATAATTAATTTAATGACAATAACAAAGTTTTATTATGAGACAAAATGGCCGAGGTTGACCCACTGAAAATAATGACTGGGTAGTAAAAAGTTTAGAGTAATTGTGTTACAACTTACAAAGAATAGATATTACAGTTTACACCGTTCTTTAAATTATACGTTTATTTTAAGTGTATATTCGCTGAAAATGTAAATGCTGAAATAAAATTACTCATAGGTACATAATATTTAGGTAGGTATTATGTATACTGATTGTCTGATTATTATTTTACCATTGTCGATTATAGACAATAGTATTTTCGAAGGTATACCTAAACAAGATGAATCGGGATACTCATTTATTTTGTTAATATTAATAGAACACACTATATTAATTAAGTATTACGACTATTTTCATAGTATAGTTTTTGTTTTAAGTAATTTTTGTTTACATTTTAGTAATAATATTATACCTATCAAGGTTACTGTTACCTAAAGTCAGTTTCCTGTTTCTTTCACTTTATATTTGGCCTCTACCTACACTAGGCACAGCATTCTGGGCGTTATATGATGGTATAATACGTCTTGTTATTCTTTTTAACCGTAGTCAACATTGAATCAATCTGGTCAGTGGTCACCTTTTATCAATCGTTATCTAATATTTATAATCAAATGTTAGGTTTATCGAAAGTTTCCCACTCGTGAAATTTTGTCCGCTATTTAATTTCACAGTGTCACTATTAAAATATACATATTTAGTAGTTATATTATTATTTTAAATCTATTTTACAAAACAAGTAATAATTAAGTGCTTTTTGTCCCGTATTTACACTGTGGCTTCAACAGTAATACAAATGGCCAAACACTTAGCAAAAGGTAGTACAAGTATTATTACTTAACCAGCCATGTACTCTGTACAATTTTAAAATTTGATTTTTAATTTAAAAAAAACAATTGTACTAAAGATTTAAAAAAAAACAATGAATTTGTTTTATTTTTAAGATTCTGTCGAACCACAATTAGTACCGGGCAAACTAAGGTTCTATAGCATGCGATACTGTCCGTACGCTCAGAGAGTTCAGTTAGTGTTAAATGCCAAAAAAATACCGTAAGTTTGTTACAACTATCATAATGTTTGTTTGTCATTAGATTTATTTTGTACCTATGTCATACAATGTGCTGCAGTGGATAAGGCTACAAACATGTTTCGATAAATAATGGGTCGTTCCCTATGGTTATAAGACACAGACTGTTCGTATCCCGTTATTCTAGCTCAAGTTTTTGGTTAATTTGGTGTGAGGGTTGAGTGGAAAATAAAAATGTTTTTGAAAAACTATGTTTATCCATAGTATAGATTAGTGATTTAAAAACAGTTATGCGTGTTTTTTTAAATTTTTAGGCATGATCCTGTTTTTATTAATCTTTCGGACAAGCCAGAATGGTATTTAAACATTTTTCCTGCTGGTAAAGTTCCTGCTTTGATATACGATGGAAAGTTTTTATCCGAAAGTCTGCATTTAGCCGATTTTCTTGACGAGCAGTATCCAGAACCGCCACTGTGGAAAAACGGCCCACTGCAGAAGATTTTAGACAAAATATTTATCGAATCTTTTGGAAAGGTAATTATTATCACAAATATACAAATTAAAACTAATTAAATTTGTTTTTTTAACACATAATTATTATCTACATGTGTCTTTTTATAGATAAATAATACTAAATAATGGTACTTTTATAGGTTACTTCAGCTTTCTATAAGCTTATGATGACAACACCTGAGTTGGAAAAAAGTAATTTTAATGAACTAGTTGAGAGTTTAAAACCAGTTGAAGATGAATTAGCACAAAGAGATTCCAAATATTTTGGAGGTAATTTTTCATTAAACATAATATTTTGTATGTATAGAGAAAGAAAGATTCACAAAGTTATATAAAACCTTCTTTGAAGTATTTTTTCCTCCAAAATAATTTAACACCTATAATACTGTAGTGTGCTCCTTGCAAACTTTATGCTACATACTACAATACATAAGTATGGGCAAACTTATAAATTTACGGCTGAACCTATAAAACAATATTGACCTTATACTTATTTTGGGTCATCATTTTTGTAGGAATAAAATACAATTTTGGTCTCAATGTGTTGTCTAAACATTTGAAGTAAAATTAATTATCCAAATATCATGGACAGTAATAGTTCTTAAAAAATTATTGTTTTAGTTAAAAAGTTATAAATAAAATCATTATTAAACAAATGAACACAAATATGTTTTAATGTTCAATTTAAAAATATTTACTTTAAATATTCTTTTTAACAGGTTCAGCGCCACGTGGACACCGGTGTTTTTTTAATGTTATACTCAGCGTTTAATATTACTATCAGGGGAGGTTTAGGTGTAGGTTCAGGTTTCAGGTGGACACCATGTCTGCCATGGCCTTGGAGGATTAAATTACAATGGACACCGCAGGATGTGGTGCTGAACCTGTTAAAATTAAATTTTCATTTTAAATTTAAAATTATTATAATATTAGCCAACTCTCATGTAACATTTTGAGTTTTGCTTTAAAATTGTTTTTTTTAAAAATGTTTGTGGTTTTTCTAGGTAGTAGCCCTCAAATGATTGATTACATGATATGGCCTTGGTTTGAGCGTTTTGATTCAATCGAGCCTGTCTCCAAGGGATTATTTATTTTTCCGTTAGATAAATTTCCAAAATTGGTAAAAATTAAACTCTCACTTTTTAAAAGTAATATTACAATCTATAGAGATATTTACAAATTTTAGGAAAAATGGAAAAATGCTATGGTCGCAGAAGAAGCAGTGGCTGCTTATCATTTACCTCCGGACAAGCACGCTCAACATTTTATTTACAGGAAATCTGGTTTACCTGCAGCATTTAACTTTTAACGCAGTCATTTACGCTTCTTACAATTAGTTACCTCAACAAAATATATTGGTATTTTGAATATTCACTAAATTCTATACAATTTTTTTTAGTGATATAACACAATATGGTTTTTATTAAAATCTACATATTTGTATACCACATTTAAATGGAGTTCTATTTTATTATTATTTTTTTTTATTTTATACATTTTTGTAAACAATTAGCTCGCAGGAATAAATACAGTATTTTTTGTCTTATATTTGTGAATTTGTTTCATTTTTGCAAACAATGATTTATAAATATATTAAAATACTTTATATTATGAAATCTCTAATTATAAATTGAGTTGGTTTGTTTTTTTGAGATTGTTAAATAATAATCGCTATTATCAATTTATTCAACTAATGGAGCAAGGTACAGAGATTTGGATAGTAAAACCAGTAACATAAATAATGAGCAACAACATTTAATTAAAAAAATTTCATACTAGGTACATTATTATTGAAACGAGTGTACACAATACAGTGTCATTAGTTAAGATTTCAATGTCTTGGATTTTAAAATGAATTAATATTACTTAATATATATTTAAGTAGGTAAACTGCTTTTGGCCATGTATTATCGTGTATTAGCCTTTGTCGTAGAGTATTAATTATTATAAATTATAATATCTATAACCGAGTACAAAGAAAAACTGTTTTTGACATTATCTTTTTTTTTTAATTTTTGAACACAAAACGTCAATTACGCGAGGAGTCGACTGACATACATTACGTCTGATGGCAGAGTTACAAAAATACAAAAAAAAATATGTTGACTAGAAACGCTTGGCGTCCAATTCGCTCCGGTTAGGTTTTATTTTTTCTTCTCGTTTTTGATTAATTCATGGTTTGCAATTGTAGTTCACCTTCGTCATGTTCATATGCGGGATTTTGGCTGCCTTTGAATATGTCTTTGACACTAATACCCGCGTTCGATTGCCGCTGAGCCTGATTAAACGCGTTGCTGGCCCCTAAAGTTTGCATCTGAGACTTTCGCCGCTCAGCTTGCATCGACCTTCTCCTGACTTCCAGTGCCTGGCGCACTTCTTTGCCCATAGTCAGCTTTCTACCCAACACCGGAGTACCTGCAAAAGAACCCAAACAAAACGTCAATACTGAACAACAGCTACATGTAATGAATCATCAAAGCATGGATCCCAGTATAACAGCTTGTGGACGACATAAGGGCATTAACATGGCTATGTTTTGGGGCTAATACAATATATATATCTCTGTAAATTCATCAAAACCTTTAGTGATATCATCATTTCGGATTAAAATAAAACTAGCTTAAAATCATTATTTTGAATATAATGGACGTAAGTTACACTTGAAGATATTATATTTTTGTAAATCTTCTCGTCTAAAGTAATGTATTAATTACATTTTTAATTGTATAAATGCCCTAGTTCCCTTGTTTAAACGTTTACCTTGCGGTTCGTCTTCGTCTTCGCCCATTTTCATTTGCAAAAACCTTTTCCGGAACGCTACATCCAGCGTTCCTATCGTCCGAGTCTTCTGCCTTTGTTTCTCCAAATTGTAGATCGTCCTTCGTCGGCCAACGTTTCCTCCGCTCGATCCCGAATCATTGTCATAATCGCCATTGATACCTTTCAAACGTTGCAGATGTTTAACTATGACCACAGCTTGCTTGTCTAGAAGACCGTCTTGTGTCAATTCTTCAGTCTGAATAAACGACCACGTCAAACCAGGATAAGTTTACCAATAATAGATAATTTGTTTAATTCGCCCAAAATCCTACCGTTTTGTTCCAACAGAAGTTCAGGTCGGTAGACGCGAGTATGTGTGACAGAGTTCCGAAACGATGGAACAACATAGCCGTGAACTGAATGACCATGATGAACGCGAAGAAGAACACGAACACCAGACCGATAGGTTCCAAGTGAAGGTACTCCTTAGTGATAATGATCTGCGAGCACCAAATAATGTTTAGATATAGATAGCTTAAGTGTTACAGTTAAGGAGCGAAATTGACTAGGTACTTACTTCTGACGTTTCTGGTATTGTGGTAATATTGGTTTTTACGCCCAGTGGCCAGTCTAAATGGAGTTTGTCTTTGTTCAGCTGAAGCAAGAATACGACGAGCACGAAAAGAGCGTTGATCATAAAAAACGAAAACACAGATTTGTTTCTCAGCTCGATTAAGTCTGATGCGATACGAGCTTTCTCGTTCTTATCTTCGTCGATCGGGTATAAATATTTGTCTATCAAGTCCTTCCAGAACAATTGTTCGCTCACTGATAAAAATGCCACCGCACCTTTTTTTAACGCTTTGTCTTCGATCCAAAAAGGGTTAATGTCGTCATTGCGCTCCACTTTCGGTTCTAAAAATAGAAAAATAAATTATTTTAATACTTCATGATGGTAAATTATTATTTTTAAGCGTGCCTACCTAAAGATTCCTCGTCTGTTTCGGTTTCGGAATGGTCGTTTTCTGACGATTCTTCTTGCACAGGATTCAGCGCATTCTGATGCGGTACGCTGCTTGTTGAAATGTTCCTTCTGCGATTAACCGACGTCGGGTCGATTATACTTCTATTAGACACAAGACAAATAAGAAATCCATCATGTTAAAAAAACACAAATAAAATAAAATATTTAAAACCCACTTTTCGATGAGGTCCATCCGTTTGCCTAGTCCTTCAAGTGAATCTGCAATTCTGACTAGCTGTTGGCGCTCGTCCACAGGTTTTTGGTAAGTACAGAACATGCATTTAAACAGGCCGGCGAAGGAAAGTTCAAACGATCCTTCTTCATTGTTGGCGTTGGGGTCCAAATTTTGCAAGAAACCGAGCATTGATTTTTGTTTGTTCTTTTTCTCTGCTTCTTCCGCCGCTTTCTTTTCCGCTTCGATTTCTTTTTTCGTCCTCTTTACTTGAACTTCTCTTGTACCCCACGTGACGATGTTGAGATTGATGATTGAGTACAAAATTAAAAGCAAGTACATCGATGGAATAGATAGCAAGTATATTGAGAAGAAGATTATACAAGAGAACTCTTGTGGATGTAGTAATGCTGCTATAAAGAACGAGCCCAACATGGCTATCAGGAAAATGGCCGATGGCGAACCGATGCCGTCCTCACCCAGCTGTAAAGCCGTACCGACAATGACGGCCATCATTACTAGCGCGTAGATTGCCGAAAGTATTTGCGCCAGGAGCAACTGCAAATAAATTCAATGAGCGTTAATAATTTATAGACCGGTCATTGATCAGTGACCAATTATTTACCTGTATGTGTGATTTGCAAGTAAAGCACACGAAAACAAATGTCAGAATCGGAATTATATTGTAATAGAAACTCGTCCAGTTGTCTATGTGGAAAACAGCCACAAAAGCTCCAACCAACATAAGAAATATCGTGCCCGGACCCAGAATTGTACCTCCCATCAACATGATCTGTGAATACGTATTAAGTAAATAACTTGTGTTAGGAATGCAAAGAAAGCGATAGTAAAAATAAGAGAAAATATATAATAACGTTGTAAACTCACGTGGTAACTGATATAAGGCATTGAAATGTTGTCGTTAATCTTAATTGTCTTCTTGTAGTCCATTAGCAAGTCCATAATATTGGCCATTGTCGACGGTACCCATCGACGACGTTGATTGTAGAACTCATTAAAGCTTTCTGGACAATGAGTGTAAGCATCGCTCGCAGCCGAATACTCCACACGGTATCCTCTTTGCAGTAGGAGCGTACATAGCCATCTGTCTTCGCCTAATCATAATAATGGTTAATAACTTATTTAAGTGGTGGCATAGTCACTGTTCTTACCTTGATCGTATTGCACATAATGTCTGGCTTCGTCCGACTTCATCGTGTACCTCCTCATAACGTTATCGTCCATCAGAGCTTTACCTCTAAAGAGCGAGAAACATCCTGGACTACACAGGACACAACCAATCATGTGTTCAGTAGCCTTTTGCAGCCAATGGCCGATTGCGTACTCGAATATTTGGTACCAAGCCAACGGACCTAAACATCAAAAGTTACACATAGTTATGATTGCCAGATTACATACAACTTTTTAGAGGATAAGAGTAAAGATTTTATACCGGCTCCAACAGGATGGATTCTGCCACAAGCGGCTCCCAAGTTTTTGTTCTTTTTCATTAGATCTATTAGTAATCGGACTGCATGTGGTTGAAAGTCAATGTCTCCGTCCAGTGTCAGTAAGAATGTGTTTTCCGCTATTACTTCTTTCCGCTCGACCGATATTGGCAGCTCCATAAGTCGATGGCCGAGCAGATAGTACATATACATAACCTGACTCCATCGTTTTCTGTGACGAATTTTTGATTTGTCTTTGATGTGTACTGTCAGTTTGGTTTTACCCGGCAATGTCCACACTAACCGGCCACCGTATGGGGTCGGATACTTGGTCGGCGGTTTGATGCGTATGTTCGTTTCGTGTACGTGTGTGGCCGCCTCGTCAATGGTGGTCACGAACAGCTTGACGAACCTATTTACTTGACTCCAGTCGTCGTTTTCATCACTGATTTCAAAACCGTCATCCAAGAATATGTGCGCTAAACAAGCACAATCGACAATTGGATGAACGTTGTAAACGTGACGACATAGAGGATTACAAAAACAACAAATATCGCCTCACTTTCAAATTCGTAGTAGTCGGGGTCGACTACTCGCAAGTATTTCTGAGCCACTCGGCGCGCACATTGGTCTTCGTCCATTCGAAGTATTGACTTCAACATTTCCATCATCTCCTCGTGGGTTTCGTGCCACATAGTCGCGCATGCGTATATCTTGGTGATACTGTCGGATTTCTTTACTGTTTTCGGCGTGGTGCTACTCACGTCCGTGTGCACCGATATCGTCTCGTAGTACTCGTCCGGTTCTTTTTCTCTGTCGGCCAGTTCCTATACAGTTAAAGAAGGTTAATCTTTACAACAGGTTCATGTTGCCTAGGTACTGTTTATAATTACTTCGGTTTTTACGTCTTTCTCATCGTCACACCTCCTGTTCATGCCCAACGATTGGTCAATCAGCAGAGCATCGTACATTGGTCTTGCGAACAACTTTTCAGTGGTGGCCAAACGTTCGCATTTTGGCGTCCAAATGTGCAGGGTCACCCACGTCTGAGACAAAAGCCACAATAACCAAACCCAAACGTGCTGCAACGAAATAAACGGCGTTTGGTACGGATTCGCATGTTTTAATTATTCATAATTTACCTCTTTGGCGATGAAATTATTGAGAAAGTTCACATCGGGTGAATCGAAAAACAAGTAGTCGGGAATGGATTCGTGGAAGAAACACGGATCGTCGTGCCGCAACCCGCATGCGATTATTAATGCTGACATGGTGACTGGTACGGTTAGATTAACCGGGAACGCGTAACTAAATCCCTGGATCATGATCTTGCAAGCGAATTTACCTACGAGGAAGACATTGATGACAATGTATGATTAAAATAATTTCCAAGTGATTTGATTCAACGAATATTTATTCGTTACTTACCGAATATATAGCAAAGGTACGCCGATATAATTTGTATGAGCAGAACATGTAAGGCGGTTATATATTCTGCGTCCACGTCTACTGTGTCACCGGTTGTGATAATGTCCGAAAGATCAGGAAGAGTAGCGCCATTTCGTAGTACTTGGTTCACCTAATCGGACCAAACATTAAAGTTTATTACAACTGTACCCGTTTAAAATGGCTCGTTGCTCACCTCCAGGACTTGTATCTTGTGATTCGAGAGCCCGGCGTTGACCAATGTAAACAATTGCGTGACGCTTTCGCCTTTTATAAACATGATTATTAGCATGAAGCACAAGAAACACATCATTTTCCATACGGATATCAACATGTATATGAAATACCGTGTCCTTTTCATGCGGTCTTTAATGAGGTATGCAAACCGCATAAATCCTACACAAAATCTAACATTTAGTAAAAGTTCTCATGTAATTTTTCTGACTGTAAAAATATAATTTTGCTTACCGAACAGTGTGTGCTTAGTCGTATAGTTTTCCCAATAACCGCAAGAAATACAGAACACTGTTATTGGTATAATGAAAGTGTTCATTTGTTGTTCCGGGTGCAACAGAGGCCACAAGAAAAAGCCGGTGGCTTGCGAAGCGACAGCGATTAAGTCCATCAAAACTTTGGCATAAACTTCTGATTTTTCCGAATTAGTCTTGCATCCTTTTGTGGTTCTCGACAATAAGCCTGAAAAGACGAAACGGTTAATAAAGATAGTACTCAGAGTTGTTGACAATTTAAATAACTCACTGAGTAATGCCGGTACGAAACAAAGACAATTGGTAAGCATTGCACCTTTAATTACGTCCAAGCTGGGTAACACTACATAGACCAGCAGGACGATGCCAAAAACGTGTAAGGTTTCCATGACTAAAACGAAAACGAAATCTTTAAGCGGCGGTTTTCGACAAGATTTAAAGAAACATATCCTAATGGATCGGATTAGGGTTCCCAGTTCGGGAACGATGAACGCTAATAGAAGACACCATATCCACACGACTCGTTCTTCTGTGGGCAAGTTAACTACGTAGAGCTTGTCACGACCTATACAAACATTTGTATTAAATAAAAAAAATTAAGACACATCGGTGATTAAACTACTTTGTACCCACTCAGATCTTTGTTGCAGTACGTCACCACCCGGTCGGCTCGTATTTGAGAAGTCATGAAAAACATGCTGGATTTGGCCATGACACCGCAGCATAAGACTATGATAAACGTGGTCAGGTAAGCAAGCATTTTGAGAACACGAATGGTGAACTCAAGACATGCCTGATTGGTCATGGAGCCACTGTCGCTGCGTGGTGGCAAGTCTCGGAACACGTCCCATGCTTTTGTTTCTGCAACGGTCCTCTGACTACAACGGGTAATTTAGTTAATTCAATTTTATTCTTGGTCGATATAGTTGCAAGTATACAATACAAAAACATTAGCGTGTCACAGTAAAAAAACGCAAGTTAATCGGAACGTTTAGTTGCTGTATTAAAGTCAATTTATCTATTACCTTCCTCCGTATAAGTCTTGGGTCAGGGGTGAACTCTCATCGTCGTCTGTAGAATTTTCGTCGCTGTCCTGGAGTCTTTGGTGTGATAGATTGTTCACAGACGGCACGAACGATAAACGCTGGAGCGACGCCATTGTTCTAAAAAGAATTAATAGAAAATGATCTCACGGTTATTAATCTTCAACATAGGTACCGGTCGCTTTCGTTTTCTTATGCGGCCGACCCATATAATTCATGCTCGTTCTATTAATTATACACCATATTATACCGTTATAACGGTCTGCATCCGACACACCGATATATTAAATCGGTAAAATTAAATTTAAAGTTAAAAATATTTGAAAGCTTATCTACCGCGCTTCCGAAAAATTATGTTCATCTATTGAATAGTATCGACCACCCTTGACCACCTAAATATTTATATATTCCGAAAATCACTGGTTTATACTAGTGAATTATCTTTATTATTTCACGCGTCAAGTCTCGTTTTGCTAAAAAACACATTGAAAAATAAACGACTCTCGATAGCTTAAAGATATTTCTAGTTTATTTTACAAGTATATGGTGTGTATAATATAAGAGCAGATAATTTTAAAGAAATACATGTTTTTTTCGTTTTGTTTAAATAATTTAATATTATAAAAAAGACAGTGCAAACATCTAAGAGTAAAGACAATTTTTTTGTGATATATTTTAGTAAAGATCAGCTACGGTTCAATTTTTGTTTATTTAATCGATTAACTCTTTTTTTAATACAAATATATGCTGTGTTCCAGTGTCTGGTTTAAACTCATAAACGTAAGCAAATGGATAATGTGCCCTTAAACAGTTGCTAGCCGCTAGCGTCTATGACTAATGGTTTTATGGATCGGGTATTTCATTTTTTCTTTTTCTTATTGTTATATAACATCTCCCTAGCACAATATCGTGTAGCCATTCAGTTGTTTTCAGATTTACAATTAACAATAGAATCTAAGACCGATTTTACCGCCGCGACTCGTCGAATAATTGGATTTTTAAACTATAGTCTATGCTCTATAACATAAAATCGCCAATAACGATTTTGTCTTTGTTAGGATTGGCCGGCCAGTGTCACTGGACTCGGCTCTGTTAAATCTAAAAATTACGCACGCGCATTAGTCGTTTCACACCGATTAGAACAATTAAAAGGGTCATATATTTAAAATTATATAAGTATGAATATTTGTAACATAAGAGTTGACAACAAAAACGATAATAATGCACGTGACAACCATGCAAATCTATTATTTGTCCATTAATCTATCTTATTAATTACATAGCGGTGCCAACGACAAGGTATGTGAGCGTGTGATTATCCAGCTATATTGAATTTTGCATAAATTGATTCAGTCGGTTAACAAAATAATGTTTCGTCAGAACGCAATGTCGTGCACAACACCCGTCTGATGTAATAATGCTGCCCAGGTCATTTGACACCGTCTCGATGGACTTTGCGGAGTTCAAGTACGCGCAATTTCACTTTCGTTATGAACGCCCAAAGAACGGCGGCCATTAATCTGACTTACAATATTAACTTTTAATAATTGTAGAGATAGTATTTAGTTATTATATAACAATATTAAACATTATAATATGCTGGTTTATGTACAAAAGCAGAGAGACTAACGTTGGAGAAAAACGGGTTTCGACTTGACCTTGGTCAAGAAATGTATTGTTTCAATATAAAGATCGGTTGACACTCATAGTATCGCAGTGCGAAGAAATCGCTGGTTTACAAGCCTAATCTAACGATAAAAACCAGCTTCTTTAGCTAATTATTGCAAATAAATAATTGGATGATTGAAATTGATAATTTAGGTAAATGTGTTTTTACTTTTTTACAACGTATTTTAATATTCCACTGATCTATTACGACGAAAGAATCAATCCTCGCCATTCTGAACTGGTTCAATATTAAACACGAAGAAAAATCCACTCTTAGTTTAAAATATATGCACCTTACGTTCTATAAATATCCAAAGGAAATAATTCATTTTGAAAGAATAAACCTATTGAAAATATTTCTCACGAGTCACAACACCTTCTACGCTTCTAATAACGTAGAATGTGCCTACAAATATTATTATGCATGATTGGTTTACATTTCAAGTCCATATATTCAGTTTATTACCGTTTTGGTTCCTGATAACAATCGCATAGAGTTTATACCTCATTGTATGACAATCATAATATACTGTTATATATGTTTGCTATACAGTGCCTATGTGCACCTACCTTGACTATTATATTAATAGTGAAATCAAAAACTGGTCACGTCAATCATATGTAGTCGTACGCATTTCTGCGCAATGGAACGTACCGGACGCATTGAAAACAGATAGTGGTTAGTATGTGAGTGTGTTGTGTTGATATTGTTGCATTACTTAAACAACCGTACGGATGGAGTTAAAACGAAATTCGATCAAACAAATGTATGTCACGAGTTCTTACTCCTGTCCGGCACAATAGACTAACAAAAAATCATAGGTACGATGGCAGATTAGGATCTACAACTTTAGACGTGTTTAATAATTAGACTGTTCAGAGTCCGTACAGGTCAATATTGTACATATAATAGTAACGTTAGACACGAAAATGATGAACATTGTGCAACTTCTCCCCGGCGTGCCGTTTAAATTCCCATTATTGCGGCTCGTGAAATATCTTTACATTAGAAGGTCATGGCCCTCCAACGAACTGAAAATAATTATGAATTCAATCATTTCTCTACTACAAAGGACGTCTATTTGGTTAGAGCAAGAGAAAGAGGCGTACTAATATTCTCCCCCGGTTTTCCAGTGTCTATACAGTAGCTGTTGTTTTATTGTTTAGATTTAAAAAAAGAAATATTCCAGTATAAATGTATGTTTCAGATGATATATTAACACTCTTATTTCAATGGTTTTATTCAAAAAATTTTACATAACTGGTATTTTGACAAATCCATGATTTTTGGATATCCTTCCCCCAAAAAAATAAACATTATTATTTTAAAAATGTAAAAGCAAATGACTGGGTTAAAGACGGTTCTCAGTAGTACGAACTATTGCGATTATTGTTCAACATGTGTGGTTATTACGGTCTGTTTGCTCTAAGTATAATTTATAATGATGTGTAGAGAAAACAGAGAGGTCACTCAGTACCCTGGGTCTTAGAAAACGGGCGCCTTTGATTGCTATTCATATACCTATACTTGAATAGATTATGTACACAGAAGCATACAATATATTGCAGTTTGTGTGATCTCAGTTATTTATATTATAGATAATTCAAAGCGTTAACTATGTATTTATAGGTTGTGTTAACAGGATGTGAATGTTGTATGACTTCGGGTGCAGATTTAGTTTCGCTCGATTTTTTTACATCTCCGAAACACTTGTGTACATCTGGTACAAAGCGGAGTCCGTTGGTCGTGTACGCAGCCGTGATCTAGTAGCGAGGTTGGTACATTAGCCGTGAAAGTGAAACGGCGGCTATAGCGGTCGTATCGCGAGTGAAAGGAAAAATCTGAGGAATTGGTGCATTGCTACACATTTTTTCTCTCCATTTCGCACTATGCTTTCTATAATATTATTGCTATTTACTTTGATATAATATTGAGTATTATAATACTCGATCGTTATCGATTCGTTCCGGAGGCATTTGATCTTTTAGTTGCGTAACACCAATTTTAAAACCGGCATGACGCTCTTGGAAGCGGTCGTAAGACATTTTTGAAAGTCTCCCCCGCCCAATCGTATGGTGTACTATATGGTATTATATTATACAGACACTAACCGTTAATTAGGCGCGTGGGAATGGCGTTAGCGCTTATAATGATAAAGCATATGAAGTCGTACACTGGAATAGAGCAATAAGGGTACACAGGAAATCTACAGCCGAAAAACGCGTCGGTCGACCTACTTATTTATAGAGCGATAATGTTTTTACTCGGAGTCATGACCGTAGTACCTATTTCAGCAACTGTAAAGCGTTGAGAAAATCAACATTAAGGTATATTAGACGCCAGAGAAAACTAGGTAGAAAAAAAGTTAGTAATCATCAAAAAATCTATTAAACGAAAAAAGTGAGCGCAAAAAACCGACTATGTACTAAGTTAGTATCCGAACGGAAATCCATGACTCACGATATATTATCCATAATTGTAATAGTTATCGTGATGTGATATTAACACATTATGAGTATGGCAATGGTATTAATGCTAAGGGTTAAGCCTTTGAGGAATATAGAACCGAAGAGGGGTGAGGGGACATTAGACAACGTTTAGGCAATGCTCAGGGTTTAATGACGTTTTTACCCCACCAAAGGTAGCGTTAAATACGGTTAAATATGTTAAGAAAGTCGTGAGATTCAGCTTGTTGGTGGAATGGTTGTTGCATTGCGGAGAAGTGTGTGGCTTGGAGACTTCAACGCCGGACCGGAGACCTCGTTGAGCAGCCGCATAAGGCGCGTAAATAGTTATAATAATTATTATGACAGCGTGGGTCTATATATCTGTGTTATTTTTGGATTATTTCGCAATTGGTAACTCGACGTTAATATGTTGAGTGAACAAAAATCTTACTTGTATTTGTCCTATCCGTTTAGAAGCTACGGTGTTAGTGGTCGTTATCCGAATATCAATTGCAGCGGTCACTATTCATACTTTTTGGAAATCGTGCGGACACGTTCACGGACGAGAGAGTTGTTAAGCAAATACGTTTGTTTTATCTTTATTACTTTTTTTGCTTTCCCAGTTAAATCAGACGCGAACGCCAACACGCGGCGGCCGGACGACTGTGCGTGGCCTGAAAGAGACGGCCCGGTCGGTTAGGTCTTTGGCTTTCTGTGTTGCGGTCGTTGGTTCTGGTGGGAGACCTGGTCGCGTTCGGTTCATGTGGTGTGCGCGACGTCGGACCGAAAGAAGAAGGAATAAAAAATTAATATAACATTATAAGCGCTTCGAGACGGTACAACAATAATAATATTGTTGTATATATATATAGGGAGAGAGAGAGAGAATACCCGTAAAACGTCTATGCGCGGTCTCTGTATAATACAAGTGTACATTATAATTTATAATGATTTGTTCTCCCACCACACGTAACTGCGGTCGAGTCATCAGGGTCTGGCCACACGCCACGGGTGATACATTAAAATCGTATTTCGAGTACAATACCTAAGCGCCTATAGCGTAATCACAGTAATTGTTACATTCGATGCACTGGGGCGGCGTGTAAGCGTTTTTGTTTTTTCAGTCCTTAGCGACTTCGCGCTTTGTACGCCACGCCGTGCGCATCGTGTGGGTTGCAAACAAATTGTACACGAGCCGTATTATTAGGTATGAGCCAAAGTGCATCGTTTATAATTGTCTAACCTAATCTAACGTTGTTGTCCACAATATACTAGTAGATTGTACTCTATATTATAGTCAAAATCTATTAAAATTTATAACGATACTCTTATCGTATTTCCAATGGGCAAACCTGACAGTTTAAAACATTATTTTGCTTTTCTCGTTCCATTCGCGTTTTTCTGTATTGCATAGATCGATTTGTTCCTAGACTCTTTGTATCCGCAGTTGGTAATATTTCCTGAAAAGCAATAACTTTTGTTCTTTGTTCGTCTAAGACAAGGACACGATTTTCTCACGGCTCATTGTTATATCTTTTTTTTTTATATTCTTTCTCGAAGAAGAATTTGAGAACTTTTTCAGTCTTCCGTTTGACTACTTGCATTGGAGGCTAAAGCACTCGACTTAGTATTCTCTTTTTAAATTAATTATTTTTACAGTATTCACACTAGGGTTAGGTTTTAATTGTGGCGACACAATTGATGTGTTAAATGGTAAACCATGAACGAAAATTATCTTTTTTGTTATTTATCAATTCTTATTATTTACATAAGTATTGACAAGATTTTCCAGTAAACATTTAATCTTTGAAAATATGTTATCTTAAATGAAGTAAATTCCGTGTTACATACGAAAAAAATATCTTCGGGAAGAATTAATTTAGCGTAGGAGATATTAACAAATATGAGTAATACTTTTTTTTATAACGATATTTTATTTTTAGAATACCGATAAATCAAATGACTAAAGATTCTAAAAAGTAGGTAACTATACATATTTTTAACAAATATCAAATATTTTTGCTTTAATTTTGAAATCGTTGAACATCGCTAAACTGATACTTGTATTATCCTAGTATCAGCAATCAGCATATACATTATATCCAAGTTGGATATGCTGTATACTTGTAAATACATTTTGTATTGTTCTCGCGTGCAAAACTAATCGCGATTGAACAAGGCAAATACAATTAATTTTATTGCACTTGTTTTTGCTACACAATATCTCGTTCTACTCTCCAGCGTGTCTACTTCGTGAATTATTACATGACTTTTGTTTAAAAAAAAAATATCTGTATTTATTTATAACATATAGTAAACATAAATATGTATGGCTGTGTGCTTGTTGAGTATAGTGCCTACACGTATTTCTTTTCAGCGGGCGGTTATATATTATGTATACATATATATATATATGTATTGCATAACGGACTATAGACATTTTATTATAAAGCTGTAGATAGAGACTCAATGTTTTGGAATTCCATTTTAATTATGAGCTCAACGTGTATCCTTCAAAATTATTGAAACAACTAATATAAATTTCTCGTAAAATGTTGACTTCATCGCAATGCGTCGATTTATAATAGCATTGATGCGGTTACTTGTTTATTATTACTCATAATATGATTAGTATCCGAACATCCTGAATCAATTTTTTTCCAGTTTAGTAAACGGTATATATGAATTATTGAAGTTGATTAAATGCCTTTATTTATTCAGCTGTCAAAATGTTATACTAATTTTGAATTTGAAAAAATATTCATTTACTACTAAGTGATAGAATTACTGACTAGGATACAAATAACTAATTTTTAGGTTTAAGGGACCAAACGGAAACAAAATTTGATGCTAACTAAAAAGTCATGTTTTTTAATTGATGTCACTATTCTGCTGCATAGGCGATATGTTAAAATGGCTTAACATCTTATTAAAATACAAATTGTGTTTTTAATAATAGGGTAGAGACAATTAGAGTTGATCGTCAGACTTTTCTTATAACTCGTTGCTGCCAATAGGCAATAGCAGTGTATCGTTATAAACAATATAATGAAACTATTTCACACATATGTAGCAACATTGACGTTTTATACAGCTCGTGCCGTTCTCTCCTATTTTTGGTTTTTCCTCACTAAAAAAAAATGTTAACTGTTTACGAAATGAGGCCATACTGTATTAACTTTCAGTCTAATTTACAGACATTAAGTACCAAAATTACGTTAGAATAAGTTAAATAAAGAAAAACCTTCTAAACCCTCTAGAGATAGGGTTTATGATATTTTAATGGTTTGTCAATTTATATCGAAACGTCAAGAAATCTGTTTAGCGGTTTAGGAAATATCGTGGGTCCAGAAATACAAATAGTAAAAAAATATAAACACATAATTTTAAAACCAATATCATCTCAGTTTCGCATTGAAGCTAATAATGCATTATTTTAAAATAAAAATGTATTTATAAAAAACATTATTGTTTTGTATGTATTATGTAGTATAGTTTTTACTTCTTTTCTAAATGACACATTTATTAAAACTTCAAATACTATTTTATTAAAATATATTTATATTTTACTTTTTTAAATAAATTGTAATTTAAAATAGTTTTTTAAGTACAAAATGTTTTGATTTATTATTACAATTTTTAACTTATATTATTATTTTCTATAACTACTACTATTTATATTTGTATTTAAATCAACGATTATTTAAATATTAATAACTTAAATAAAAATGTATTAAAATAATGCTCAGGTTTGTTTACACTAATACGTTTATATAATTAATACTATTGCAGTAATATATTTTCTAGTTTTAATATTTAATATTATGTATAAGTTGTATAGAAATAAGCAATCGTTCCAATATTTTATATTTGGATAGATATATCCAAGTAGAAATTTGTTGATGTTTACTGACTAATGATGATATACTTCACCTACAGAGGTGCAGAGGTTTTATAAGGCCTAAAACAGTGTCATCATTTTAACATATTATCGATTAATTGACATTTACGGGAGATGTGACTGCTCATGCACTGATGCACTCATGCAAAATAAAGTATATCTTTTATTAATTTAAAATTATATCATTCTATGTTAGATGTCTAGTAATATCAAATAAATTCTTGATATAATCGGTGGTCTGTTTATAAATTTCGTGTAATCGGTCTACACGGATTATGCAATTAAAATAATAACGTCTATCGCAAAAAAAATATCACATTATACACTCTGCCACGGTGTACATTTTTTCTTGTTTATATATTATAGGAATTTAACAAAACATTATTTATCTAACAATATTTTTCCGGGATTTCACGGCCGTCATATTTATTTTCCTCGACGCGTATCTTACGGGGCAAAATGTGTATTATGTTATTAAGCTATTCTCTCTAAGGAAATTGGTTCATACCGCACACGTGTGAAGTGATCAGCCGATCACAGTTTTGTCGATTATTTTCCTATGTCGACAGTTTACAAAATAATATCTCAACTTACTTACCATGATCTAACGAAACACTTTCCGCAATTAAAGACATATTGTTTCCATTATACTAGTACAATAGTTTGACATAGTAGCGTAAGCCAGAGATAGTTTTAGGCGCCTGTTTTTGTTTTTTAATTATACACGTTTGACAATTTTTTACAATACTTTTCCGTTGAGAAGCTGTCTGGGTGCTCAAGTGGACCCTCGACACAAAGTACGAATTGAATCCTTTATCTATTATTAATGTGCATCCAAATTTATATATTTTATAATTTTTTGCGCCCTGTATAAAGAGTATCGAGCAAGAGTACTTGGGAAATCGATTCAGTTTGTATAGACTTCCATCTTCCCTTATCTTAATAAGAGAAAATGGAAAACATTAACATTTCTTGTTTCCTAATTATTAGGAAAGAAGAAATTGTATTATTTGTTATAGCACGATTTTTTACTATGTTATAAGTAGTTGAAGTGTGAAAATTCAGAAACACGAAAACAAGTGCATTTGCAAAACATACTATTAATTAAAAGTAAAAGTATATTCCTAAATATATTAATTTAAAAATGATGTATTATTAATCTTTCTTTTAATTTTGGTCATGGCATGATTACTCGACTAGTTTGATGAAAAATAGTTTTACCCAAAGCGCAAATGTCTAAAGTCGTAATTATATTTGTTTTATTTAAAATTAATTTAGAGCATACATTCAAATTATTATTTTAAATATTTTAATCTATAGTTCAATTTTCTTTTTTTTTTACTATTTTTATATATTATTTACTAGATATAAATTATAATCATTTGAATAATTTGTTGTAGTATTATCAAAAAGTAGATTACATTGTAGAGCTAACATGTTTAAGTAGTCACAGAAACTGCTTGATTATTATTATTGTTTTAGCGTTCCAGATAAGTATATTTTTATTTCTATGACGACTAAAGTTGTTTATTACAAATTATAATAAACAAATCACCCTAACGATTACAACGTGAAAAATGGACTCACCTATTAAGGTAAGCACTAAGCAAAGGAAAAATGTTATGTAACTAATTCTTTAAATTGACTATCTATACTATTTCTCCATGTACTTTTGAACTAAATAAACAATACCCGTGTACTCCCATAAAGTGTTAAATAAAACAATTAATGACATGTAGAATGTTAAAGCTTATTAGGAAACAACTTGCTGAAGTTGAAAGTTGTTTAAAAATGATTTAGGCGCAGTCGGTTGTATGTAGTTGACTGCTGAGTTGAGAAATAGGTAGTAGGTAGTAGTAGTTTATAAATAAAAAAATATATTAATTGGTTTAACTTTCAATAAACTCTTGAAGTTCGGTATTGGCCTTTGCTAATATCAATATAATGGCATTTGACAATATTAATTGTATTTGTATCCCGTTGATTCCATTAAATCTATATTTTCATTTTTCAATAAATTTAACAAACCCACGTTCGTTCAAGTTTTGCAGACGCTAAATGGTAGAGTTAGTCTATACTATGTTTTACTGTGACTTTAACTGGTACAGTAACGCAACCGTGCAGAGGACTTACTCTTAAGATAAATCAAGTGACCTAATGCTAATAGATTTACAAATATTATAGCAGTATGTTAACCGAGGTGAATAGCGACACGCTACAGTATACGTATGCTCATTTAATTAGCATTATGGTTATTATTTGTTTTTTAAATTAAATAGACATAACACTGGACATTCTACTTAAATAAATTTAAAAAAAAAACGATAAAAATTAAATAATGAATAATATGTATATGTAATATTGTGACCACACTAATCGGTTTGTACTTTCTATAACGTAGATCACGTGCATATTGGATCGACTAATGCCTTAATTTGAGTTCGGGCAAATAAAAACTTTATGTAATTTCTGCATAATTATCCGCGTCTGTATCTGTTCAATATAAATTAACTAATAGTTCAATTTTCTCTCACTATTTGGTTTTTAAAAAAGAATAATGTCAAATATTTTTTTTTTATGACGAGTAATGTTTTTTGTGAACAACTGTAATTGGTATTGAACTAGTATCAATGTATGTATCATGTATTATATGCAAATTTAATAATTACAAATTTGAAAGAGAAATTCGTTCTTATTATATTAGTCAACTGACCTTATGTAGTAAGTGTTCTATAATTAGTATATTTATATCGGAATTTTTTCCAAAATACAATTAGATCGTTATTTAATTTCAAACATTCCTAAGGCATCAGCGTGAAGTGTTTTTCAAAATAACATTATGAACTATAACCTGAGCTACAAAAAAAAAAATGTTAAACTAAAGTAGGAGACCGTAGAGAAGCGGCGGTTGGCTTTGTCATACAGCCCAGTCCAACTATTTTGCCCGCGGTCAATCCGGTTGAGTATTGTGTAACCTACCTTAGCCACACACACACACACTTAGTGTTATTATAGCATAGTGTATGACTGTGCAATATTAACAGTACGGAGTACCAATATATTATTACACAGTCGAGTTATCAGTTCTACAGCTTTGATGCAGAATTTTTTTTAAATATTATCCAACGATATTATTCGTTAATAATAACTAGAGTTTTTTTTATTTCTAGTTTATTAAAGCAAGTTTACAAACCATTTTTTTCTTTAGTAAAACGTTTCATTAAAACATTGTTTACAAGTTTGCTATAATAATAAACTATATATAACTCTATCTATAAAAGATAGTCGTTTGTTTAGCAGAACACTCAACTAGCTATTGAAGCGTTTGAGATATGTTCCTAAATAAATTTAATTTTTAAATATGTTCTTCCAATTCAGTTATAATTATTATACTAATCTAATAAATAATATACTTGGGGATAAATTGGAATAACATATAAGTTACAATGTTTAGTCGATCTAATTTTGTCCACTTTTTTAAATGTATTATATTTTATTTGAATAAGATTCTATGATTAATTTATTAGCTGAACCTATGATTTAAAGGGGTCTATTATAGTATAACATACATATAACTGGATGGATTCAACACTGGAAATATTGTTTAAACAAAAACAGCCTTCCTAATTCCAACGCAGGTGTACATTTATAATTCACAGATGTAGAGAGATAATTTTACTAGAAAAGTTTTTTTAACATATATTTTTAATTTCAATCCTAAGAATTCTTAAATATTTACATTTGAATCATACATTTCAAATAGCAGTCTGTTATAAATTATACAATTAAATAAAATAATTCTGAAGAACCCTAATTGGCTTTACTGCCTGATCCTGGACATACTTAGATAATGTTTTAATATTAATGTTATAACAATAAAAAAACCCTCTTACAATTTAAGATACAAACTACATGACAGACTGAGTGGCTGACAAAACCGTCAGCTCCTATTTAACAACTGACTACTGAGTTTGTTGTATGGGAGAGACGTAGGCGGCGAATTAAATTACTTTTATAGTGTCAGTATAGTTGACGTTGAACTCGCTTGAACCCATTACAAAATCCGTACGCTGTGTGGACAAGAAATTACTATACTCGCCAATACAATGGACTATAGTACGATATACTGCCGATTGGATTTTAATTAGTGTCGGTTGTCCTGCAGTGATAGTATAAAACAAAATAGTATTGTTTTTTTGGTTTACTAGTAATGTATATATAGTACCGAAAAGCTGATGCGATTACTATACATTTATGTACAATTTATAAACTAGAAGAACAAGCTTTTGGCCATATTATTTTCATACCAGTGTTTATCCATAATTATGGTTATAACTAGATGTTGTGTTTTAACTGATTGGTATCTTATTTATAGCCGTCTATGGACTACGAATTGTTTATGAGCTATCTGAGAAAGGCCGGAGTCTGGAAGGCATTGGCTCGATCTTTTAAGATGTTGAACAAAGTGTGTACGCGTTCGCAACAGCCAGACAACCCGGTGGAGTATGTGTTTTTTCTCTAAATGGGATCATATGTAAGACCAGGGCATGACATACTCCAGCAATGATTCAATTTTAAGGACGTTATACTCTTTAAGGAGTCCGGTATAGGCAATATTTTGCAAAAGCTTTATTTAATGTTTAAAATGTAATGTGTTGTTATCAGTTTAGTAACTAAAATTCTTTTATGGTAGCTAATTAATTTTTTGGAATACGACAGCGATTTTAATTTTTTTTTAGTGTTCGGTTTTAGAGCAAAAACACTTATTATGAAGTCGAATGATGATACAATTTTAGGAGCAAGAACACAATTGTCTTTTTTTTTTTTAATATTATGTTCATTATTTTTCTGGATACTCCCTAAGAAATATTTTTACAAAATGATAAGTCATTATCTCCAAAATTAGTCAGGTTTGTACTGTTTATCAAATATCAAGTCATCAGAAAAAAAAAAGATAGAAAAGTTTAGATAATGCTTGACATAATAATTAGCTGACGTCTACTACGGATATTTATATGCTTAAATTACTTAAAAACAAATCCGGTTTGTTCCTTGACGAATGTCTTTGAATAGACTGTTGGAAGTAGTGTATAGATGTATCTATAAGAATCATTTCGAATCTAATATACTTTTAGTTGTAACGCTCAAAATACTTTCTCCGGATATTTGATTTATCCCGTTGCAGAGGTTAAGTAGAACAAACGGGTAATTAAATAGAAAAGGAACATGTATTTTAAGAAAAAACTTATGTTATGTCTTAAATAATACTATTCCATTTATTTCTCGAACAAAAATAAGTGCATAATTTAAATTGATTTAATATCGAAGCACATTTTAATCGATCGAAAACAAATAATTGTCTTTCAAAGAAGTCTTTTTACCATCAGTCGACTTTAAATAATTGTGAACAAAAGCGTGATAGGTCCAAATGGAGTTACTTTGAAATTAATTTTAGAATTGACGAGTCTATATTACAAAACATAAAAATAGTAAAATATAATAAAATTCCTAGTCATATCGCGTGTGAGTTTTAGTGTTTAATATTTTTCAACTAAGAGCTGAGGAAAATAATTATTGAGATCTTATTATTAAATTGTTTAAACTAGACTATAGAAACAATTTTTAGAAGTACGGCAATTTAGTGCTCTGCATAAATGGTGTCTAAATCTTCCCGAAGAGGGAAACGCTTTTTTTTATAATACAAAAAACATGAATATTTTATCAATTGAACAGGTTTGTTCGCAAGCACTTGATGGCCACTAATAGTGACTTAGAGGCGGCGGACCAAGTACGCCAAGACATTGCCGAGTGTAAGAAAATATTGTTGATTTTGAAACGTGACAAATGTGTACTGACTAGAGATTTAAATTCTCTTCACCGACGGCTGTACCCGAAACTGAAGAGCGCTGCATTGGCAACAATAGATACTTTGGACTTGGAAACAGCAGACGAAAACGACGACGACAAAGCATAATCTAGCTTTAGTAAAATCGTTGAGTATTGTATAATCTATGGTATGGTATGTTTATCACGCAGGAAAGAAATATCTCACTGTCTGAATAGTCAACTACACTAAGTAATAATTCAAATCGCGCATTAAACGGTGTATTTTCATTGGCCAAATATACAGTTAGCTTACATTATAAATTATCATGTCGTTTTTATTATTGTTTTCATATTCTTTTAGGGTCTATAGCTGCTATAGCCTATGCCTATGTACGAAGTGATTCACTAAGAATCAACTATATACTACCTTTGAATCAATTAATTTTCGTTTTTGATTTTAATAGCTAGACATCCGATGATCTCAGTTTTTCATTGATACTTCACTAACATTTATAAGCTAATGAACATCTGCTATTAGTTTGTAGCTGTGTTTATTAGTTAATCATTTATCAACACGATCAAACAATGTGGTATTGAGAAATGACTTCTTAAACAATTTTTTTTTTTAATTTGAGATTCTTCATATGTACAAAATATCTCGACAATTACACAAAACAATTTAATAATTACAAATTACAATGATGTTGTGCTAAAAATAATGTTTCGATGACATATTTGAATACTTATTTTTTGTATTAAATCTTACAGTTAACAGTTAAAATTGTTCAGTGTTCGTTAATTTCTTTATTAGATCACCTATTAATGATATTTCATTATTTTTAACCGAAATATAGCCACGCATATTCTGTTTTATTCGGTTATTCTAGTTTTAGAGTTAGGTATACACTTATTATAAAATCGAAAGATGTCATATTAGTGGGGCAACCCTATCCGTTTGTTATTCATCAATAAAATTCAATTTTTTAAAACTGTACCTAATACATTTTTTTTAGGAAATATTTAAAAAAAATAAATATGGCATCATCAAAAAGTCGTGTTTTTTGATTTTATAATAAGTTTGCAGCTGTAATTTTAACGTATAAGATCAATTACATTCACATGCATACAAAAGTCATCTGTAATCTGTGCTGTACTAAAAGAAAAACAAGCGAGCTATATAGCAGGAATATCGTGTTAGTTGTACCAATTACATATTAGAATCTCTTGCCGTTACATATTCTGCCATCTATGGACCATAGATATATATATATAATAAACTAGATTGCTAACTGTACATGCCACCAATAGAGAAGATTGAAGCAGCCACTTTCCGCCATCTTAGTGGGAATTAGAACCTTATCACGCGAGAATTATATATGTTTATAACAATCACATATATATATATAATATTGATATAATAATATATACAGATATATATTATATGCATTGATAACACACATAAATCCCACCAGGATGGCGGACCGTCGGCTTCAATTCTTATCGCTAGTTAGCAATCTAGTTTATTATATAAATCTGTGCTATGGACAAAAAACGTATTTATTATCAGTGATATGTAGTATATTAGATAATGTTATCTTTGTTGATGTTTTATGAAATGCGGTTTTTATTTTTATCGTTTCTCATATTTTGACTAATGATTATTATTAAACCTTTAATTTGCTTATACAAATTATAAAAATGTCTTTGAAAGAAGTTTTTAAGCCCAAAAGTGTTAAAATATCGAAAACATTCATAGACGCTGATGGAAGAGAAAAACAGGTAAACAATTTCTTAAAGATAGTCGATAAAATATAATATATTGATTCTTTTAAATAAAAATATTCCTATGTAATAAAGTACAATAATACATTTATGCAAAATTAGTTGTTTCCTTTTGATTTATTGTGTTCCTGATTATTACTTTAAGATTGAAACTAGAGAAGACGAAGAACAATCATTGAAGTTGCAAGAAATAATGGATTTATTAATTGCTGCCGGGTATTTTCGAGCAAGAATTAAAGGGTTGGCTCCATTTGATAAAGTAAGGAATTTTATCAGCTTTTATTTGTCTTGATGTGACTTATAAAAATAGAATAACGAATTATATCAACTGTTAGATTGTTGGTGGTCTGACTTGGTGTATCGATAATTGTACTGTAGACTTGGATGTAGATCTGCATTTTGACGAATCTTTAGTCATTGGCCAAAAAATGTGAGTTACAGTTTTACATATAACATTTTTTAATTTTATACAAACATTTTTGTAATTGTAATACTTCTTTCAGCGCACTCACTGAAAAAATTGTTTCTGTTTTACCCAAAATGAAGTGTCCTTATCAAATAGAACCACATCAGATACAAGGACTAGACTGTATACATATTTTTCCTGTTGTTCAAGTAATATTAAAATTTATTAAATACATTTCTAAATAAATAACTCTTATTAAAGGGTGTGATTTTAGTGGTTGGTGAAGAGATCAATTGAAAAAAGAAAAGAAAGAGGCGAGTTTTTGATGCACTACGCTGCAGATCAGTTTGATAAGTTGGTTAATTATCAGAATGTTGACGATAATGAACCCAGCCACAAAAAACGATGCTCTCATCTTGAAGTTAGTGTTTATAAATATTAAAAGAATTTCTAGTTAGATTATTATGACAATTTCATTCTTATTCATGATTGTTAATTTTGTTGAAAGAAATGTTTAATAGGCACAAGAAAAACAAATAAGTCTTTTAAAAAAGAGGAACAAAGAATAATGGAGTATGAAGAAGACTCCTCTGAATCTGAGGAAACTGAAGGCTGGTTTATTTTAAAACCTTTTGATCCAAAAGATTTTTCTGAAACTGTAATAATTTAAAGTTTTAACAAAACTATAAAATGTTTCTATTATGTGTATTAATAATTGTATGGCAATAGGCTATAATGACGGATGAAGAAAAAATAGAAAAATTAAAGGAAGAACTACAAAAACTCTCAGATGAGTTGAGACAATCCGAAAGTGCAACAAAACAAGTCGAAGCTGAAATAGAGCAATTGTCTATGGGTAATTTTAATATGGAAGAAGACAAAAAACAGTTAGTTTGAACAGCTCATATATATATATATTTTTATTACTATTTTTGAATGTTTGTTTTTTTTTATAGAAAGTTTGAGGATGTGAAAGTCTTAATTACTGAATACGAGCGTTTGAAAGAGTCTGAAGACACATTCCAAAAACAATGTAATACTGAAATAGAATTGTATCAGCAAGAAATCAAGTAATATGACAATCAGAAATTATAATACAATATTAGTATTGTAAACAATAAATGTGGGTTGATTTATTATATTATTTTAGGGATCTTAAACAGCTTTTAGAAGAACCAGAAGAAGATGACTCCGAATTGAAAGAAGAGTTGGATAAAATAAAAAACATGGTGGAAGTAGCTCGAACAAAATTAGGCAAGAAAGCTAGAGCAGTAGGATTGATGAAACGTAAACTCGATCAAATACCAGATAGAGCCGAATTAACTCAGTATCAGAGGCGGTTTGTTGAATTGTCAAATGAAGGTATACTTCAATTGTTATTTAATAATTTTTTTTTTTAAATAACATAATTTATTTATTGCAGTGTCTGCAAGGCATCGAGAAACAAAAAGACATTATGATCTATATAATACCCTAAGCGATGTTCAAATGTATTTGAATAAAGAACTATCACTATTGAGTTCAATTTTGGATGCCTATCCTGAGTATGTTACAAAAAAATATGTAAAATAAGGAATAATTTTTCATTTAAGAGTCAATTATGCTTTACAGAGCAGTGAAGTCTCCAGAAGGAAAGGAACAGTTTTTAAGACAGTTAGAAAATATTGATATTGGCGTAAAACAAACCCTCGATAAAGTAAATTTTTTTTTATAAAAATAAATATTAGTTTATTAACCCCCCTGGATACCGACCATTTTTAAGGAGTTTTGTATAGGCAATATTTAAAAAAAAGTGGCTTTAATACATTTCGACCATGCCAATTAATTTACCGGTTAATTTGTAAAAGCATCATGGTATTATTTTTAATTTAAATCATTTTGTCTATGAGTAAAAGCCATTTTAGTTAATATAATAGTACATTTTTTGTCCATCACACAGGCTGAACCAGTGATTCGATAAGTAATCTGAAAACAGATTTGAATTTGTCATGAAGTTTACTTGAGATCGGTCAGCGTACTTTTTTGATATCTTATTCCTACTACGCATAAAACACGTTTGAACATTTTATAAAATTTCAAAATTCAAATTCAAATTTGAAAAGGGTTAAAATTAAAAATTGAAAAAAACGCTCTGACCGATCTCAAGTAAACTTCATAAAAAATTCATATCTGTTTTTAGATTGCTAATCGGAACACTGGTTAGACCTGTGGGATGGACAAAAAAAGATGTGTTTTGGCTGAAAAAAACGGTCGGTATCCATGGGCTTCAACATAGTTGTGTTAAAATTAATAAAAATTGTTCATGGATAAAAAGCAAGAATAATTGTTTATATTGTTCATCTCTATTCATAAATAGTGTATTGTAATTTAGTAGTGGTTGTTTTCGCTAGTTAAAATTTGTAGTATTGTTAAGTATAGCTTAACAATACACAATTTATAAGCTAAAGTCTTAGTTGTGTTAGAAAGAAATTTGTTTTTAATATCAAAATATGGATAACTCTATTGAAGTTAGAGGTAATCTCTTAAGTTATTAATTAAATATTTTGGTATTAGTATTTGAAAAATACAAGTTGATTACATTTTGTCCAGAACTATGCAAAATCTATTTGAATTAATAATAATGAAATAATGTCATAAACAACTATGATAAAAATAAACTGTGATAAATTTTTATTCACAAGTAAATGTAATTATCCATTAATAACCAAACAATGAATAATGAAAATAATTAGGAAAAAATGAATAAAATTATTCATGAGTAAACCGCATGATTTATTTATATTTCTGAATAATTATTTGATTACAAATTTATTGGCAGTGCCCAGCTCTGATTTTGTTAATGGTATGATGATTTGTGTTAATAGGTGGAGAGTAAACGTAATAAAGAACAGAGTGTTAAAAGTAACTTGAACAATCAGCTGTCTTCTTGTGTATCAGCACACCGTCAATACTTGGCGTCAGTTAAACAACTTGAAAACGAAATTCAAAAGAATCTGCAGCTTCAAGAGCAAATAGATGCTTTAGAAATAAAAGACTAACAGTACAACTCACATTTTTGTTGAAATAAAAATTCTCATTGTTATATTTTATAAACACAAGTATAAGTATATAATTTGTATAATATATTATACTATAATATTTAATAATATGTTAAACGTTATAAATGCTCAAAAAATCTTATAGATAAACATAATTATATTTTTTTATAACAATTTTTTTTTAATAGATTAAAAATATCAAAAACGTGTTTATCGAGAATGACTAGACTAGTGTACAAGTGAACGAATCTAAACCGCTATAGAGTAATCTGAATGTTTCTGCGTGTTTGTCACGGGTCTCGACCACAACGTTGATTTACCCAGATTGGGTTTGTTCAACGTTTCCGTGTTACAATCTGCGTCTGGTTGACAGTGATTCGGTATTGGGAACATTGATGTGTCGGCCATCGATGAAGACTTTTTAGACTGGCCGGTTGGGAACCATCTGTTTAAAAATGAAAATAAATTAAGATGAGCCACTATTTATCGAATTATGTTGAGCATTACTACTACGCGTGTGTAGCACCTGGTCTGCGTTCGTCGCGGTAATGACTTTTGTTCTGACGGTGGTGGAGATATGTCTGACGATGTACTCGATTGTGCTCTGCTGTAGATGAAACCTACAACGAAAAATACGAAATATGTTAAGAAATCATACAAGCTTACAGTACTACGAAAACTATTGCGACGGCCAATAACTCGTCAACAAGATAGTGACGAGAAAATATGTAGCCTGTGCAGTGAATGAAAAGATAGCGAAGGACAAAAAAAAAAGGGGAGAAATAGGGGTGGCCAACCATATTTGTCTTAGATAAGACTAATAGCTAGAAAAAAAAAAGTAGACATCACTAAGTTAGAATTGTATGCCGATGCCGTGTCCATCTTTAAAAATCTGAAGAGAAAGAGAAATTACAAAAACGATTTACGCAGCCTTCTTTTTGTGTGTTAGCAATAAGTGCATATATATATATATATTTTTTGAATTATGATTTAAAGCTTAATACATAATATAGTCTTTACTAAATGTGTAGTTCTAGTACGGTGGGGGAGATGCTGTACCCCCACGAGGTCCCCACTGTAATTAGTGTTGTTTTCATTACGAGATATATCTCCTAATGCCTACAACACGAAACCAAACGGCATCAACCAGGTGGTGCCATGTGAAATAAAATAAAAAAGTTTTAGTAACCGTTACAGTAAAAGAAAAAATCTGAAGTATTAAATTTTTAATTTATTATTAATGTCTATGTCGATAGAGTTAAGTAGAATAAAAAAATAATATTTATTTGCCGTCAGCAGTTTTACTAAACGGTATCACAACGGATACTCGCTTGTTAATTTTGTTTTGTTCAGATGATTGGATGATTTTGTCCTACTTGACGTCATTTGTTCGACTTCTGAATCCGAGTCGTCCATACGCGCACCGCTAGAATGCTTTTCGTACAAGTCTTGTGAAGCCTTGTTATGTCTGTCTTTGAACATCTGAAAAGTATCGAATTCCAACTTAAGAATAAAGATGCTCTATTTATTGTTTATGTATAATATATACCTAATGCGATAATCAATTCAATATAAAAACATACTAAGTATAAAATGTATTAGTCATGTATTTAAGAAGTATTACAAGTGTTGATTATAGAGTGTACATAAAATTCTCATTAACTCTAAATTTAAAACAAAATATATTGGCATCACGTTTGTGTCAACAATACAATTATTATTGTTTTCAACTCATGATAATTTTAAAACGTAACTGTCGTTCAAGAATAACGATGCGTTGAGTATGCTATAAGCTAAATATTAGCTGCAAATTGTGTAAAACATCTATTGATTGCAGAAAACGGAAATACCTTTGGCGGATGAGAGGAAGATGCGTAATTTTCGTGAATGGATTGTTGTCTTAGTGTAAGGTTGTGAAGCATTGGCATAGACCCGTGTTGAGCTTCGTCCAGCGGAAAGGTGGCGTATGGAGATATGTCAGCAGATGTTTCTAAAACCAGGTAGATAAAAGAGTAAAGAGTTTATCTTTAGTTTAAGTAGTTTACAAAAAAAGATTAGTTCGTGTGAGAAATTACCTGGAATTTTTTCAGAACTAGCAAAGTTAACTTTGTGTATGGTGGCGTAATACTTATGATTTTCCGAGGTCCTTCGACTCGGCGTGTTTCTAACGTTTATCGGGCTGTTATTCCGTTCTATAATTACACACAATATATTACACGATTTCTTAATCATTTCAACAGAAACATTTGGAGCATACAATTTACAACTCACTTTTTTTCATACAAATAAGACCCACGACAAGGCTGACAATTACAAAGATTATCGAGAAAAGAGGAAGGAATATATTCATGTCCCAAGTGTAGTAAAAAGGCTGAGAGATCTGATTCTTTTCCACAAGCTCTGGTGGTGGTTCTTCTGATAATTTTTAAAAAATGTTGTTTTATTAAGGATAAGTTTTTTAATTTTTTTATAATCGTTGTGGAAATTACCTCCGTTTTCTGTCAATGTGAAAAAATTGTAATCAGCTATGGTCGATCCGGCAGCACTATGGCCTTCTACCTGAACCTGGTATTCAGTCGCCGGCATCAGACCCGTTATGGTAAACTTTCTCTGATGCTTCAAGTTTTCCGTGGCTAAAACACGAAAATTTGCAAATAATTTTCATTAATTTTAGCGCGCTTAATATTTATAATAGTGTAAATCTTACAAGTAGTCCAGTGCGATTGTAGCATCGGCCGGTGTCTGATGACGAATTTTGTGATAGGACAATCGTTGTCCGACCACGCTTCTAAATTCAGTCTTAGGTACGTCGAGTTAGGTTTGATGAACTGGGCTTTTTTCGGCCAACTCGGTTTCTTACCTTTGGTCTTGGCAGTGATTACTACGCTCGGCAATGAATTCCCCACCTTGTTGTGGGCCACGATGTGCGCCTGGTAGGTCTGACCGCATGCCAAATCCTGACAAGATAATAAACGCTACAGTGACCATTGTCTTTAAAAGAGTTTCTATTTTATCCTACCCTAAAATGATAACATACGTTATACATAAATAAGAGGGTAGTTAGACGAGAGATAAGACACCCTCCTCCTAAATATGTCCAACAGAGTTTTTAGATCATTGGACCGAGATTCTTTAAATTGAATTCAGTGTTTTTTTTCTATTACAATGATTGAAGAAATCGAAGTTTTACGTTAAACGTTGTACTCACGTTGAGATAGAATGACGTCGTATGTCTGGCTATGGATACTTGTTTGTAAGGTCCTTTGGGAAGCAAGTGGTAAGTGATCGTGTAGCCCGTGATTGGCGCATCTCCGTTTGACGAAAGTCTCCAATGGAACACCAAGCTAGTGCTGGTCGTACGCGCTGTATACAAAACTGGCGGTTCCGGTGGCACTGCAGTAAAATAAGCAATCGTTTAGTAAATCATTCCAATTATTGAGATCCGGACTGTTAAAAAATGTCGGTATACCTTGGACGACTATCTGATAAACAATGGAATCGGTACCGTGTATGTTTTCTACGTGACAAGTGTAGTTGTCGCTGTTAGGTCGTTGCAACGAAGTGATTGTCATGTCACCGGAGTCTGTGATTTGAACGTTACCGTCCCACGACTGAATGGCCCTGGAACTTTTTAGCCATTTCTTTGCGACCACCGGTTGACCTACGGCTGTGCAGGGAAGTTTCAGAAAAGTCCTCCACGGTCGTTCGACGAGGCCGCCAAACGACACGATTTTTGCCGGTACTGAAATATGAAGGTTAATATAATTTAATCTACTTTTCCAGTTTTTACAGTTTGCCGATTGTGCCCACTCACTTCTAGGTGAAGAAAGCACTTGAATGGCTACTTTTGAGCTTTGTCCCTCGCCTGCTTTTGTAGAGGCCGTCACCCAGAATTGGTATTCGACGTGCTGCTGCAATCCTTTGGCTTCGTACGTGGTGTGATGGCTTGGCAACGTCCTTTTCATATGATTCAATTCCTCGCCTCCGTCAACGACTCTATCACATACATAAAGTATAATATATTAAACAATTAACAGCAATAACGAGTTCATTGGCGTGGCAGCGCACACACTTATTGATAGTCTAAGTTTGTATTATGATTTTTAATCGACTTCAGTTTTGTGGATTTTGTCCACTTAATTTTTAGGGATTAGGTTTCCTTAAGCTCCAATTTGACTGCGAGAAAATTGAGAGAAAATTGCAATAGCATTTAATGATTTTGCTTTGAATTTACCACTTTGGTGATATACATTATACTATTAAAAAATTACCTGGTATATAAGTTGTACCGGAGGAGAATTCCGTTGGAATACTTGGGTGGCGACCAAGACACTATTAATGATTGGCCCGAAGCCGCTGCGACTTTAATGTCCAGGGGAGGTCCGGGTGCTAAAACGATTAATATACGTAGCTGATGGTTTATTCAATAACTCTTGTAGGTAATAATATTTTTATCAAACGTAAAATTATACCATCTTGTTCGGTGCAGCATGTTATCGGTTTTGAGTACTCTCCAGTGCCGATTCGAGTGAATGCGGCCACTTTCAAAGTGTAATTTGTGTACTTGTGAAGTCCTGTAAGAATAACTGTCGGAGATGTGGTTTTGCGGTTTCCTATTTCGATATCGTCGTCTATAACAGTGGCAAACATTGTGATTAACATAAGAAATGCAGTCAACACGAGAAACATTATAAAATACTCAAAGATGCATGGCCATTTTCTTACCTCTGTCGATCGAATCGTATGTAATCGCGTATCCCTGAATTATTCCGTTCCAGTGTTGAGGTTCAGGAGGTTGCCAGGTCATTTGTAACGTCTGAGAGCCAATGGGCGCACAGCGGACGTCCACCGGATGTCCAGAGGGTACTAAGTAACGAACATAGAATGCAATACGAGTATTTGTATTTTTCATAAGTGTGCAAGTAAAACACGTTGGAGTATTTTATTGAAAACATTTAGGTTTATTACCGTCTTCCATGGTTTGAGCCATTGTCGGATCTGACGTCGGTCCGTTACCGATTTCGTTAAACGCTTGTATAATAACGGAATATCGCTTGAACTTCATCAGATCCGATAAAATGAGCTCACCACCGTCCTCGCCGTCTCCAAACACCGCCGTCATGTTGTGGGTTATGACTTCCATACTAAAGTTTACGTGAAAGATCAGGTATTAGATATTTTCGCTTGTAGCGTATACCTTTACAGTGACAGCTCTACGTGATCCACACGTCGTTAGAACGTACATTGTTGGCTAATGGAGAGTTAATCTTGTTTTAAAAGTCAGGCTCTAGTTTTATACATTTAGTAACAATTTGTCAAGGGGTTTTCGGAAAACACGTCAACACATCACTGCTCTATTGTTTCGATGCACAAAAGAGTAATGCATAGTATACCTGACTTCGGCGTAACCGACATTGTAGCCCAGTATGATGCCGTTCTTGTGGTCTCTTAAGGGTGGAGCCCACGTGACCAAAAGCTGCGTGGAAGATAGCGACCGAACTTCAACCCTCGTAGGAGGTCCGCTGGGCCTTTCCGGATCTGTAGCCACTATCAAATCGTCGCTGGGCGAACTCCAACCGGCGTCTCCGACAGCGATCACTCTAAGCGTGTACTTGGTGGCTGGCCGCAAACCGTGCACGGCCGCTGCTCGCACTTCGCCGTTTACTTCGGTCGGATCCCACCAACCTGATAACAACAGAGATTTTTATTTAATATTTGTATAACAATATAGAATATATTGCGACGTTATAAAATATAATATGTATTATTAATTCTTGGTAATTCTAAGTTATTTGTAATTAAATTAGTTCCGTTTGAATACTGAATATGAAATATATCTTTATGTATATTGAATTCCCTACAAAGTATTATTTACTTCAATATTTCAATGATTGTTTAATACATTTTTATAATCGATTCGGTTAAATCTGCCGTTAATCATATATTATTATTATTTATTATATCTAGTTATACTATCTTTTTCAAACTTACCTTCGGCAGTTTTGTGTTGTACGATATACTTGGAAGTCTGATCGCCGCTGTGGTCCCATTGTATGTTTATAGTAGTACTAGATACAGATACCACTCTAAAGTTGTTCGGTTTGATGGGCGGTTCTTGGACATACAGCTGTACAAGCTGTTGGTCTCGGCCGTACATGTTGCTCGCCTGGCAAACGTAAGAACCGCCATCGCTTATTTGCACATTGTTTATTTGGAGCGAAGCGACAACTTTTTCTCCAAATATTTGTTGTCGTTCGGTATGCCTATAGGTAATATAAACCAAATTTGATTTGTATGTAAAAGTATTTGGGTTTTTTCTTTTGAGTTTTAAATAAAAAACAAATATTATGTAAATTTATATTTCTTCCAAGTATTATTACTAAGAATATAATATTTGTGCGGCTTTTATATTCATAACTGAAATTGAAATATTCATATTTTCTTTTGCGTTAGAAAAATGTTTTTATGAACGGTACAATACTAACCATTAAAAAACAAGGCCAATCTGACACGCTTTTGTGGTGAGAGTTAAAGGTGATAGTTTTGAATTCACATTTGTGTAACATACACAAATGGTATACATATTGTATATTATATATTATATTATTGGTATACATATTAGTATATTACATGTAAAACAGTTTTTTTGTGCATGCATGCATGTAAGTACCTACCCAGCTCACATACACGAGAACAACACTGTTAATCTTTGGTGGGATGCTAATTTCAAGTTTTTAATTTAGGGTATTGTGTTGATTCAATTGACAAACATTTTCATTGAATTTTGTAATGCGAAATTCCATGAAAATTTAACATTTAATATGGTTATTATTAAACTTAATATACCACTATGGTTATATGTATATCATATAATGTTACTATTATCATGCCACATCATGTATAACATATTATTAACTGTAGATTTGAAAATTAAATCAATTATCGTCTTTTAATACTAATCCGTTATTGTTTATTTTTGTCAATAATAATTGTGTACAAATATAATAAATCAATACATGTTTGGTCACATTTTTTATATGTTTGGCCATAATATATTTCAATATTCTTATAATAACGTAAAGAGTGCAGTGTCTTTCCCGGTTTTGTGAAGACCAGAAGCTGTTCCTATTGTTTGCAACAATATTTTGTTAAGGTTTCAGTTTTTTGTGGTAAGATGTTAATGATTGATTTTATTGACTAATGGATTTACCGAAATTTACTCGAAGACATTGTTTCAGATTTGCCGTTCTTGAACCATTTCACATCAATAGGATGGTCTCCAGTCATGTTGCACTGCAACGTAGCAATGTCGCCTTCTTTAGTGCTAACCGTTCTTGTAGTAGACGAGAACAGAGGGGAAGCTTTTCCGTCGATAACAAAAGAAAAGTTGAGTTGTTATTATGAACACGGCAACAAAATATGGTCAGACAATAATACTTACATTTTACGTTAACCTGGATCACTTTGCCGATCGCGTTTCCTATACCGTTGGAAGCTTGACACAGATAGTAGCCTTGTTTGTCCTCTTTAACGTTTTGTAACAATAGCGAGTGGTTACCAAGAATTTTCGTATGCGATTTTTCTTTTATTTCCTCATAATCACTGGATTTACTCCCTGAAATACCGACCTACCTTTTAATATTGCTATAATAGAAATAGCTTGCAACTGGAATAATTCTATAATGGAATAATGTACACCGTTACATTATTTGAGTGTTTTTTAAATGTTTAATAAATAGGTTTTCGATAGAAAAAAAAACAAAAATCTCAATACATGGCGAAAACGTAAAAGCATTTAGAATCAAATAATTTCAAGATAAATTGATTCTGGAGGGCACTGTTTATTTTTTTGTATTACACTAACGATAAGCTTTTATAGCGTTTATATACAATTCTTGTTTATTTTGATACTAACTGAGATGAATATTTTTTTTACTATTTTACCGGTAGCTTTTTTCCATACAACGGTGGGTTTGGGCACACCGTCCGCTTGACAGTCGATCATCAACTGACGATTTCGTTCGATGTCCACGTCGGCCGGTTCGATAGTCCATTTTGGCGGCACTGAATAAAATTCAAAAAGCGAAATATTTCTAATAAAATTTGACTGCTGTCAGAATTCGGGTTTTAAACTCTCAAAACACCATTTTACCAATATTTGAATTAAACAAATTTAAATAGAAAAATTCTAAATGTCCAAATGCGAAAATTATGGTGTAAGGGTTATATAGTTTACTTCTTTGCATAACATTGAATGTTATTATTACAGTATATTACTCGCGGGAACTTTTAAATGTAGAACACAATAAAACCATTAAATCTACAACGGAAAACGTTTTCTTCGTATGTTCAAAAGTTTACAGTATCATTAATTCATTATTAATTTTATGAAGTATAATAATATGTTGGACGTTATTAGAATGGATATGTCCACAAAATTATAAATGTATAAAATTTAATGAATATAAATGTATATTCCAATATATATAAACTGTTTCAATAGCTGAAATAATTATTAAATTATAAAATTTAAACTAGTAATACTAATTAAAAAATGAAATATAAAAAAATGGACCTCTACTTTTAATTTTCCATCTTGGGTATAATTTTTTAATGTAAAAAGTCTTTAAAATATATAAATGTTAATAATTTATACAAAATAACATTAGTTTATATTAGTGATGAGAATTAGAAAATCCAGATTTTCATAAAAAAACACTATTTTAGCCATTTAAAAATCTGTATAGATATAAAATAAGCTCAGTATGTAAGTAAAATGTTTTTGATGAAAATGTAAAAAAAAAATACCAAACCGTTAAGATAAATTGTTTTTGGATTTCGGAATAGCATTTTTTAGTAAAACTCCGATTTATGAATTCCCATCACTATCTTATAACACTGCGTTTAATAACTAATTAAAAAACAAAAATATTTAATTTATTCATTGTAGTACATTAGATACTTCTATATTTTAATTACCTGTAGTTCAATAATTTTAGAGTATTACATTTAAGTTCCCAACGGGGTCGGCTATTTTTTTTTTGTACCGTTTTATTAACTTATGTTGTAAATTAAATAAAATATTTTAAATTGGTATTTTGAGAGTTTTCTTTTATAACTTTCATCTTTGTTGATTTTAAATGCGTTAAAATCAAACTAAGACTTTGGTCACAAATGTGCGCTCGTTTATAATTACAGGTTTTAATATGATAGTAATTTGTTTGCGAGCATTCCATAATTTGTGTTGTAGTGATGCAAAGAATTTATCCGGCGAATTTTGATTTTCGGTCGAGTGAACAATTTAATTAATAGTGAAAAAAAATATATATTAAGAGCTGTTCACTGTGCTGTAAACCAATAAGACCAGAAAAGTAAATTGCCGTGTAGCTTTTTGTGCTACATCAAACGGGTTTCGGATAAATTCTCTTAAGATTAAACAGATGCTTGTTATATATAAAGTACATGCTAATGCTAACCGTCTAAATATATGCATGCAAATCATACCATACCGTAGTGGTAAAAAATCTACAATTCTCGTGCATAGATTCTAGGTAAGTATAAAAGGATATTAACGTGTTGTTGAATAGATGAATGACAATGAAAATAAAAAACAAAGAAATAAGCCAACTTTATAATGTAAAATGGTAAAAGTAGAAAAAACAAAATAAAGAGTATCGTAGTAAAGTCTATAAAAGGGGAGTGAATGGAAATCGATCGTAAAAAATGTTATTAAAGTTTCATGAAACTATGTACACTTTGTGTACATGCGGCGGCCAATGTACTTAAGACTATTAAACTGATACTGTCGGTGACAACAAATGGAAATAAATTTTGTTTAACAACAAAAAAAAAAACGTGTAAAAAAAAATATTACAAAAACTTTCCGAGGAATTGTTTTTATTGTAAGTACTATCAAAACATAATTCTCGTTGGATTCACTTCTAAATGTAATTATTCTCAGGTGTATTATTATTATTGTATTATAAATAATATGTAAAAATCAATCATAAATAGATATAAAAGAATATAAGTAATAATAATAGTAATGTCAACAAAGTAAAAATATAATAAAAAAAAAGTGCTCTTTTTACCTGTGAATGATTTGTGAATGAATATATTATTCGCAATGTGGTGGTGGTGGTGGTGGTAGTGTTAATTGGTATATTCCAATGACCTTTATTTGTTTATTAGTAATTATTTTGGCGCAAAATATTTTATTTGATTTGTGTGAGAGCTGATGTATGATTCAGAACTTATATTGTAATGGGTCTTAAACGACCGGTTACGACCCCTAAAATATTATAACATTTAAGTAGGAAATACTTACTGGCGTGAAAATATTAATATTTTTTACAAATAAAGCGTGATTTTAGGAAATTCATTAATCGTGCGTTATAGTTATGACAAAGTTTTTTTGTATTTTTAATAATTTTTTTTTTTTGTAGTATTATTATTTGAGACACTAATATTCTGAAGGGTTGGTATAATAGCTGATATTTTTAACCGTTACACATTTTCTATTAATGTCTTTGTATTTGAATATGTTATATACGATATTCTACGATTTTTTTAAAAAAATATATTGAAACTCACTACTTAAGAAATAATGTAATTTAAAATCTATAAATATGTTGTTTTTATTTAGCTATATTTTAATTATTTTATACGAATTACATATACTTGATTTTGCACATTGCCGTTCTATGTAATATTATACTCAATGAAAGTATTTTGAATAAAAAGAATATCAAGTGCAAATGACTGCGGTAAGTTTCTTTTTAAACCTATTTACATGTCATAGTATAGGTATACATTATATAATATAATGCATATTATGCGATATAGCTACACTAACGACAATAGCACGTAACTGACATTTTATCATGAGTATTATACATAAAATAATTCGTAATCTCCTTGCGCACATGTTTTATTATCAACTTTTTTTCATATAATCGGTTATTTCCCTCCAAAATCAGGTTTATGTAATAACGCGTATCTGCTATTAAACTGTGCTATTAAACGTAAATAATTTGATAATTACCCAATTATTATGATTGATAATTATAACTTGAATTATGAGAAAAAACTATTTAAAATTTGATAAATATTGTACAAATATGTAATAAGTAAAACTACTTCTCTCAAATCAAAGTAAAACAGTTTCTTGCTTCCTCTGAAAAATTGCCAAATTGTTAGATACGTGGAATTGTCGCTAGTGTAACGATATGTAACTTTAACGTTATATACGATATATTAAAAGAAATGCAATAAAAAAATTACATTTTCTTACTTATAGATATTTAAAATATATATTATTATATTGTATTTAGACGGTTAAAATTAATTAATTATTCGATGGAGATTTCGGCTTACGCGGCCGCAACATAGTGGTGTGTTTAATAAAAAATAAAGAAAGAGATATTCGAATTTGATTAAAAAAAAAAAAAAACCCGTGAGTCACGTCGCCATTTCAGTATTACTGTTTAAAAACTCTTAAGTAAAATATATTATGTGAAATGAAGAAAGTTCTCTACCAAAACTATAGCCGAGCAAGTGTATACAAAATTAATCACATTTTGTAAAAGAAAAATTAATCGAACAAGTTAAGTATTTTTTAAACTTTGCTCATTTCTTCGAAGATAAAAAAACCTAACACGAAATTTAGCGCTGTAATCTTCGCGTACAAAATGTGCACCAGACCATAGTAAACTCGTTAAAAACTCACCGCCGAAAATATAAAAAATAAAAACATTTTGGCCTTTTTAGGCATCTCGTAACTATATAAAATATTATATTTTTTTTTTGTTGTTGCATTATAACGATATTTATCAATAGTGTTTTCTAATAAAGCGCTCAATTGTTATTTTCCCCCTTTTATTTTGGTACACAACAATCGCATTAACGGTTAATAATATGAGTATTAATTATTATAATTTTACGAATGCAATAGAGATCCTTGACAAGGTTAAGTGTATTTCTGAATGCATTTGATTTTTTGTTATTTTAATAACAAATAATTACATCAAAAAAGTTAAATAGGTGTTTTCACTCAAATTATAACGAGAATTTGTTTTAATCCTGTGTTTATTTAATTATTTTTTATTTTACACAATATCATTAAAAACGCGTGTTGTGACTCTCAAATATCTATATTTTTATCACATAATATACAAAACTATCAAAATGTGTAATTGTACAAATGCATATAAATTCATAAATGTAATTGTATACCCGATAAATAAAACAATAATTATTCGAGTTATTTAGGTCGTATGCCGGTCGTTGGATGGAACAGTAGGTATAATATTTAATGGTGCAAAAGCCGAGCAAACGCTGCATTATCAAATTAATATAATATTTTTAAGACCGGTAAAACGAAAACGGATTATAAGACAAGTACATGATATAATTGAAGTGTGACGGGTTAACCGATTTATAACATTAAATGCGCTATTAACTAGCACAACCCCTATTTAATAGAAACAACACAGATTGCACTAAATTTTGTTTTAATTTTCACTTTTGCTCTCACACTGTAAGTAGTATACGTTGACTTCTCTTACTTATATGGTCTTAATTGCCAGCATTATTTAATACTTTTCTCTCTTTCTCTAGAATTTTCTTCTCCACTAAAATCTTTTAAAATAGAAAATTATCATTCTAAAAGCATGGTCAAAGATAACGTGTTATGTTATCGTTTATAAAAAATCGGTCAACTATAAAAACTTCCTAATAAGTGCCTACCTTCCTACTTGATCACACTGTAGCAGTATTTTAGCTGAGTGATAAAATATGTTTTAGTATCCAATCGTGTACGAACGCCAAAGTGGGGCAAAATCGGAAAAACCTGGTCATAATATAGAAAAATTGAAAGTGAAATGATTTATTCGAAAGATATTGCTTTTTTTGTTGACCTGTTAGGGCAATAAAAAACAAAAAATTATTTGATGTTCGGATCGCCCGCTGACTGAGTAACACTTGATCAAACATAGTGCCCCACCCTGATTATTTTTGAAGAAAAGTGTTGCAGCATTTATCAACTATGAACACTTCGGATCATGAAGGTAAGACACTATAATTTTTTTTCCTAACTCGAAATTATTAGTTGAATGTCCGAGGAGGCACATGAATCCATGAATAAATCGTTCAAAAATTCCAGAGATGGGTTTTCGAGAAAATGTTCAAAGAGGGACATTTTGAACGACGTTTTTGTTCGACTGCTAATTATATCAGATTCGTAGACAATGAATTTGTCTTCAATGCGCAAAACGATCAGCTAAACATTTTTCCCCCGAGACTCTGAAACTATTCCAGACCCCTTTACCACTTGAGCCTTGTGCATCGGATGATCGCCATGCATCAGAATCATCAGATTCGGAAACCTGATAAGACAAATATAATAAGATTCTCTCTCAATGTCTTTTCCAAATCAAAATTCATGTAAATATTCGAGTATACAATTTTTAGTGACCCACATAACCTAGCAAATATGACTGTAAAAAAATAACGAATAAAATAATTTATGTAAATAAAGAAGTTAGTAATTACAAAATTACACTAAAAAGTTTGTGAAATTATTTTTTTGTTTAATAGTGCCCCAAAAAAAAGCTTAATTTGAGTTTTCAAGCTTTTCTGTACCTACGTCAAATTCTATGAAAACGCTAAAAAAACTCGAGTTTTCTCGATTAAACGACCTGAAATTATTCAAGAAGGCTCTGGATCTGGAATATTTTTACGTGTTTAGTAGTTCGTAAATCACTTGCCATTCGATAAAATATACTGGTGTTGTGTGACCCATCATTTACTTCGAGTAGTACCTTAGTAGTATGTCAGTTTTGATCAGGTTTAGTACCTTATTGTTATTGTACATTATAAGCAGTGGAGTACATGCGATTACCCACTGTTGATATATTAGCTAGAACACATTGGGGAAGTTCAGAAAATAGAAATAAACGGATTTAACTAAATTACTTTACTGATCTTTTCAACTGAATTGGTCTGTTCGCACACGTTTAGTTACTAAAATACTAGCATAGTTTAGCGTAGTTCAGCTTCAGTAGTCGTGAAGTAAATAGTAATAAAATCACACTTCAATTATTTATAATATTACATTTATTAGTGCATATTTCGAGCATGTGTGGGTTTGTGTATTTTTCAAATATATATATATATAAAAGTGTATCGTCTAGAAATGTTGTGTGTGGGCATTGTGGTGAAATGAAAAAAAAAACAGGAGTAGTCGTCGGGGACGATGCCAAAAAGAGGGAGAGAGGAAGGCGTGTGCCACCGCTTAAAGAAACGCGCACTTACCTTTTACTTGGAGCGCGGCCGTGTACCTGGCCTGAGCTGCCGGGTTTTGGGCCTGGCAGGTATACCGGCCGGTGTGGTGTCGCGTGAGCCTGGGAATGCTGAGTAAACTCGAGTACGAGTCTAGCGCGGACACCGTCACGCCGCCGCCACCGTCGACGGCTTCTTCGTCGTTGACCACAGCGGCGGCGGCGTCGATGACCGTTTCGGTGACGGGTACGCCGTCCTTGAGCCACGTTATACTCAACGGCGGGTCGCCGTGGCTGACGCCGCACACGACCCTGGTCCGGGTGCCTTCTACCAGGCCATCGCCAGGGAAATAAAAAGGCTCAATTACGGGAGGTACTGCGGTAGGAAAACAAACAAAAACGTACAAATGATACGACCGAGAAATTATTTTTCAAAAAAAAAATAGTAGTAAAAAGGTCAAACCATAACACGACAATAATAAGTAAATTTGAAAATATAATACACAATTATTATAACACTATCCCTTTCTACACGCAACTATTTTCTCTGCAACTTCGCGTGTAGTAGCAATATATATATATAAATATGTATAATATGCGTTAAAACCATGCAACTGTAAATCACAGTTCAGTGGCTAGAATAAACACGGAATTGTACGTTTCATCTTATCAACCAACCAACGCGTTCGCATAAGAGGTCAACTGAGATTTGAAAGGACTAAAAAACCCCGTAGCATCATAAAATTAGATGACTATGAAAAGGTTTAATATAAAAAGGCGAATGTCTAAATAAAATCATATTGTTGTGTAAGCAATCGATTTTTTTTAACATACCTAACAGAAAATATAAATTGGAAAATTATTTTAAATATTAAAATAATGAAAATGACATACACCTACACTGTATTTGTTTGGTTCGAAATTAATAAATATTAGTATAAACCATCGAACAAATTTGTTTCAATAATATAGTTGGGAAATGGAAAATGTCTTTGATTGACAATACTATAAATGAAAAAAACTATGACTTTTTTTAATGTTTTCATTGTATTTTTAAGTGGAGGTCTTTGAAGAAACTGAAGTGATGGATTTTTTTAACATCTATTTACAGATAATTTGTATAAAAATAGAACAAATTAAAAATTAAAATGAACTTAAATAGTTTATAAAAATAAATTACCTGTAATTATTCTTTATATTTATTCTTTGTCCACATTATAAGTAGAGATGGTATTGAAAAGGATATTATACAAGGAAAGTCGAAGGAAAGAGGAGCAGAGCTATGTAGACCGGATTAAAACCCTCACACAAATGGCAATATCAGAAAGTATCCGGAATACAGAGAATAGAGAGTTCTGGAGAAATGTATCAAATCAGAATAATATACTTGCACGAAAGTCACGACGTTCGAAATCGAACAACGATCAAGAAGATACTATTTTAATAATTATGCGTAGATTGATTGATGATAAATAAAAGTTATTTCTCGTGCAGAAAGGGTAATGAATAATATATAAAAAACTACATAATATTATGTATATATATATTATTATGAAAAAATGGCATACACTTAAAGGTGTATTATAAAAACAACAGCGACAGCAACGTCTAAAAAAGTATTTAAAAATAACGACCATAATGACATATAATAATGAAAAATATGTTGGTAATAATTATAGTAGAAAAAATAAGTATAGCCAAGTGAGGAGTGAATGCAAACGAGAGGAGCAAATATAAAAGTTCTGATTAAACTTGTAACGTTTGTACGACTTCTAAGTCTTTATACTCGGTATGTCTTTGTAGGCAAACCCTTTACGTGTAGTAAGGTGCAAATCTCTTTGTTTATTGAAAATACGTTTAAGAACGCATTTTACGCGCATTGTTTTCCAGAATTGACGAAGAGATTCGTGTAGTATTATATTCGTTTGGATTTAATATTTGCCTCGTTCGTGAACACTCTTCCGACACTTGACCCTAAGTCCAACATGGTTACTTTCTGTCAACTAATCAAAAATATAGTAGTACGACAATTATTATAAAAAAACAAAATAAAAAAAAACATAGTCCGGAGACGTCTAATTGAACCAAAACAAAAAATAAAACTCTGAAGGCGCGCGCTCAACACTTGTGGTCTTGTGCGAGTGTGCGGCTTTTTCTTTTACCGTTTACTATTAACCGTTGAGTGACCAGCCGACGGGCCGCGTGGTTTCCGGCCTCGCAACTATAGTTGCCCGTGTGTTCCGGTCCTAGCGTCTCAAAGGCCAACACGCTATTGTAATTGTCCACTCGGGTGACCGCGGCGGCCGGACCCAGCGGACCGCCCGCATAGTCTTTGAACCATGCTATGGTCAGCGGCAGGTCACCGCTGATCACCGAGCACGTGATGCTGGCCCGTTCGCCGACGTTCACCGTCCGTTCCGTGGGCAGCGCGCTAAGCCGTGGAGGCACTGTAATCCCGTTTTATATCAACACAACAACAATAGATTTCGATTACCGCCTATCCGCCGGCGTCCCTCCACGCCCCTTCATGCCTCATACATTGAATATCATTGAATCGGAAAAGTGGTAAAAAAAAAAACGTAGTTACACATTATCGTTGACTTTATATTATGTGAAACGGGTTAAGTACATATTAAGTACAACTTTAATGAACTACTTTCCCCATCATCATAAGTTACACCTTAAATATGTATTTATACACAAAAAATGCATTCTTTCGTAGAAATTAATAACAAAATAGTACACGATGGTATAATAATACGAATTACGATTTGCGATAAAATAAGAACAAACGAGAGGGAAAAACATGTATATATATATATTTATAAATAGAAATTTTGGTAAAAAAAAAAAATGGAAGCATTTTCGTTAGGTGATTTAGTGGGAAATTTAAGAGATATTTTGGAGTAAAGCGATGACTAAGGAACGGGAAAATAAGAAAATATTATAAGGTACAAACTGTAGTTGTATGAACTGTTAGTTTAAAAAGTATGTTTCATACAGCCGAGACTAGCATTTGTAGTACTGCCAAGAAGGGTTATCAATCATAAGTACTATAGTTGGATTAGAGCAGAGAAAAATCAAGACGGTGGGCATAAGAAGTGAGTTGATGTAAATAACAATGGATGTATGTACCACACATACACAACGCAACGTACAGCGGTTTGACGGGAATGACATTAACAGTTGAACGTATGACCGAATGAACTATTGAAAGTTTGCCTACGCAGGGAAGTAGTAATAATAATAATAACAATATTTAATTAGTTGCGACTCTCGTCGGCTTAATGAACACAGCGATGCAGTAATATTTCATACTGGTGTAGCGATCAATCTCGCAAACAGTAAGGGAGAAGATTACACGTGGACGCAAATTTAATAAAACGGGTTTTATTAGATTTCGTTGAACGCAGTGTAATTTGTAAAATGTCTGAGGAAAAAAACGCCGCAATTTCAAGCGACAAATGCGGTTTTCTCATCGAAACTACACAATGTCGACGGTGACGACGGCTTTTGGGGCAAACCTAATTTGCACTCCCGCCAAACCCTGTAAGAGCTTCAGTTTAAATACGATTTTCATCTCGGCGGCTTGCATCTTTTACCGGGTTCTATATATATATATACAGAGGGGAGGGTATCCCGCCCGACGTTCGTCCTTTTTGGGTAATATTTTCACACAGCATCATAATGTTATTGACACTGCGTCAAAAGAGGTTAAATTAATTTTTTTTAAGTGCATACAAATTTGATTAAAAAAACACATTTTGATTTTTGGTAAAATGTTAATTTTGCCCGGAACTTTTCACTATTACATAATATTTTAAGTGTAATTCAAATAGTGTTAATGATTTGTTCTGTTAGTTATTAAGTATTTGACAAAATATTAAATGTTAACTTATAATTATTATAAAATGTTGTTTTGCAAAATATAATATCATTATTATGTTTCTTTTGGTTTTGTCAGGATTTTTGACATATATATATTTAAGTACTGTGTATAGTAAATGCACGATAGTGCAGTAAATATTAAAAAAATATATATTAAATACAGCGGCGCAAATGGTTAAAAAATCAAAGAGGGCTTAAGCTCTCTGGCATTTATATATATTTATAGTCTAGAATAAAGCCATGTTGTTTGAGAGCCTAACGCTGCGTAGAGATTTCATATGGTGCACCAAGGTAAAATCAGTACAGCCTTCATTCATAGTCACTGTTACCATGTTTACATGTAGCTTTTAATTCGCATTAAACGATTTAGATTAAATAAACGCTGTGACCATTGCGACGACATGGGCATTAGCGTTTGGGTGTATGTGCTGATATATTTAACAATCGCGGTTTTACTTGGTTCCAATGCGTATTTTACAACATTTATATGCAGTCGTTAATGCGCATCAAATTATTGACAATTAAGTTGATCCCGGGATAAAGTGCATATTAACCAATTTTCAATGTGCATTAACTTATTACTAATCCATTTAATTTATCTAAATCTAATTCCGGCATAACCAAACGCTAATGCTCATTAATCACAGCATAAAAACGTGGTAATTACTAATTAACGACTATGGGTAAAATTGTTAAAAGATAAGGTAGAGAAGTCGTTAATTTATTATCGTGAATTGAACCCACGAACTCATCCATAAATAAATAAACAAAGTAGACTAAGTTAAAACCCTTCACCAACCTAAAAAAAACTATATTTAAATTATTAAAAAATTGGCCATTGTTAAAAATGTTTTTAACGCGGCTATTGTTTGGATAACGGACAACCTGTGGACCGTTAAACCCGCTTTTCCACCACAAGCGGCTTAGATTTATCTGTATAATATACTTGTAAGATATGTGTTACTAATGTGGTAATAATGTATAAGCTGGTCGGTTCAAAGTAGTTACGGCTATGCCGATATTAAACGGGGGTTTTGCCGTTAAAACATGAATTTTTCATGTTATCCCGGAGCAAACGGCCCGTAGATCGTTCGGAATTGGCTGTTTTATTCTACATATTTCTTCCCCGGGGATGAACACAAAAATGGCTATTTGCATTTAACGTACACAATCGTATATACACACGGTCAACAGGTAAACGCATTTTAAATTCACGACGCGGCCACTGTTTGAATGGCCGAGCAAGCAATTTGTTTTTTCCATTAGTGATTTGCCTGACCCACGTTCGAGGTTCCGAGCACTATGTGAAAGCCTCGGGAATAAATAATTTTGTTTATTTTTTGTATAATCGCATTCGCTTTTTACGAAATCAGAAAAGCGTTAAAGCTATATATAAATTGCCTATTTCGCCAAGGGTGAGGTCCAACAGTGTGTACAATTTAGAATGACGAGTATCTAGGCGTATGACTTATGTTAAATTCAGAATAATATGTTCGTTGTCTAAAATGCTCTACTAATTGAACAAAGATCCAACAAATCTCCGTTCAGAGTCAAATCGAAATCAATGGTATTTGACCATTAATTAAACTCTGACTTTTGGCAACGGATTATTGGCGGAGATCTTGTACATAAATACATTTATTTGACAGTGTAATTATTTTTAAAAGGGAAAATAAATGGTTATAGAAGCATTTTTCTTATGTTCGACATGATAGATAAAAACAAATTGCTAGAAAGTAAACATGCGATAATATTTTCAGCGATAATAACAATAATTATGTGACTAATTCAAAGACAATTTTTATTTTAAACGATAACTTGAATTACTGACGAATAAGTTTGTGGGGTAAAAACACCATTAGATCATAGTGCTATTTATTTTCAGATGACAATTTGATTAACATCTTTTAAAGCTGATATTAAGATGTTTTCTCGCGATTATTATTATGAGAAAACGGTAACGAGGAAACGCTCTTACACTTGTTAACTTTTGAATCACATTCGAAAGCACAGTCGTGACGGAAATTTACCTACGACCGAAGGAATACAACACAAAATGTTATAAAATTGTTTCTCTAAATCAGACAAGTTTTATCAGAAGAAAACTTTTTCAATTATTATTCAAAGCACAATGGTTCGGAGCTCTTTAAACTGTTTAGCGGTTTAAAATTCTTCAATTAGACTTGTATCGGAGGTGATATTCTGTTTTATTCGTCGAGCTACCATAAACCGTTGCTTTTTTTTGTTGATAAAAACAGTGCAAATCCAAACGCTTTCATGCATCGATGGTGTCGATGAAATTATATAGAATGTTGAAGAGTACAAAAACGGAATGACTCAAATTACTTAAATAATATAATGGTAAACGTACAAAGTATTTTTTAATATTACTTAACAGTTTTTTACTAGATCATGTGGCAACTAATAAACATACCATACATACAATTTGTCGTCGATATTATGTTGTACCAGAGCTATACGGGATGTTTGTTGTTTATTTTTGAGACCTTTCTAAAAACGTATTCGGCCTTTGGACGAAAAAACATATACAGTACCATGTAGGTAATTCAAGACCACTGGCGTCGAGTATTCCCGGGAGAACTTAAACGAAAAGAGGGTATGGCTACATGTACAAGGCACATATTATGGACAAACGTTTCCGACGGGTTTATTTAAGATTCGTTACAGGCCGGTGGAAACACCGCGTGGAATTCTATCACTTTCGATAATTGTAGCTGACTCAGGACTTTTGAACAACGATTGCTGTCCGCGCACACTCGACCTTTAAACCGGCAAAATCGAACCCGCCATTTTGTAATTTTTGTACGGTTCTCGTTTTGCTTTTTCCAATCACGCCCGGCCCTATCTACTTCTATTACACCCTTGCGCTAAACTATAGGTATAAACCTGCGACCCATTTCCCCAACGACCCGTCTGTATACCGTCCGGGTACTGTGGTCCTTGATATTTCCAAGTATCTGACTCCGGCCAAAACGTCAGACTCCTTGAACCGACCACGCTATATACACAACTAGAAGGAGATATATATATATGTTTGTACACCCCTCGACTTACCGATGACGTCCACTGTGGTTGTCCTACTGGAAGAGTGCCCGTGCTTGTTATTTGCAGTACACGTATAAGATCCGGCGTCTACACCTTTTTGCACAGACAACACGGTCAGCACACCCAAAATCAAGTCGGTTTTTTGTCTTAAGTCTTCCGGTAGCTCTTTGCCGTCTAACATACAATCGTTTAGATGCGTTTAATGCAGTACGTTGACCGAAAAGTATCGTTCGCGGTTTTATATTATTCATATTCACCTTTACTCCAGTGGATTTCGTTAATCGGATAGCCAGCCACTGGGCATTTTATCTTCAAGTTTTCACCGGCCACTGCTGTGATTTTAGACATAGGTCTAATGAATGGATCTCCTGCAAATCAGTTAATCTGATTACTGGTCACTATTATTGTAAGTTAAGTATTAACTGTACATATATTTTGGGCACATCTTGTGTGAACCGAACAATTTTAAGATTTAATGTTTAATCTATTATAATTGCACATAATACTATATTGTTTTACTAAAATATAAATGATAACCCATAAAATATCAAAATAGCTATATTTATAAATATACCTAGTAAAAATATTTACTTTGATGATTATTTTTTGAATGGCTCACTTAGAAATGGCCAATCACAATTTTTAATTACTAAAATTATTTACTTGTGGGACACTTTTTTTTAAGCAAATATCGAGGAAGTACTTTATATAGGAAATAACTCTCTTATATATAAACGAATGAAGCTTAAATGTTATGGATTTATACTACTTGTATGTGAAAATAAAAATTATTAGTTTTTGAATCGTCAATGATAGTTTTTTAACTGAACCGACTAATTTTTTTTTAATATGTCAATAATTATTATCGTTGTCGTTGCAGTGATATTGTACTGAATTGTAAATTAAATTGATTGGCAACTATACGTGCACTGTGCATAAACAGCGTATCATATTACTTTTTTTAACAAAAAAATTTAATGGTCATCTATGATACATTGATAGGTCTTATTAATTCATATTAATTGTTATTATTGCGTTGACATAAGTTATTTATTGACAACAAAAGCTAGTCACGAAGCACGTGGTCACCGTAGTAATGAAATCGATTGTCCTGTACGTTAATCTAGTAGACGTTTATAATACATGGAGGGTTTATTACAATGTTCACTGTTCTACACTGACTTTATTACTTCTAGCTAATAATGCGTTCAACCGAGGGACACCTTTATATTACTTTATATTACCTTTATGTTGTGTAACAACGGAGCAACTAACAGACGACCTTTAAGTGCTAGGATGACCGTGTATTTCTGGTTTTTCTACTAACTTTTATAGTTAGAGCAATATTTTCGGTTTACAAGCAACGTATAGGCGATTAAAAATAGGTACATCACCACCTGGTTGTCTTATCGACCACCGGCGTAAAACCATCGATACATTTGTGTTTGTTCGACCAGTGGACTTAGACATACTATATTTAGTGAGGCAAAACAATTACTAATAAAATAAACTGAAATTTACTCACCGTAAATATTCAATCTAGCTGAATGCGACGCGGATCCAGCTCGATTAGTAGAAGTACACGTGTACTCTCCTCCGTCCTCGACAGACACTTGTGTTACGTTTAAATGGCTGACGATGTCACCGTGTAACGTCACATATTGTCCAATCAAGTATCTAAAAAAAAAAAAACATTATTATTTAAAACTTATTATAACTTTTAAAAAGGAGGTGCGTCGGTTTGGAATATCTTTCGTATAATAAACGTTAAATGAAATTATTAGAATTCATTTAAATAAGAAAATTAATTTAAAGTAGAATTTCATAACAGTTTAATATAATTTACACTAATTTCAAAAAGAAAATTCAATTAAAAAAAAAAAAACATTACAAAGAACAATTATTATTTATTTATAACTAGGAAACTTTTGTTCATTTGTAGTGTCAAGTACAATTTTAATCGAATGTAGTAAATATAATACTATACAGCTTTTTCATAAAAATTGTCAAAACGTTTTAACAGCCGGGAGCTTTAAAATGTGATATGTTATTAATTATGATACACATGATTATAATATGATTGTTATCTAAAAAAAAAAAATGAATTTTACTCATCTGTTTATCAGTTGTCTTACTTCACCCTTTATTATTTTTAATTTTTGACTATTTTACATAGTCGAAAATAAAAGTATTCCAAGTATATTTAGTCACTAAAAGGTGATGTATTTAAATATATTATATTTAAAATAGAACTTTTTTGAAATAAGAAATTTTTTCATTTATGGTGTAATTTAAAATATTTGGTATCATTGACTTTTCAGAAGCATTTTTGTTAGTGTAATTTTTGGTTGAGTTGGGGGCTTGTGCGGTAGATTCTTATGTTTTTTAGATTTTGTAACATAATAATAATAATAATTTAAGAGTTCCTTAGATTTTAGCTTAGGTTAAAAAAATGTTTGTACTGGGTGTCTTGCACTATTTTGACAATGTTAAACTTTTTTTTAACAGTACATTATGGGGCTAAGGTCATATCTTAATGTATTATTATATACATGTTTTTATTGTTATTTATAAAAACATATATTCGAAGTGAAAGAGCTTAAGAGAACTTTAAAGATAAACTTGATAATGTCTAAGCAGGGCAAAGGTTTTTGATTTTGTAGGAACAGCGGGAGATACTCAGTTGAGTGTTACAGATTCTTTTGTAGTTCTTGTAATAACGTTGTTTTATTTTCATCAAAAGTTTAAACAATATAAATGATCGAAGGTGAATAAATGGAGTTTTAACGGTTTTTTAAATTGTTACTTACAGCCTAATATTATGGGATTAGTTAAGGTATTGTGGTCCATAATAATTTTCACGAACGAAATAAGCTTAATATTTGTTTATTAATTCGATTTAATTCAGTTTGAAATTTTCTCTACAATTAAAAAAAAATAATTTTGAGCATAAAATAATCAATCGACAGCATATAGATGGGGTAGTTTTCTATAGGGATCTAAACGTGAATTGTTAAAATCTTTGCTGCGTTAAGGGCTTCGAAAATTTTTATAGAAATATGTGTTTTGCTTTAAAAAAAAAAGTATTTTTCGAAGACCCATCACCAAATTGTACGTAAAAATCTGATTACCTTTCAGAAATGCATTGTTGCGGTTAAAAATCGTATAGTATTATTTGTCACGTTCCGTTTTTTTCCAGAAACGACTTGACGCGTGGGAGATTTTATGCGAATGTGTAAAACCCATACATGTGAAGTAGACCGAAAAAATGCTTTTGGTATTCAGTTTTATTTGTTGTTGTTAAGACTTTTCCCTTTTGTCACGGAATTTTACACTGTTAAGAAAGAAATACCGTATTCTTCACAGTCCAATAAACTGATATTAATTTATGCTTTGTAAGATTTTCTACGTTTTTTTTTTAATAACTAAACGAGTAATACCATTAAGTATAATTTGTAATTCTCGCTTGTGTATTAATTGAAACTTGGAATCACAGTAAGTTTTATTAGATTTCGGAAGCTTATGGGAGTATTTTTACAACAGTAAAACGCATTTTTAATAGAATCCTTCTGACATTAATAAACACACAACTCAGGCAAACAATTATGCATGACATACAAATATGTTGAGTAACGACTTAAGTTGAAAACGCATTGTAAAAATAGTTTAATATCTAAACTGCATACATAAAAACTGTTACAACGTCAATTCGGTTGGAACTTATGACCGATGAAGCCAATGTATTGGTTATGGTATTTACATTATTTACATAACATGCTAAATGACTCGAGCAGTTAATTGTATACATACATAAAAGTAACATGTAGACGCGTAAATAACAAAAAAAGATACAACAGTCAATTGGTAAAAGTATTAAAATTCCATTTTATATTTGCGATAAAATAACATAACAAACTTGTGTAGCTGCTAAAAACTGTCAAACAGAAGTAATAATAATCGATAGCTGTGTGATTACATTTAATTGTTTACTTCATAATTCATTATCAACTAAAAATAATAACGAATGATTTATTGTCGATACCGAATACGATGTTGTAGTATAACAGTTATTAATATGAATTTTTGTAAAATGACATGTCATTAGAAAATAATATATTGAGTAACTACATGGCATGAAATTATTTATTTATTTAACCTCGTGTATGTTGAACTCGGGATACAAATTTACCCCACGCCTCTATACACAGTTACAGTTACAGTTTATTTGTAGGGTAATTTTTTAACCTGCGCTCCTATCTGAGGATTCTTACCTTGGATGATCTGGCAATTTGAATCCGTCTAGTGACCACGTCATTGACGGAGTGGGGTTTCCCGATGCGCTACATTTGAGTGATACAGTAGGACCTGGCTGTAAAGTTTGCTCAATAAAAGTGTATTCCATGATAGGCGAAGCGTCTATAAACAATTTATAATATCTAGATTAGTATCAAGTTTTAAATACAGATTTAGAACCCAATTTAATCATTTAATTAAATAATTGTATTCAATCATTTTGCTTTTATTTAAAAACTAAAATTGAATTTGATTAAAAAATTGGTTTGAAGCACTAAATTAAAATAGATACCTTAACCGGATATTATACAATATTCTTTTTTACAAAAGAGTATTAATAATAGGAATGTTACAAAATTCAAGGTTCTGACAGTTCAGTACTGGGGTTCAAAATGAAATGACTTGAGTTTTATAACCAATGTCCACAATAATATCTGCCTTAAGTCGCTAAATGTTCTTATACTATCAGTACTTGCTGTAATATCTGTGAATTTGTGTTTGTAAATACAAATACAAACAGTAATTGATGTACAACGCAACATACAATAATTTTGTAAAAAATTGAACCAGCTACAAAATTATACTATTGATGCGTAAGAATTATTGATCAATCAATATTTTATATCCGTTTTATTTTTCGTCACGCTCCTATTTCTTAAATAGAATTCTTATTTGATAGATTTCTTAAATCTACAGAAACATACTATACCGTGTCTACAGAAGTTTCACTTTAAAAATGTTTGGAACTATTAAATTACTTTAGAATAGAATATAATATAATATCGAAATTGAATGTTGCAGTGGACAGGTGTTCTAATTTGTTTCTTCAGTTAAATATACATTTAATAGTTGTAAAATGTTTAAAACTAAGCATAAGAGAAACTTATAAAGTAACAAGACAACTAAAATAATTTAATAGTTTCAAAAACATTTTTTTAAATAATTTTTTTCAGTTGATTTTTTATATTCTTATTTGCAAGTACTATAATATGTAGACAGTTGTCATCATAATTGAATTTACCCGGTGAAAACTTACCTCCCAGTACTACTCTGGCGGCACTTTGTGCTGTTTCTCCGTCGCCCCTACGCACTAGGCACTGGTATAGGCCACAGTCTGCTCTGTTAATTGACATGAGCCTCAGCACATCCCTTTGGGCTCTGCCGGCCATCACTCGTCCATCTTTGTACCATGTAATGAAATGGGGTCCATCGTTGAACGACGATGTCAAACATCTCAGTTCGGCTTGCCCGTTTAAACTCACTGTTAATGTGGATGGGCTGACCTGAAAATATTAGACAGTTTTTCAACTAAATATTAGATCAAAAGTACTTTTGGGCATCAAATGTGTATCAGTCGATATTTTTGTTATTGTGCACAATAGTTATGTTTAAACATCGTGCGTAATACATTTAATTGTTACATTTTTAAGATAAACTCTACAAGGGCCTAAAAGAAGTTCCTAAAATCTTAATCTACAATATTTTATACACCCTCATCACGAACATAGAAGGTATAATCCAGAATAATGTATTATTGTTATTATTTGTTATTCTGTGGAATAATGTTTTCTTTTAATAAGAAATCGATATATTACACAGAATGCATATTTTGTATACCGGAATCTGATGTACCTAGCAACCTTCTGTCGCAACACGACTAAGAGTTGTTTTATTGATATTTTTACTTATAATTATTAAATATTATTAATTCATTAAACTAATGAAAACATTGAAACGGATGTGTTGCCGAGACTTATTGCTACAGTAAATAATCGCATAATAAATAAAACAAAATAATAGAGCGCTATAATTTTGAGCTTAAATTAATTCAGGCTTGAAGCAAATTGATAGTGTGGAGTAATTCGGAGATATTTAATATATCTGAGTATAGAATTTATATAAGCTGGGTTGAGGCTCACATAGAATAGCAGCAATACAATTTCACTTTTCGTTATGATGATAACTCGAAGCCTCGGTTTATTTTAGCTGAGGCATCGAAGATATCAGGGGTATTAAAGTACAAGTAGGTATCAGGGGTAGGGGTAGAATAATGGAGATTCTTAAAATATGACTATAAATGGTCAAGTTATATTATTCAGGATGATTTAGGTAGAATAGTGACAACATAATTATTAAAAGTGTTTTAGTAATTCAATTAATCATTGTATATATTCTTTACAGTGTTAATATTAAAATTAATGTAAATGTTTTAAAAAATGTATGGTTAGTTTTTCATTAATATAATTATAAGTACACTCGAGTCTACTTCTATTTTAATGTTACATACATATAACGATTTTGACGTTTGATATTTAAAACACCGTTTCACAGGCCAAAAGTATTGGGTTAAAAAAAATCGAAATAGCGGGAAAAATCGCTCTTTGGGGAATACAGCTGACCGATAATGAACTAATCTAATGGCCATGTCTGTTTTATAACTGCGGCTATGCCATAATTTAATCCTGTCGGTGCTTTCGTGAAAATAAATTTCAAGGAGTATTTTATATTTAATTATATTTGTTGTTTGCGCAGTCCCTACAACAATACAAATTACCGAGTACATGTATGCAAATGAAGTTTCATTCCACAACGGGTCATTTTCACGCGTACTATATCCACACTTCGATTATGCTGTTTGAACTGTATGTATACATACATACATAAACAGTACTACATCATATATTATACTATACATGAGACATCTAGCTTTAAAATGAGTCAAAGGCATATTCTAAAATTGTGCAGAAAATATTATAAAATCTAAAATGGTCGTGAGCTGAGAGCATAGGGCGCATTTCTTATTGGTTGAATGAGCCAGTGGCTATTATAATAGGTACTATCAAATATTTTAAGTTCTTCATCATCGGCGATTTTAGACACTGTTACTATATAATATCTAATAGTGACCATAATAGTCATTGCCCCATTTAATTCGTACACATATGTTTTAAATAATATGTACCTATAAAACTATTATTGAAACCATACGTCTTAGTAGTCAGCGACTTGCACATTGCTCAGAAGAGAAAGTTGGGGGTCTAATGCCCTAATTTTTTTTAGTAAACTTATAGGTTTATAATTGGCTAGTTATTGCCTACGATTCAAAACCAGACCTTGAAATATTACAAAATAAAATATAATAAATATGCATTATGCAACCTACATTAATGTAGGTTTAAGCTCTAAAAATTAGGGATTGTCAATATTTAACATGATTATACACTAATCTTTGTTAGATATATTAAATTATAAAATATAAAATACATTTATGTTCTGAAGGTGAGAGTTTATATTTATTATGTTACAACTTACGACTTATCATTATAATCAATAATCAGCATAGATATTAAATGTTTATATGGACAACGTTTAAAAAACCTCGTAAAAATACAAAATATGCATTCATAATTAATATATTATAATATTCATATTTCAAAAATCTAGTTTTTATTTACCACAACCGCATGTGGTGCGCAACGAAAAAACCACCAACGTCCGGTTCGTGTGGCGCACCACTTCGTTCCACCGCCGCACTACCACCACGCTGCATCGAAGTGCGCATTTACATAAGAATACACGTGTAGTATAATAATTTTTTGACTGCAAGTGGCGGGCCGCAAAAACGCTACCGCCACACTGCATTGGAGTGCGCCCGGCCTTATAACATAAATAAATAACCCTTATAACATATAAATGTTACAACAATGACCGTTATTCAAGCCAGTCCGCTTTGTTGATGGTGTTCGGCAAAGATAAGAAACTGATCGTCAATAAAATTGTTGAAAGGTTATTTTTCATACGGCATTATTCATGAACTAAAAACCAAATTTAATCGTTACACCATGTGGTTATATGAGAGATCTTTTATTTTGGATTTTTTTTTATATTATTATGCCTGGCCTTTAACTCACCCGCGTCGACGTCGTCGGCTGCCAGTTGGTTGGTCGGTGAAAAATGGGTTCCGGCCCAGCCGGATTTTTCAAAGTTATTTCGCCGGAACACCCAAGTATGTAGCAAGGCAAAGGTTCAATCGACGAGGATAGGGTGTAGGCGGTGGCAATGATTGATTTGTCTTAGATGATTGATGTTATGTGCTCTAAAAGCGTTTCTTCGACTTTTGACTAACCTAACCGTAGACTAAATGTGCCCTCTTCTAATGCTAAGATTTTTAGATAGTTATTTTATTACGGGTCAAACTTCAGCCCGAGACGATCAAATACTTTATCGCAAATTTATTATGGTCGGTTTTATATAAGGCTACAGCCTACAACTACTAATCTTTAACGCCACCACGAGTGAAAAGGAGACAATCGATCTTCTTTTATATATTATGAATATTATTGCAACGCATTTTTTATTGATCGACGGCGGTCTCTTTCTCGCTACCTTGCTGCTGTTATGCGACAGCTATTATTTATAAATGTAAATCGAGAGAAAAGCAAATGCAAGTATATAGAACACAGTTTTATGAGACTTCGTCTAAATATTAATACTGTCTGTTTTAATTGAGTGATATTTTATTATACTATGAAATAACCACACAAAATGCCATGTTATAAAAAATGTTGCTTATAGCCGACATAAGTCATTTTAAATTTAACCTATTTAATCAATAATTGGTTTTTGGTTTAAAAGGCTTTTTGTATTTAACTCTTTATGGTGGTTGGGTCATACATTTTGGGTAGCGTGAATGAACTGGATTTATCAGACCAATCTATTGTTTTCAGCTATTACAGCCCAATGTTTCAGTTTTAATTGATTTTTTTAATTCTTTAGAGAATAATTAGAACTATATATTAGACTTTTAGCCCTCATTGAAAAATCTTGTCATAATTTAAGCAAACATAAAAAATGTTGAACTCCTTCTTTATTATATCACATCTTAAATGTTTTTGTTAAAACATTTTTATTTGTTCTTTAACTAAGCGACAATTAACACTGAGCTAATTGGAAATAGTTTTAATAATAGTTAATAATAGTTTTGTTGGAAACATACATAAATGCAATTCACCTAAGCACATTACTCTCATTCATCCCAATTGAGTAAAACTAAAGGTACGTGTTTGATTCACAATAAAATGCACTAATGTACGAATATTGCATAACCAAAGAGCCGTTTTACTAGCTATTATACTAACACTTCTAATCCTTATCTTTTGTTAAACTTACGATTATAATTTCGGCTTAGAAATAATTCAGTATTTATATTTTTACTAGTCGATAAAGTTTAATAACTATAATTAGAACCAGCACTAATTATTTAATTAAGGAAAGCCCTTAATTTGCCCAGTTAATAATAATTATACACCTCTCTTTTAGACCGTCAAAATGGTTTCAACTTTCAACCAAAAACTAATTAGGGCCCTTTAATTAGCAAACCAAAGTCTTGGATATACTTTTCATCATTCCAGAAAAATATCTCATTAATACTAAACACACATATTTTGTATCTCTTAAAATATTAATTAATTTGATGATTTTTTACTCGTCTTCAAGAAAACGAAAATTTATCTTGAATTGTAAATGATGAAACAAAATAATGTATTTTTGAAAATTAGCTGACATAAATTGTTTTGCTGTAATACGTTTTTAAAATTTATAATAACATTTTAATTTTTCAAGTAGATTATATTATGTTAAAAGCGTCTTACGCTGCAATGAAGATTATTTAGTTCTTTATGTTGCTATTCAAAATAATTATTTACATACTAATACACATCTTGATTATAAATGATTTTATACCTAAACATATGGTGCAAAGCATAGTACAAACGTTATTTATTGAGAAAGTCAACGTCAATACTCATATAACCTTTGTGTGAAATTACATTAGAGTACTATATATAAATACAATTTGGAGAAGTACCATCGCACAGTAGGCACCAGTAGTCCCTGACGTCCGACGGGATGTCATTATATCGTTTTAATTTAACTCTGAGGCATCTGTTAGATTGGCAATTTGTGCAATTACATTGAGCGCGAAATGCGGTGTACGCCAAAATAATTGAGTTAGGAAAACCGCAATAGGCATATGGGATAAACGGTATTCGGTTAAAATGTTGCTGTTGCAGAAAGTAAAATAAGAAAACCAAATGTCGTTGCGGAAAAATAGGTCTCATTTTCTGCTTAATATATAAAATATAACAAAATAATTTAATAATTATTTATTTTCATAAATAATTATTAAATTATTTTGTGTTGTAGTGTGACCAAATAGGATTTAAAAAGTTCAAATTTCATGCTTAGTATAATAGTTTAATCAACTCGTTGAAAAATAAGTTTG